AATGAAAATAAATGCATAGCCATAATAATAGTTACAATATTTAATTACACCAGAATAAAGATTTTGTGATAACAAAAACGTTATTACGGTTTTTAACAAGGTCGACATCCTTATACCAATTATACTCATGATGGTGTCATGCAAACCTTTCATTTGCTCTTCCATCGATTAGTTCATGTGGAAGATGTCAACCGCAATAATCATCACTACAACTATATATCATTAGTAGTTTCTTCTTCTTCTTCACCATAAATACGATACTCTCATTATCTCATATCCTCTACCAACATGAAAAATCACATTAATAGAACTGTGAAGTGCCATCATCGCTATAACAAACTTCATCTCTTCATGTAAACTATATTTTATATGATTATCTGTTATTTTGCTTTATATATATCTCAATACATGCACTTTTTAACAGTTTGCGTGGAGCTTGTTCTTTTCGTCTCAAATAATGGTATATGTGACACGTCTATTCTCCTTGTCCAAACAGTATTCTATTGGTCTTTCTGAACGTCTTGGCATGTTTTATGGGGTTATGATGGCGTCTAAGAATATGATTAACAAGGAAGTCAAATATTTTGATCTACACGGAGATTTTTTTTTTTTTGGTAAAATCCTAGAAGGAGATTTATGCTCTCAAAATAACGAAACAAGGAGATTCATAGGTTTATCGAAGTAGCGGCAACGATTTGATCCATGGTTCTATCAGAAACTTTCATAGCTTAGTTAAAACAACCTCAATAGCTCAATACAAGACCACAACCCAAATGTAATTGGTCCCCAAAAAAAAGACCTCACCCAAATGCTCTTCCGATTCCGAAACACAATGCAGTAACGATAAATATTACAAACGGTGTTGCATGTCCCTTACCAAAAAACAAAAGGCTCAAGTTTGCAAAACACACAGTCACACACACACACAAGACTACAGATTTCAGATCACAGTCTTATTCAAATTCTCTCCGATGAAGAAAGCAAATTGTTTTTTTGTTAATTAATATTTTTCACGAATTGAAACTAAAAAATTGAATCCTTGTTCGTGCTCTTCCTTTATTCTTCTTGTCATTTGTATTTATATTTACAAAGAGGCTCTCTGCTTCAATGTAAACCGAACCGGTTCACCCATTATGTTTCTGGAATCCTCAATGAATTTTTAAAAATTAAAACTGGTTCTCTTGCTCAACCGCTGAACCTCACGAATGCATTACGTTGGAAATCTCCCGAGTAAATTGGTTTTGTGTTGAAACCATTTTACGGTTTAGTTAGGTACCCTATAAACCGGTTGATTGATCAAACGACGAAGCTTTTGCCTTAGCTCGTCGGCCCAAACTAGGCCCACATCTCTTTGCTTGTTCTTCATCTCCACCATCACTAATTCGTCTGTTAAACGGCGAATTTTGACTACGATATTAGCTACTCCCTTTGGCCCTTCCAGCTTTATCGCTCTCTCCTTCTTCTTCGCAATCCTCAGATTCAACTGCTTCGCTACCTCCACGACCTTTCCCATAATCTCCGCCGGAAACTCGTCGGAGACGAACTGATCGCAGTGATCCGGCGTCACGAAGTTTCCGAACAGACCGGCGAGATTCGCCGTTGACGCCGACGCGATTAACTCGAAGGCGTTTAGTTGATCCCCGTTTTCCTCCAGATCGTAATCGTCGGCTTGGATCCCTATGATTTCACTCGGATCTACTCCATGATTGAACCACGGATCTTTGAGAATCTCCTCGACGGTGATCCGTTTTTCTGGATCTGGCTCCAATAGACGGCGGAGAAGCTGCCGGAGATCTGAAGAAGTCCAATCCGGCATCCTGTATTGAGCCTTGTGGATTTTCCGGTAGAGTCCCATGATGTTAGGATCTCGAAACGGCAAGTAACCGGCGTTGAGAAGGAACAAAACGACGCCGCACGACCAGATATCCGCCTTAGATCCGTCGTAGCCTTTCTTCAGGAGAAGCTCCGGCGCAACGTAAGCCGGAGTTCCGCAGAGCGTGTGGAGCATACCGTCGGCCTGGATCTGCTCTCTCATCGCACTGAGACCGAAGTCGGAGACCTTCAGATCTCGATTCTCGTCGAGGAGAAGATTCTCCGGCTTCAAATCGCGGTGGAAAACACCCCTGGCGTGACAATACCTCACGGCGGAGATCAACTGCCGGAAATATTTCCGGCTTAGACTCTCCGTGAATCGATTGCTGGTGACTCTGGAGAAGAGCTCACCGCCTTTGGCTAGCTCCATGACGAAATAGATCTTCGTCTTGGTGGCGAGGACTTCGGAGAGGAGCACGATATGAGGATGACGGAGACGGCGCATGATAGATATTTCTCGCTTAACGTGCGCCGTGAGCCCGTCTTTTAAACGCTTCTTTTGGACGACTTTGATCGCAACGCTTTCGCCGTTATTTTGAAGATCCTCCGCCTGGTAGACTTTGGCAAACGCGCCGATTCCGAGAAGCTTCCCGAGATTGTACTTACCGAACAACGCCGATTGGTTATCATCTCCGACGAGGTTAACGATGATAGAATCGGAAGAGTCTTCGGCCATTTAACGATTAAACGCAAATGGAAACAGAGTATACAAATGAAATAATACATGCGCGCGATGCCTCTTCTTATTGAAACTCCTTAACTTGCCACGTAAGTTATTTTGTTTAGGTTTTAAATATTCGTTTGACTTTTTGTGGATTAAATAATTAAAAGAAAGAAAAAATCAGCAGTTAGGACAATTTCAATGCAAAAGTTTTACTAACTCCGAATTACAGTGGCGTATGTATTAACAAGGTTAGAAAAAGAGTCATTTTATCCCTAATACTAGTAACTTAAGATTCAAGGAACTGCTTTTTCATGATTATTTTTTCCAATGTTTGGTTAATGTTTTCAATTACCGGCGGCAAAAAAATATCTACCTTCTGAGGTCAACCAAGACATTTTAATCCCACTATTCCAGGTGCGATTCAAGTCTTTATTAATATTTTATATGTAGGGGTTGAGAAAACTCGATAAAAAATAAACATTCCTTGTTGTTGTTGACAAAAAAACACCTTTATCAAAAAGAATTTAAAAATCGATTTTAAAATATTTGAATAATTTTGAAAACACAACGTGGATTGACGTTACTGTCGTTGAATGCTAAGCAATTAATACTATTCATTAAGATGGTTTAAGCTACATTACTGGTTTTAGATGGTAGTTAATTTGGTTCAAAGGCTGGTCGAACAAATTCATTTATCCAATCACAAAAAAAAAAAAAAACACACACACACAAAATGTGTTTTGGTTTATTTAGTCGGGAGGGCAGCTCTAATAGACGGATCATCATTTTGTTAGTGTGACCTGCAGATTTTTATAGTAACGCCAAATGCACCTAAATAGACATGATGATATTTGGGTCTACATCACTACATGTATAAATTTGGGATACAAACCACCGGTTACAAACCGTTTGCAAGATTGGTTATAAATGGAGCGGTTTGTTTCTAATTGCCTCTAGCTACCAATCAAACCAATTACATATTCCAGAATAACGTTTAAATTTGAGTGACAAAAACAATAACAATTAAATCTAAAATAGTATTTGAACTTCAATGTCAGCATAAAATAATCACTTTCGGATAGCTGGATAGTTAACTAAAATAGGGATTTTAATAATTGATGAAGTTATGTTATACTAATCTATTTGAAACTGGATTCGTGGATCCCAGTCATTCGTGTGTGGAGTAAAATCATACTAGTAGCCCTTTTGGTGTTGAAAAAGCCAAAATTTAATCCTTACACGTGAACTTGTTCAAAAAATGTCATCTTAAAAAAATTATTAATGATAGATACAAAGGCAAAAAACTCGACAAAGTAAACATACTAAAAAAGAAAAACTCTTGCTCGTTCATGGGTTCCAGTATGTGAATTAGTTGTAATAGCTTTCGTAACGGTATTTACTATCTACATATTTACATTTTAATTTGATAAATTTTTGTCAAAATTTTAATGACTTTATTGCACCAACTACTAGGAAGAATTTGGGGACGTTCATTTCAGAGAGATCTTAGTAAAAATGTTGCTCCTATATTTATTGTAGCTGTCATTTAAGAAGTCCATTCTCTTCATCATGATAGTAGAAAACACCTAAGATGTTATGAAACAATAATAACAACTTTTTGTAAGAACAATGTTATAAGATACCTTTTATCAAAAAAAATTATAAGATAAATCCAACCCTAGAGACATATTTGCTATATATATAACACCCATATTGTCAGGTAATTTTGGTTGTATCATCCGGTCGTGGAGTTATATAGCCGACCATAAAACTTGGCCATTGAATCAACCATCAGAACGATTTACCTAGCTGCCGAGTCAACCATTTTTTATTGTGATTTATCCATGGGAGCATCAATTCATTTGAGAAAAGAATATACATCACCATTATATTTTTATTATTGATCTTCTCATCGTTATCGTCATCACGAATAACGTCTTTGCTTCAAAGAGACACCGTCTTAATTCCACACCGTAAGGGTGTACGTACGTAATCCATCGTCCGTACCATCAAAAACCATACCCCCACCGTCACTCTTAATCTATGGTGTTTCTACTTCGTCAAACATCATCATGGTTTTGATTTCTTTTTTATTAAAAAATCGACGAAGCAATGTTCTAGAAAAATCCGTCACTAAGAATTGGACGTATCTTCTTCGTTTTCGTGAAAAGAGCAACATAAAAAAATAATCTTACAACCATTTCATCAATACTGAGGGATTGGTTTAGCTAATTTTTCAAAGTTGTTTTTCCTTTTTCTTTTTGTTGTCGGCTTAAGAAAGTTTAGATTACGAAAGTACATTAAATTCTTTTTTTATAAAACAATAGTTTCATCCAAACACATCATCATTAAGAGAGCCGAAACGTCTTCAAGAACTCACACAAAAGGACAACAACATAAACTATGTATTACAGATTGCTTATAACGAAAATTTGCGTTATCTAAATTCAGTCCATGTGAGTCCAACAAAAAAATCAATCATTTCTACACTGGAATCCACAAATTTCTGATTTGGGTTTACATATACAACCAAAGCTTCCACCTAATAGGTAAACACACTTTACCAGTCGATAAACCAGTAAGATTCAAATTTATGCATGGCTTCCCCACATACAAGAATATATGTATATGTGTATATGAATATTCTAAGTGGTCATATGGAATCCATAAATCCAAAAAGATTGGAATAAAAAGAGTAAGAGTAACGCAGCGAAAATCTGATGTGTAAAAGAGATGGTTTTGGAAGTTGTTGCAATAGAAGCGTATGATAAGAAAAGAGACATGCACTTGAGCTCTACCGAGAAGGAAGTAGGCGAGCCATACGCATCTGGATGATATATGATTTCTCCTTGACCACATTTGAATTCTCCTAAACTCCATTCCTATATATTGTTTCATAGATTTATCAAAAGATATGATTACCATACAGTTGATTTGATCATATCATATATTATTAACAAGTGACATATAAATAGTGTTGAAGTGTTCATACGAACCTCAAGCTGGCGACCAAAAGTGACAAGGATAGTGTCGGGATCAGCGTGGAAAGAAAGTGGGCCTTTTCCTGAGTTGATACGGAACTCGCAGTTCTTGGCCGGAAGGTGAAGGCTGAGTGTGTAATGAAGCATTTCTTCTGTCTTTTCTTTAGGCAAAGGAGGGCTTTGCTCTGTGACGTTTTCATGATTGTACCTGTAAACGCTGAGCACAGATTCTCCTCTTTGTATTCTTTTATCAGTCTGTCTCCTTGAGTTTTCTACCATTATTTGCCCTAGTTTCCTTGCTACCCCTTCAAGTTTATCAGCTACATTCTCCATTTCTTGGCTGCAACAAAGATCCAAATATTTTATCCAAAATCCTCAAATCACTTCTTTATTCATAATAACATTCAAGTTTGTTAAAAAAAGTGTGGCCCAATAACGGCCCAATACCTGAAACAGCGGTACCTTTCCGGTCCGATATACTCGCGCGCCCATTCCATGCGCTCCTTCCACGACCGAACCCAAACGATCTCGTCTCTGTTTCCGACAACACTCCGGCGAAACCCGGTGTCTCTTCCCTCTAAAACTCCGAAAACCCGACCCGATTCCCTAACAAGAGACCTAAGCTCCTCGCTCGATATCCCATGGTAGCTCACACGAAACGCCCCGAACTCCCTCGCCGATCGCACCAGACGATCCACCGATCCTTCTCTCCTCGACGCCAATAGCCGGAAATCAATCTCCGCCGGGATCAGGTGGCGTGAACCGCAAGATTCACCGCCCGAATGAGATTCAGGGAGCGTGAGCTCTGGAACCTGGATCGATCTCTCGATGATCTCGGTGAGGATCTCGCTCGCAGCGGAGCGAGATCCTCTGGCTCTAGGGATCGGAGACGGAGGAGGTGGTGGTGGAGTCAATGAAGATACGTTCAATTGGCTCCTGGTTCGCATCAGAGCCATCGGAGAGAGAAGATGATCCGACGTTTTCGGGCGGGTTTCCAATTAATAAAATCCGCCCCAAGAAAAAAATGGAAAGACTTTTTTGTTTTTCGATTGTTAGAGAAGGCACATTCCTTTGCGTATTTCTTTTATTTGTTTTGTATTCAATTTCTTGAGAAAGTGAGGGTCCATTACTGAATTCGAATGTAAGAAAAAATTAATATTTTATTTACTTCGTGTTGTTTACATGATTGTGATATGGTTTAGTGAATGAGAATGATGATGATCATATATGGTTCTGTAACTTCATTTGCGCTGTGAAGATTCGAATATGTCAGATGGAAAAGCTTTGAGAAATGCATTCATAAGATGTTTGCCACCTTGAGTTCTTGGGCCATTATATGGGCCGCATTGAATGTTTTGATCCGGTCCACATGTTTAAGTGCTAATCAATCTCAAGGACAAGATAGATAGGCTTTTGAAAATTTGCGAAGAGACAAAGGATTTGAATTTCCTCTTTTAAGGACCATAGTCCTTAGGAAGAGGAAACGAAAAAGTTTGACATATGTGGACATAAGGCAAAGAAGTAAAGGTTGTCCAGCACTGTAATAAGACATTAAGACCATTGAATAATTGAGAAACCCTTAATCACTTGGATCCAATATTTTAGTATCCCCTTTCATATATAGCTTCCCTTTTAGTATGTTATTATAGACTATATATCAAGCCCCATTAACTACATGTGGACATGAATGATCAAATTTAGTTACCCCGAAGTTGACATGAATGATCAAATCTAACAGAAACAAGTACTATAAAGTCTGTTAATAAGAACCCCAAGCTAATCGAAGGGTCGTTATTAATAATACATATGTATATCTGTACCAATTCGTTTTCTCGTGGCGTAATTAAAATATAAAAATTTGTACCAACCAAGTTTTTGAATTCGTTTTTTTAAGTTTTAGATAAGTGGACCAAACTAAGTTAACAAGTGTAAGTTCTACATTTTAAGTAGCAAAAGAGAAAAGTTAGCAAGTGTGGTGTGTGTGCATAATTGAAGTTAAAGGGCATGCATGTGATTATACACTAATTGGTTAGTCATAGCATCTTCCGTACGTTAGTAAGCTTCGCTTATGGTCCCCATTCGAATACTCCTTTTATAATTTGCTCCACCAGATTTTGGGCAATAAGATGACAAATTTAACTATCAAAACGAAGAATAGGAAGCAGAACCATTCGGAGGATAAATTTTATTAAAAACAGTTGTTTATTATTACAAATGATATATACGTAGGTGTCGCAGTAGGAGACATGGAACAAACACCGAAGCTGTCGCTATCAAAGAAGATGTAATGGAAGTGTGAAAATAGCTTATAAACTCTTTTGCATGGGTCGGAGAAGACAATCACCACCTCCCCTAATGATTTTGTATTTCGAAAATCTTCACTTTATCGAAGAAATTTATTTTTATTATAAGAAAATTGCAGCTAAAATGCCTTTAAGATGACACCATCATTGAATTTTTTTTTTCAGAATCTTTTATATTATCGAAGAAATTGTTATTTAAAAATTGCAAATTGCAATTAAGTAGAAGCCCTTAATTAATCCCTTTCAACAACGTATTATGATGTTTAATTTTATCCTTATTGTTGAACCAACAAAATACAATTATCCTTATTCTAAATTTTGGCTAATGATTCAAAATTTCACATTTTCTTAACTCTTGTGTTAATAAATTAGTAATTAATGCTAAGGGTGCATCATTTATGCATACAAAGATAACTATTTCAATATTTTCCGTAAGAAAATATTTTTGTGAACCAAACAAAAAAAAATGTTGGGAAAGGAATAGTGCTCAATGTAGAAGAGCTAACGTACACTTGTCAAAACCTACGTGAAACCTTGTCTTTCTTTCATTATGTAAACCGTGGAAGCATTTCAAACAGACACACACGGTAATTCTGATATTAGCAAGCCTAAAATAACTTGGATGACCAGATTTTAAAAAGTAAACCATATACTAAAAAGCATGCATAAGGAAGCTCAATAAACAAGGAACATAAAATCATAAACTATAAAAAAAACATGGAAAAAAATAGCTCAATACACAACGTGCATGAGGTCGGATATTTTCTAGTAAAGAACATGATTTTTCATTGCATCATTGGCTTTAAGTTTCCTTTCTATAGTTTTCAAACATCTCGGTTTGTTTGTTAATGACACATTTTTATTTATAGTTAAATGTTATGTTAGTGCCGACAGAAAAAAATATTACAACAACAGTACATGAAGATGTCGGTTGAATGATTAAATTTTATGTCATTCTGATGGACTGTCGATCAACTTTCAGGTAACATCGACAAAAATTGTATGTATATAAGATTGAGTTTTCTAAAGAAAGAGGCTTGAATCTAAAGTCCTAAACTTTTACAGGTTATAAAACTTTAGAACGCAAATATATTGTTCGATAGTGTTTATCGTTACCAGTTAAGCATTATTCCCAGACAAAAAATAACTAACACTGTAAAATATGTTTTAGAATGTGTTTTAATTTCCTATGCATCGAACCAGGACAAAGCTTCTTCGCTGTCTACATTTTGGGGGATAATATAAGAAAAACAAAACTTCAAACATGTTTATCAATAGACAATTATTAGGTTTAGATTTTGTGTAGCATATGGGAATTTTTATCCATTATTTATTATACAAATTTAGATATAGGGTGTAGCAATAGATAATAATAGTAATAATAATAATAATAATAATAATAATAATAGTAATAATAATAATAATAATAATAATAATAATAATAATTATAATAATAATAATAATAATAATAATAATAATAATCCTAATCCTAATCCTAACAAGGTTTCTGTGAAGATGATAGAGTTCCGAAAGCTTTTTTCTTCTCCACTTTCATCATGAGTGGCATTCTCATCTGATAGACAATACTTAATCTTTTTAATTACATATATATGGGATAATTGCTTTGTTGTCTTCTGTACATTATCCGAATCAAACGTCTACCAATTAATAACCAGTTTACATACAAACATATATATTAAACATTACTATTTCATCCCTAACGATACTTAGTATATCCAAGCACATTATATTAGCACTGAATCCCGGATACTTTCTACATATTCTTATCATAAAACCTAGTTCCCGCTTTTACAACTAATTTTGCAAATACAGTAAAACCTCTATAAATTAATACTCGATAAATTAATAATCACTATAAATTAATAAAGTTTTTTGGTCCCGAGTTGGGACCAGTGTAAAAATCCATCAAATTCGATAAGATAATAAAATAATAATTTTTTTGAAACTCCTATGTAAATATATAGTCCCAACAAAAATATAAATTAATAATTATATAAATATATATACAAATAAATATATATATAATATTTTAAAATATGAATAATGTGTTTACTTTTACTTAAAGTTGAAAGTTTATTGGTGTTCATCTATTTGTTTATTACATCTCTATCTCTTATTGTTTTTTTGATATTCATTCAAATTTGTGAAGAATTTTTGATATAATAATTGGTTTTCTTACACGTAAATATCTATAAATGTATTGTAATATTGTCTTCAATTTCATCTTTTTGATAATAGCCACAGTTTCTTATAAATTTTGAACTTCTAAACATGTATATTTTTAATAGATAAATTAATATTCTATTAAAAACTATTTTGTTATGATAACTATATTTATTAATCATTATTTTTATTAAGTTATTATCTTAAGTTTTTAAATACAACATTATTCAATTTTTTTTTTAAAAGTTATAGACAAAAACTAGATTATCTCTATAAATTAATAATTATTAATTTATAGATAAATTAATATCACGATAAATTAATAAAATTTCATGGTTCCAACATTATTAATTTATAGAGGTTTTACTGTATTTCTATATTTAACAGACCAAGAACTTGATGAATGTGGCCGGTCATGTTGACATGGCTCTTTATTTATAATAATAAATAAAGACGTTTTATACAGAAGTTCTTTTTATAAATACCCTGTTTTTTTCATACTTCAGTCAACGTTTTAAACATATATATATATATATATGTATATATAAATTTTAAGTGAAATTTTTAGTGTCTAAAATATGTAAAAGTCTAGGCCTACTAAAACGAAGGAATTAAATTATACCAAAATTTGTAATAAGGTAATACATGAAACGATATTTAAACATTAATCTCAAGAGACAAATATAATAAAAAGCAAGAGTCGGCAAATATTTTATGCTCCGAAAGAAACTACCAAGGTGAACTCATATTTTATTTGATTTTTTTACTATAAATGTCCTTGCTATAAGTGGAAAGTAAAGTATAAAGGAAGCAGCTTAGTTAATTAGTTTGGTCTAACATAAATATGTGGAAATATATTAAACACACACACACACACACACTCCTTTACTGTCTACATAACTAAAAGGAACATGTTCCAAAAGAAATAAAAAGCCCTATATATATTCTAAACAAATGGAAAAAGGCAAGTAGAAATGTAAAATAATTGAGATTAATTAGAGTGGACTAATGGAACTATGGAAGTGTGCATAAATACGAGGGAAAGGAACTTAAACATTCTTCTTCTCTCTAACACACACAGAGACACTCGTTCCCAAATTCTCTGGCAATCCTCTTTTCGTAGTTATCAACAAGTCTTTTTTGCTATAAGTGAAGGGTGATAGTATATATAATATATACAGATATCTATATATATGAGCATGTGCAGATCCAACATGAAAAGTAGTGAATCTGGAGAGATTATAAACGGAGAATGCGATGTTTCAACGTCAGTCAAAGAAGAAACTAGCGCCGGCAGCTCCAAATTCTCGGCTGGCCTCCGTCGCATCCCTTTGAACGAGGCTTGTTTCTTTCTTATTTTATTTTCTTATACATTTTCTTTCACAAAATATCGATGGCTTAGAGAACTTACTCCGCTTATTGTTTGATTTCATAGTTTTGGTGATTGAAGATTCAGGATCATATCCACATATTATTGGAGACGTTTTCTACGTTTTTATTTATATTTTTTTCGATGTTTGACAAGCGAATTAGTTAATTTTGATTGATTATAGTATCATTTTCAGTCACTTTTATCGTATTTTGGGATGGTACGTAATATGGAATTCTTGGAACTTGATCTTATACGTACTGGATTGAATGCTGCTTTGACTGTTTGTATAGCTTCATAATGGAAAGTCATGCATCTCTTTTAAAACAATCAATTTGAACAAAACCCCTGTCACAAAAAAAAAAATACAATCAGTTTGAAGAAAACTTAAAATATTTAAACTTAGTTAACAAATGTAGTTGGGATCCATTATATGTAACCATTGTTTATCTCTATATATAACCAAAACTTGTATTGTCTATATATATCTAATGTTTGAAACTTTGAATGTGTGTGTATGTACATATTCATATGTATGTATAAAGCGTCAATAGTATGATATGTTATCTCACTTTCATGGACTGAGATAGATGGTGCTTTTATTTTGGGTTGTACTTACACAAAAAGTTTCCTATATATGCTTCCTCTTATTATGTACATTTTCTATTAGTCCTTTAGTTAGTACAAGTACTTTACTATCTTATTAATTCCATTTTTTATATAATCAAGTCCTTCTTGAAATACTTCATCTAATTCTTTTGTAATCTAAATAGTAGTTCATGATATTTCTACAATATATGCATTTTTTTCTAGACCGATTTTATGTTGTTTGAAGCATTGATATTTCTATTGAAGTTCATGAAATGAAAGATATCTAAGCTGATTGTGTTTTCCAAAAAGAAAATAAAAAGGTGAGCTTTTTAGAACCCATGATGGTTTTTATTTAAAAAGATCCTAGAATGTTGGTACAGTTAGCCATTCGCTTTTCTGTCACTTGTGAATTTGATTATTCAGTTCTAAAAGTTATAGAATTTAAACCTTTTTTCTCTTCTTTTTCAACTTTCTCATCCCAGTCCCAGTGGCCATGTGATGCGACCATCATCCTCGTGCTTAGGAATTGCTCTTATATTTAAATTATATAATATTTTCTCGTATTGTATGTAATATCCTTCTGTTCGATAAAAAAAATGTTTTAAGAATTTTTTTCTCTTACAAAAAAAATCGTTTTATATTTCGTTTAACAACTATACTAATGATTGATATACTAAGAGATAGCTTAATAAATTTTAAATATGTGTGAAATATCATATTGAACGAGGCTTATATTGGAAGTGAAAACGTATTAAAACCAAATCGCCTACATATATTCTAGTTTTTTTTTCCATAGATATATTATTTTCCTGTGTTATATATAATAAACGATTAAAGACTAGATCATATAAAAGTATTTTGTTAAATGTCAATATACTTAGCTCGCGCGCTTCTTTCTTTATATGTATAGTATTTTCTTGAATGCTTGTAACTATAAGTCTATAAGCCCAGTACAATAAAATAATGAATGCTTTTCTTGTTTATTTACTTTTTTATATGTCTCGGATTAATAGTTATTGACTTGAAAAACCTAACATATATTTTTTCCTCCCATGCAGGTGGGAGAGGAAATGTCGTCGCTCACGAAAATAGCATGCCCGATCGTGATGACATCACTCCTCATTTTCTCGAGATCAATAATCTCAATGTGGTTCTTGAGCCACCTCGGAAAAGTCGAACTCGCTGGTGGTGCACTCGCCATGGGCTTTGGAAACATCACCGGAGTCTCCGTGCTCAAAGGCCTTTCCGTTGGTATGGACCCAATCTGTGGCCAAGCCTTCGGTGCCAAACGTTGGACCGTACTTAGCCACACGTTTCAGAAAATGTTCTGTCTCTTGATTGTCGTCTCTATTCCAATCTCCGTCACGTGGCTCAACATCGAACCCATTTTCCTCAGGTTGGGTCAAGACCCGGATATCACACGTGTCGCCAAAACATACATGGTCTTCTTCGTCCCTGAGCTCTTGGCTCAAGCCATGCTTCACCCGCTACGAACGTTCCTTAGAACGCAAGGCCTAACGTCACCATTAACGATATCAGCAATCGTATCCATTCTTCTTCATCCTCTCTTTAACTACGTCTTCGTCGTGCGTATGCGTTTAGGCGTTAAGGGCGTTGCAATCGCAATGGCTTTTAACACAATGAACATCAACGTTGGACTACTCGTTTACACGTGTTATTCGGATTCTTTAATCAAACCTTGGGAAGGGCTAGCTTTGCGGTCTCTTTTCCGTGGCTGGTGGCCGCTTCTTTCTCTAGCCGCACCAAGCGCAATCTCTGTGTGTTTGGAGTATTGGTGGTATGAGATAATGCTTTTCCTTTGTGGGCTTCTTGGAAACCCTAAAGCGAGTGTGTCCGCCATGGGAATACTGATTCAAACAACGGGACTACTCTACGTAGTCCCGTTTGCTATAAGCTGCGCTATTGCAACTCGTGTAGGCCATGCTCTAGGAGGTGGGCAACCTACACGAGCTCAATGTACGACCGTGATTGGTTTGATACTCGCAGTAGCTTACGGTTTATCAGCTGCTGTTTTTGTGACCGCTCTTAGGTCGGTTTGGGGAAAGATGTTCACGGACGAACCGGAGATTCTAGGGTTGATTTCGTCTGCGCTTCCGATATTAGGGCTTTGTGAGATCGGAAACTCGCCGCAGACGGCTGCTTGCGGAGTCTTGACGGGCACGGCAAGGCCTAAAGATGGGGCACGCGTTAACTTATGTGCGTTTTACATTGTGGGCTTGCCGGTGGCTGTTACAACCACGTTTGGGTTTAAAATTGGGTTTCGTGGGCTATGGTATGGACTGTTGGCTGCGCAGATTACATGTTTAGTTATGATGCTTTATACATTGGTTCGTACGGATTGGGCTCACCAGGTGAAGCGAGCAGAGGAACTTACTTCTGCTGCAGCCGACAAAAGTCATTTGTCATCGGACGAAGAAACCGTCCAAACTGAAGTAGGAGTTGATGATGATGTTGGTAGCAATGATTTGGAGATTGGTTTACTACAAAACACCAACTAATCTAGAAATTTTAAAATTTTCAATCGATCATTTTAATGGATTGTTAATTACATAGGAATTATTTTGTTTTGTTTTTTTTTGCAAACTAAAATACCCAAGATAGATATTTGCATCGTAACATTTGATAGGTTTTATAATCTTGTAAAACCAGAACGTTTCATTTTAATGAAATATTTACATTCTTAGCCATAAAAATATATATTTGCATCGGAATTGCTAACCAATATTTTGGCAAAACAATCATAAGTACCTATTAATTGGTTGAGTTTATATTATTAGCACATGTAATCTAGTACGTACATGGGTTATCTAATATTTTCCCCCATGTTTCTTTATGTAAGTCAGCACTCAGAACTCAGAAGTATGCAGTGAAGAAACAGTTATCAAAATGGCTTTGCATTTTGTATATAACTAGCAACAAGTTTGATACGGCCCAAACTTGTGAATATACTTGCTCATTCTTTGTTTTTTTTAAACTCTAAATATATTGCTGATTCTGATCAAACTAAGCTATTTAAAAAAGAAAAGAGATTGTTTGTAAAGCTAAAACCAGAGAAAGGAAAATTTAACTAACTAATCAAATAAAGAAAATAGAAAAATGGAACTCAAATAGGTTTTGGGGAAACCATGTCTAGATTAGCTAAGAAGACTAAAACTTACGGGAAAAAGATATTGAAACCGAAATCAAGGAAAAGGGGCCATAGTGAGCCGAACTTTAACAGGAGCAAGTAGAGTAATTTATTGCCAAATTTGATTATTTATATCCAGTTAATTTTACTGTATCTCAGTTCAAAATCAATTGACACAAAACGATGGGTATTTATCACAATGTATTCATAAAATATATTGAAATTTCTCACTTGCATAGATGTTATCCGTATCCCATGTATTTACCTCATATGGACTTTCTGGTCACACGTGTTGTGCGTACATATAATATGTTGCATGTGGCATTTCGGTGCCTAATTCTCAAGGCATATATCATGTACCCCTTTAGGCACCGACATTTTTGAAACAGTAAATACAGTTTCTCGTGTTAAACAGTAAATAAGATTACACATGAATAAAAAAACTACAGAAGACTTATTTTGACGTGTTCCTACCCATACCCATATCCTACAGGGAACTTTTAACACATTTTCTGACCGAAAGAACAATCGTTCAAAAGTATCGAGTTAAAGATAAGATTACAAAATATTTTTTTTCCTTTCAAAATACTTAATTTAAACGTATCTATTGATTTATTATGTTAAAAATTTAAGGATAAATAAACTAGTGAGGTTTTGCGTAAAAAAAAATGGTGAGCTTTCGGTTTCAAAAAAGTCTCAAACTTGAATAAGCATATAATGCATATATTAATGCTGACAGAGCAAATTCATTATTCTGCAGTAGGATGGTAGATAGAAAAATTACACGACTCAATTTCTTGGTGTGTATTGAATGAGAATCGATAAAAGTGACATGTGTATATAAATTATAAAATGCATCATTGCTATTGGGGAAAAAAATTCGATTTATTTAGCAACGATATATGATTTTGAAAAAGTTACAGTCTCAAATTCGATATTTAATAAAGCCAATAATTTTTCGTTGTTAAACGATTTTCACGAATCTACCAATTTATCCTGAATTAAAAATTTTATATGATAGAATAACTTCATGTTAATATGTTATGATTGAAAGTTATTGTAATATGTTATCATTCGATTTTTTTTCCGGAAAATTAATTAGCATTGTTTTGAGTCTTTTGACACACTGAATTGTTTTCTTATTATGAAAGGCACATACTTGTACATCTAAAATAATATATTTCTATCTATAAATACTTATCAAATGAAGCACTTAGTTTTACCGGGATAAGACTAGAATAGGCGACGGTCGAAGTGATGGACTTGAAAAGCAAAGCAACCGACAATGCATGACCCCATCCCACCCATGTGTCATGCATTCAATTTTTTTCACATAACGACGAACCATCTACATACACTCTATGGTGTTGGAGGGCAGCGAAAACCGACACCTTCTTGTGTATATCCTTACGGAGAAATTTTCAGGGAAGCAAACAAAAGTTTTAAATAAAATATTCATGTACTAATCAAAGTCATACTCTTAAACCTATAGATATCATAAAAGGAGAATTTTTTGTTTAGGTTTGTTCTCTTTAATAAACTCATCTTGGTTTCAAGCTTAATTTCGTTCGTAAATTGCTACGTTTTTTTGTTAAAGATAGTAAATTGTTACGTTAAAAGATTCAGATCGTCAGATTTGGATTTTCTTGTCAAAAAGTAGATTTTATTTTTCTTGTTCGTCAATTGTTGGATCGTAAGATTATCGTCTTCGCATAAAAAAAATGATGACCAATTTAAGTACGTATTTGACATATGTGATATGTTTAATCTATACTTCAATCATTACCAAATTTTATGTATTTTGTTGTACATGTTTAATCATATATATTTTTCTTACCTCTGGTAAAATCATTTTAGCTGATACTATATACCGTGTCTACAAAATCGATGTACTTCATGATCATTCTCATTATGTAGAAGATATTGAACACATGATGTTAAAATAAATAATATTTAATGAATTTTTTTTTTTTTTGCTAAAATAAAGTTTAATGATAGTTCTATGTAAAATATCTATTTTGCGTATCCAATGTACACCTATTTTCCTTATTTGTTTTTTCGTACCACATCTATAGAATTTAAAACTCCTAAGAAATATTGGAAATTCAAAAACAAGTACGTTGGTTGTAGAACTTTTACATAAAAAAATATAAAACTGAGCTAAAAATGTCAAACAAAATAGATGAGAGGTCCTACATAATTAGGACCTCTGCATTAAATGAAATCAACAACCAACCAACTACTCCTATTCCTCTAATCGCATTCACATTACATTTCTCTATATAAATACTCGCTCCCCAAACTCTCTTCATCACTCATCATTACACACACATCTCATTTTGCAAACCATCGAAAACAAACCCCTAGAACTAAGAGAGAAAATGGCTGGTCTAATGAAGTTGGCATGCTTGGTCTTGGCTTGCATGATTGTGGCCGGTCCAATCACAGCCAAAGCGGCTCTTAGCTGTGGAACCGTTAGTAGTAGCTTGGCACCGTGCATTGGCTACTTGACCCAAGGTACGCCCCTTCCCTTAGCGTGCTGCGCCGGCGTTAAAAGACTAAACAGCATGGCCCGTACAACCCCGGACCGTCAGCAAGCTTGCCGTTGCCTTGTTGGAGCCGCCAACGCCTTAGGTTCCGGTCTCAACACTGGCCGTGCATCTGGACTTCCTAAGGCATGTGGTGTCAATATTCCATACGCAATCAGCAAAAACACTAACTGCGCCATGTATGTGTTAATCTCTCACTCTCTCTGATACATATGAAAACTAAAGGTTTCTTGTTTTGTTACAATACGAATATACGATGTAACTAATATTAAAGTTAGTTTTTTTGACAAAATGAAGATTTGAGTTTGCTATAAAACGGTTTCATGTTTTACTAAAGTTTATAAGTCTTCCCGGTTCAACCATGTTCCAATATAAAAGTTGAATTTTTATACCGTTGCAACAAGTATATATTAAAAGTTTATTTTTTTGAGTGGAAATTAGAGGTTTTTATATAGTAACGGTGTTATGTTTATTTGTATGTGGTTGCAGCGTGCGTTAAATGAGCGGCGGTCGGATGAAGCTCTAGCGGATGTTTCAAATATTATATGAGACTATGAGAGAATACTAAATAAGATGTAATGTCTGTTTTTTTTTTGAGTTTTTAGTTTCCTGTCTTTTTTTCTTTTTTCTTTTATGGTGGCGTTCCTATTACTTGGTCGTCTGTACTATGTTCGCAATCAACGTTATATGAGTTTCAAAGTTCACATTATTTTATATTCTTACCAAATCTTAGTTTAGTTTCATCGATATGAAAAATGATCATTATACATTAACAATATATATATATATATATATTGATTTGCATTACAGTTGGGAAGTAACGGATAATTTAAATTTAATTTTACAGCCAAATAAAATAACGGGACATTCTCCAAATTTGTACTATTTACTTGTTTAGACTTAAGATAATCGAGAAAATGATGGATCGCTATATGGAATCGTGACAACTCTTGGAAAACCAGGACCCTATCTTATAATGTGCCCAAAACTAGGGATTTATTTCAGTTTGACTTAATTAATTTTACAGATTAGATAATGATTTGGATATTGGACAAACCAATAAAATGAACATAACGAAATAATATTTCTATCAAAATTTGGTTATCTTTTCATCATTGTTAGTTATTATTTTTTCTAATTTAATTTAATTTATAATCTACCGTGTGATGAATTTTTTCTAAAGAAGAAAAATCAAAATTCTGTTAAACTCCATACAGCTCCCAAAAGTCTAGGCCCAATTCTGGTTGCTCTCTCAGTGTTGCTAATTAACTACTTTTTTTTTTAACACATCGAGGGAAACTCAATTTTACAATCAAAATCAAACCAATAAGTCTTAACCATGAAATAATACCAAAGATGATGAAATACATTAGAGAAAAACCCATATAAGCTGCTATTGTTGTAGATGAAGTTTTTTTTGCAGATTTATTGGAGGCAACTGTGCGTTTGGGAAACAAAATTTGGGAGGTGAGAAGAAACTCGCGTTGTGATAAGAAAATAGCGCAATCACATTTTGACGGAAATTTACAAAATCATAGTTATACCGGAAAATCACCGACTGTTTGTTGAATTAGTCCAAAGAGACTCATGTTGGTTCAAGGTTTTTGTTTGTATAGGTGGTTATGTGATAGAAATAGTCGGATTTATATTTCTGTTCTTCCGAAATAACATTTGTTGATTTTTCTTTGTTGATTATTAGTCTAATGTGTATAAAAAATGATAAAGTTAAACAAAACGGGTAAATTATCGTTTTGCATAATTTTCTTACATATTTATTTGATCCACAGCGAAAAACGGTCTTGGGACAGCAGCTCTCAAGATTAACAGCTACAGTTTGTAAAACAAATGTAGACTTTGTTTGAGAAAGAGGAGTTTTTTAAAGTTTTTGAAACTCATATGTGTTTTTCTTGTTTTGTGAAGATATAATTTGTGTGTACTTAACGCATATATCTAGTCTTGTATGAGTGAATCAAATATTTAAAATAAAGATTGCAATGTAAATTTCTAGACTTATATACATAGTGCATACATATTTGTTGAAAAATGAGAGCATAATATATGGTTTTAATTATATTAAATTTTCGTGTTGCGTGACTTGCGTTTCATCTCATTAAGAAAGTTTTTACGTATTTTGTTGGATCCGCTAGCTAAATTATTTTCATTTGTTAATCGGATGTAAAAGATATTAGTCAGATGATGTTAAGTAAGATACAATAAGAATATAACATTTAGTGATATTTCTACGTGAAATGACTATTTTCTTATCCATGTATAGTTTTAACATTCTTAAAATGAAAATGCAAGAGAGATTACATACGTCTTTTTGTGGGTGGGGGGGGGGGGGGGAAAAGAACTACGGTAAAAAATGTAAGTATTATAAGTTTTCAGAAAAATAATATGATTGAAATGTCAAACAAAATACGTAGATGAGAAATGAGAGGTACTCACCACTCCTACATAATTAGGTACTGTACATTAAATGTAACCAACCACCAATCAACTAATCATTTCCTCTAAATCCCATTCACATTCACAACATCAAAACTTTCTTTCTCTATATAAACACTCACTCCCTCAACTCTCTTCATCACCCAATATCACTACACTACATACATCTGCTTCTTCAAACAACCAAAAAAAAAACTATATTTCCAAGATAAAAAGAAAATGGCTGGTCTAATGAAGTTGGCATTCCTGGTCTTGGCCTGCATGATTGTGGCCGGTCCAATCACAGCCAAAGCGGCTCTGACCTGTGGCACCGTTACCAGCAACGTTGCAGCGTGCATTGGCTACATTACCCAAGGTGGGCCCGTTCCAGGAGCTTGCTGCTCAGGCATTAAAAACCTTAACAGCATGGCCCGTACAACCCCGGACCGTCAACAAGCTTGTCGTTGCCTTAAAACTGCCGCTAATGCCTTGGGCCCAAATCTCAACGCTGGCCGTGCAGCTGGACTTCCTAAGGCTTGTGGAGTCAATGTTCCTTTCCCAATCAGCACCAGCACCAACTGCAACAGGTATATGTCTGAAGATCTCTCATTCACTCTATTTTCATATAAATGCTAAAAAGTATATATCATAAAAAAGATCATGGGAATTTTGTACGAAATACAAATATTTTAATGAAAATTTCAGAGTTTTTCCCTCATGTTTGATGGAACTTTTGAGTTTTGTATATTGATGCAACAAGTATATATTATAAGGTTTTTTTTAAGTTAAATTTGAGGCTTTAATATTAACGTACGGTGTTATGTTTGATTGAATATGGTTGCAGCGTGAAATGAGCGCGGGTTGGATGAAAGCTTTAGCGGACGTTCCGAATATTACAAAAACGGATGAGACAATATTAAATAAGATGTTCAAGTGACTGTTTTTAATTTCCTGTATTTTCTATTATGGCGATCCTATTAACTGGTCGTTTGTAGTATGTTCTCAAGCAACGTTATATGAATTTCGGATTTGAAGTTTACGTTGTTCTATTATATTCTTACTAATGCTTAGATTAGTTTCATCCATATGAAAACAATTCATCAATTTGCATGAAATAACAGAGTGCGGGGCAGGACATAATAATGGATGTTGGCAGAAAAATATCAAATGTTAATATTAAAGTATAACATTTAACAGAGTGCGGGGGAGAACATCATCTCGTTCCGTGTTGTTCCAGAGCTAATTAGTATAACAAAAATATTAAAATAACGGGACAGTCTTATTAGTGGTAAATGTAATAAACTATTGGTTTATGCATAAGAAACTTGAAAAAGATAAAGATAAATTATTGACGTACACGAACACGAGTAAGAAAAAATAAAGATAGTAAAGTGTTTGGTGTATCTGCATTTCTCCATTACCTTACGAGGAATTTTTGTTAATTCTGCTTTAAATGCTTGACTGTTTCTTCTGCAAGCTGTAATAGTAAGTTAATATGGTTGTAGATATATGGTCTGTTAACGTTTTGATTTTAATTTGGATAAAAATTGTAATTTAATCTAATATGAATGGTTTGATGATATTCATTGTTTTTTAATCTCCTTTTAATATTAGGGTCCCTTTGTTTTTACTCTCTTTAGTCCTTGTAGGTTCCATATTTAGGAGTTTTAGGAGTCCTAGATTACTTTTTGCTTGCATTTAGGAGTCCTAGATTACTTTTACTTTTTGTGGAGATTTAGGTCACATTCGATGAAAGGAGCATTAGGAGACTTGGGGGGAGACAATTGCATCAAGGAGAAAGCAAAGAAGCAACGAGGAAACAAGGAGAAGAAATAGTTGATGGAATAAAATTAAAACTTAGATAAAAAATCTAGCGAATTGTACAAGTGAAAACACCTAGTTTTCACTAAAATAGGACTAGAAATAGTAGTATGGGGCGACGATCTAAGACTCAAAGTGATGGCCTTGAAACGTTGTTTAGGCAACTGACAGTGACTCAATCCTACCCATGTGTCGTGCCATTCAATATTTGTTATGTATCAGTCAATTTTTTCACATAATGACGAACCATCTAAACTCTTTGGTGCGTGAGGGTAGAACAAACCGACATCTTCTCGTGTGTATCCGTACCTAGCATTTATTTATGTGAAAACAACATATAAATATTTATTAGAGTATTAAGTGTACATATATAATATAATACCTTCTTCATTATTTTCATTTATATATAAGAAATCACACGAAACATGTATTTCAAAACACAAAAACCTCCAATATATATTGTTGAATTAATGGAAAAGTTCACGCTAATTTATTTGCCATAAAAAGGACGCTGATATCTTTTGTTTATCAATCAAAAGTTCGGATTACCCTATAAAAATATATAAAAATTATGAAATAAGATGTTTGAATGGCTGTTTATTTAGAGGTTTTCATTTCCTATTTAAAATTTTATATATTTTTTTATATTATGGCTATCCTATTAATTGCCCGTCTGTACTACGTACATCTATGTTCACTAATATTCTGTAATAGTCTTGCTAAAGCTAGTTTTGTTTCATTAGTGTACATTACAGTTGAGAATTAACGATACATTTTATTAAGATTATAGAAAATAAAATAACGGGACATTTCTCCAAGTTTGTACTGTTTCATTCTTTAGATTACCAAGAACATCGTGGATTTTCTTCATAGTTGACAGTTTTATATATCAAAAATTTGAAAGGTATACACGTGTCCAAATAAAACTATAGGCTATGAAAATTATTTGAAGTGTTTTGTGTATCTGCAATCCGCATTTCTCCACCACCTTACATGGAATTTTGCATTAAATGCTTTACTCTGCATCTGGAAGCCGTAACTAATTATTATGGATGGTAGATAGATGGTAGTTTCTTAGTATATACTATTTAAATTTAATCCGACTAGATAAATATAAAATTTGCTGGAACTATACCTAGGACTACCAAAATTTCCGCAACTGTAGGTTTTTTTGTCATCTCGACTTTATTATCACAGTGTCACTCTCACTCTTCTGCGAACAAAAATTGTTGAACTTGAAATGTTGACTCAAGGTTTTAGAACAAAAATCGGGTTTTGTAGCTCACTATAAGTTAAACCGGATAAAGACGATCGGTTTGGCTCGGTTTAGGATTAAGAGGGCCTACTGTTGCAAACTTGCCAAAACTCATCGAGATATTTGTTCAAAGCCCACTCGCTTTACTTAGGTATTTCCAAATGTTCCGACGTCGTTTTCACTCCATTTTTTTTTGTTCTTCTTCTTGTGTTTGGTTAAGTCCTCTTGGAAATTCCTTGCTTGCTTCGTAGTTGAAGCATTCGGAACAACACAGCTCCTGAATCCCTAAAGCAAAACTCTCTCTCTCCCTCTCTTCGTCGAGTACTCATTTGATCAGAGCTATGAGTATCCCAATGGAGCTGATGTCAATCAGAAACCCTAATTCGAGCTTGCTCCACCGAGCTCATTCTCGTCCACCGGTCACGCTCTCTGCTCCACGCTCTCTCCGTTTCCATGCCCTTCCTAGCCGTCGCCATTTCAGTGGTCCTACGTTTTCTCCAGCTGCCGTTTCTTGTACAGGGCTACGTTTCGGCTTTAGCTCAGAGGTCATGCTTGATCGTTCCGTTGTTGCTTTCGCTGCATCCCACGAGGAATCGGTGAGTACTGGTTTTGCTTCAAAGCTTCTTAATTCTGTGTTAAATATTCTTAAAGTTTAGATTTTTATTCTGTAAATTGCTTGATACTCGAATGTCTGGATTATGTTTAGCAATCAAGTTTAGGAAACGAAAGTAATTGGACTTCGGGGTATGAGTTGTTGCGGATTGTGAATTCACACAGTTTGCTCTTTTTCCTTAAAAATGTGAAATTTTCTTGATTAAGCTATCATATTTTGACATGAGAGGTGCAATTTGGAGTTTGAAATCAGCAGTTTTGATGCATGTATATATGTTTTTGACTAAAATTGGCTAACTTTATTGCCAATATTCGAACAGGAGCAATCAGATGTTGAGGTGGGGAAGGAGAAGAGTGATATAGATTCTGAAGATGATACATCTCAGGAAGCATGGAAACAAACTCTTGCGTCTTTCAAAGAGCAGGTTTCAAAGATGCAGAGCGTGTCATCGGAGGCATACACCGTAAACTCCCAAAAAGCAATGACAATCTTGAAAGATACTTCTGAACAACTTAGGATTCAAGCGGAGAAGGCGAAAGAAGAGTTGGGTACAAAAGCAAAAGAGGTTGGCGAGGAGAGTAGAGAATATATTTTGAAAGCAGCAGAAGAATCACCTTCAGATGTGAAAGAGATCGTCGAAGCATTCGCCTCCACCGAGGATCTGAAAGACGTTTCACGAACGCAAGATTTTCATGTTGGAATACCCTATGGTAAGCACGTTATATATCGTGTTCCTTATTTAAACTTTCATGGTGAGTAAAATCGGATGATAAAAAAAAAATGTATACTTTGCAGGTCTACTCCTGCTTGTGGGTGGTTTCATTTCCTTTATGGTATCGGGAAGCATTCCAGCCATTAGGTTTGGGGTCATTCTTGGTGGAGCTCTTTTTGCACTGAGCCTGGCAAGTCTAAAGTCTCAGAGGAAAGGAGAATCATCTACTAAGTTCTTCAAAGGACAGATGGGTTAGTGAGCTGTTTCATTTGTGTTGATTCTTTCACATATCATCAAAAAGCCAGTGTGAATTTGTGTTTCTGAACCCCTTTGACATGCCAAGTAGCTAACCATGAAGGAATTAGTTAAAGTTGCACTGTTGATTTGTATAGAACTGAGGCTTGTTTCAAGCGGTACTGGGACTTGTTCAACTAGTATATATATTGGGATTTTAGTCAACAGATTATATTTTCACCAATGTGATTTGTCAGATGTGTAAATCAAACTTGTTGACACTCATTTATTTCCATGTTCTTATGTTCAATAGCTATAGTGGCAATCATATTTTTGAGAGAGTTGAAGCTGCTACTATCTCAGGTAACGTGATTATATTTCAAAATGGTTCATTTATTTGAACAATGGCTTTGAATGAAACATAATACAGTCTTTCTTTCTATTCCTACAGAGATCTACGTTCCTGGGTTTTTTGACCACCCTTACGAGGTACATACTAGAGACAAATATTCTTTTACATTTGCAATATCATAAAAGCAACACGAGCGATAGATAATTAATGATGATGTAGTCATACTTTACACATTTTACATTCGTCCATCAACAGAAGTTAGATTCATATGTCCCACTGGGAAAGAAAACACACATTGCATATAAAAGTTAATTAGGATTTACATCAGAAAGAAGGCTTAAATGTGTTGGATTGCTGTTGCAGTGGTGGTGTGTTGGCATTTTACGTGTACAAGATGGTAGGCAAGAGAGAAAAGGGACCAAAGATAGAAGAAGATGGAGGAGAAGATGAATCAAGCGATGGATTTGTAAGAAGAGAAGGATAGAAAAATCATGGAGGGTAACATGAGCATCATATTCTATGTTATTTTGATGTCCAAACACAGGCCGTGTCTATGTTATGGATTGGGAAACATGACCAAGGACTTAATTTTAATAAAATATGTTTAAAAGCTTGTTTTTTTTCACAAAATATATTCTACTATAATTTGAAGTTCACATTTTTTTTTTCATTCATAAAAAACATCAAAAAAACTAATTGATAATGCTTGTAAATTTATATTTTGTTATACATATTTTCTTTCAACAAATTGATTATGGCAGGAGCTATTTATGATTTAGTGGTCCTTTTGTATTAAAACTAATTAGATAAGATGTTTATGGAAAATTTGTATGTTGTTATTTGTTAATAGTGACCATGATTGTATTTTTCATTTTTTTTAATTTTTAATCAAACATTTAAAATACAAATTAGTTTTTCTTTTAAATGAATAAACCAAAAAAAATAAACAAATTAAAAACTACATCGTCAAAAGTTTACTACCAAATTTAATTCAAAAGTAAATGAAAAACTTAAATTGAATTGAGATCACCATTTGACTAGTTCATATCTAAATCTTAAAACTAGGATAGTTTTGGTCTAGATTAATACAATCTAAAATATATATTTAGTTAAAGTGAATTTGACCAGTTTGTGATGTTTTTTATTTTGCTAATAATTAATATTTAGTAGCTTTGGTTAAGCATAGGAAGAAAACCACAAAAAATAGTTCACAAACTACATTTGTGAAACTTTGAAGAGCTATTGAGTTTTTCATCTAACAAACATCGAAATTTGATTACTACAAAAACTTATTAAATTTATTTATAGATAGATTTTCTTATATACCTAAACTATAAAATTGGATAAACCAAACTAATATTCACACATTATACTATTTTGCGTGTTGATTTGGATAAACCAAATATATTTAGCATACTTTTGAGTATTTGAGTTCATAATATTTTAGAAAGTCAATATTTTTACATACTTATTGTCTTTATATAGTTTAGTAAAATTGGACAAATGATAAAAATCTCATGACCGATTATCGCACAATCATTTTGTTTTGTTTTTAGTTTTTTTAAATTGACTGCCATTGGTGTTTTAACATTAAGTTTTTTTTTTGCTTAAAGTCTTTTTTTTTAGTCTAGGCACATTGAAGTATTTTTTTTAACATTAAGTATTTTTTGCTTAGAGTCTTTGTCCAAACACATAGAAGTCTGTTTAAGTTGTGTACAATTTTAGCGATCTAAAATTCTGTGTAATTTGGAGTGGTGTTAGCCCGCCCATCCGGAGATGCTATCAACAATACAAAAAATAACGCTTTGAAATGTTAGCAACGCAGATTAAAGGTGTAGGCATTGGTTGAGACGTTAGTACTTGTGCAAATAATTCCTGATCTTTTTCCAATATTTGGTTTTCGTCAAAGCTTCACCATCCTCCATAAGTCTTTTAACATCCAAGTGTTAGTGTAAAGTGACTAGTGGCTACTCTAATAGCCAAGATTTTAGATAAGAAATTTGAAATTTTTTGCATATTTGCTGTGTCAAGACATAAAGCATGGTTTTGGAGGCAAAAACTGATTCAAACATCCATAAGAGTTCAAAGTTGGCAGGGCTAAAAGATTTATATAAGAAGTGATCATACAGTTTGTTAAGGTTTCAAATGTCCATATGAATTCCACTAGTGTTGGGTTGGCTGTCCAGAGGCATGTACTGCGCCATGATTGTCCGAATCTCTGAGTCCATGTAACTCTGTAAACATGTAATACGGTTCTTTTGGTTATTCAAAAATTATTGACATCTAGATGAATACAGATGCCAAAATCTTGAGAACTCTAAGAAACAGACATTTACCCTGATTCTGTACTTGTAGATGGCATATCCTGTAAGAGTCGCAGCAGCTGATGCAAGTAGGAGAATCCACAGAAAGCTCCAGCTTAGTTTCATCGCTCCGAATTTTCCTGCTCATCAAAGAATTCAGGCTATAGTGGGAGTTTTCATATTGAATGGCAACATTTCGAGGCCGCATTTTAAATATGGATTACCAATGCAAGTATCATGCTCACGCAAGTAAAACAAACCCTTCCCGCAGCTGCATTCATAACTTCCCCATGTGTTCTTGCATTTACACTCAGGGCACTGGCAAGCCACTTTCTCTTTGCACTCATCCACATCTGCCAATGCAGCCCAACAGAACAACCGAAAAAGATGATTGTGAGATCGATATCTTTTACCAAGTTAGCTACTAAGTTACACACGCTTCACTAGTACCTTCACAGCTCTCTACTCCGTCGCCCTTGAACCCAGGCGGGCATTTGCATCCACTTGAATGATCATCCTAGAGAATCCATTAAAGAAAAGAGTTTCTTTTACATTCAAGAAAGTGGTTGTAAAGATATTATTAGACGTTACTTACTTGGGAATGACATAGATGTCAAAATACTTACAAGGCAAGCAGAGTATGTGTAGACACCTCGTGTTTCTCTCCAGCATCCTCCATTGTTGATTCCACAGCGCAAAGCTCCAGAGGCTGTCCACACGTACGAACCGGAAGCAGAAAAATTCTATTAAAAAAGTTGCGTATTCTATTCTACTGAATCACATAGATTTTAACTTAGGAAGACCAGTCAAAAGTTACAAATAGCAGCAATGCCAAAATGTCTCAAACCTCACTGAGTAAACAGAGTTTACCTTTGCAATGAGTGTAACCATCACCAACAAATTTGACACCTTGAACAGTAGGGCACTCACACAGTCTTCCCCTGAAAGTATCCTAAAATACCATTTCAGAACAAAGCAAGAGCAATCAGATTCAGCACCAACAATAAAACAAAAAAAAAGAAGCAAAAAAAGAAGAGAAGTTCAAGCCCAAGTGGATACCAGGCATGCAGTAATGTTAGCAGCTTTGTCTTGCCAGCACCCACCATTGTTTTCTAAACACTCATTGGTGTTTTGATCTGCAAACATATAACAAACAGCCAAACAAATAAAAAAAACCAAGTTATTGAAAATCTAAATAACAATGTTTCACGATAATCTTTCAGAGAAATGTTTCAGGGTAAATAATAATGTGACCTTCAGTTAGACATATTGCTGGTTCTGTTGTCTCTTGAAACCCCGCACATAAAGCTTTGAGCACTGCTCCTTTTTCCAACTTACCTTAAACCACCGACAAAAATCGAATCAGAAACAGTAAAATAGGGAAAAAATGCTTTGGTTATAACTACACTAAATATGGGTATGAGTACCTCTGTATTGCCTGTTGTTGACCACAAGTGTTGGGAGGATAGTCACGTCTCCACGGGAATCTTTGCCTACCTGAATTAGACTTGTTTCAGAACACTTAATGAAGAGGCTAATATATTTCAATAAGCTCCACATTAGTTATGAGTCAATTGTCTCCCAAAATAAAGACAAACCTGTGACTCCTGCTCTGCTTTAAGAACTGGATTCTCCACATCTGCCTCAGGGTCTCCAATACACTCGTCTACCTTCTTGAGATCAATGCCTTAAACCACATCACAGAAACAAAATGTATAATCAGCTTATTAGTTGGAAATAATATAGGGCAAAAAACTCATAAGCTAATGAAAGCAATACACTCACCAAGTGACTTGATAACTTCATCTGCGCATTCCTTTGTGTACTTGTTATCTTTCATGGGACACCTTACAGAAAAGTCAGTCACATAGTCCCACCAGATCCATGGCTTACCGGTCTCATTAACCACTCTATAAACACAAGCGTGGCGTAAATTCTGAACAACAACATCTTTTCCATCGTAACCTCTACTAAAATCCTGCTCAGGATCCGGAGCACAGTACCTTCCATGATTGATACACTGAGACTTGCACTGTTTACTCAACCGAAAAGCCTTGGGGCAATACCAAGTGATGAAATGTGGTGTGAACTGAGTATACCCTCCTTTCTCAAGAATCTGAGCTGCTCCTTTAAAGTTCTTGAGAAACTCAATCTGAGTATCACATTTCTTGCCGCACTCGTCGTTGCTATCGGTCCAGAGCTCGTATTCAACACGCTCGTCGGGATGTGGAACAGACTCGGTCCAGTCTAGGTTCATGTTAACCATATTACCATCAGACAGAGCAGACTTTATGCTGTCTCCCAGCGATTTGCTTATCAGAGCAGAAGGAATGGTAATCTTGTCGAGATAATCCGCATCAGCATTGTCTTCTTCAGGTGTATCCATTGTGATTAATGGCTCGAGTTTGTTATCTGCCACCAGAATCGCAGCTGCCCCTGCTTGCTGAGCGTTCCATGCCTTCAAAGTGAAATAGCAATCTGTTCATAGAGAAGTAAGAAGGAAACAAATTTAAGAGTCTAAGCCACTCTACAAGCCACACAAGGAAAGAAAAAAAAAAAACAGAGTTGAAACAGAGTAACAAAACAGAGATTTTGTAATCAGCTCATTAACATAAAGCCTCGAACTAATTAACTAACTGTTTAACCACTAGCAAACTCAGTTAAAACACTAAAAATCAAAACTTTATCAAGAAAGCTAGCAAATTTAATGTGACATAGAAAAGAAGTATGAACCTCCTCGATCAATAAGAAGGAAAGTGGGTAATCTCCCAGGTGTGGATTTGAAGGAGACACCGAATTCGCTGAAGCTCTTACAAGCCTTGTGGTTCGATACGGGATGCACGACGGCTCCGACAAGTGTTCCACCGTATTTTGGAATTCCAAAATTCCCAATTGCACATTCGTAAACACCTTTGATGGTCTCTGGTGACGTCACTTTCAGATTGTTCTTCTCCACCAGAAATTTACCCAACGCAAGTTGCAAGATGAGAACAAACGAGAGTGTTATAACCCCAAACTTCTCCTTCATGATTTCTAATCAAGCACCAACTATATAAGAGGCAAAACCACTGGATCAAATCAAGCTTGATCTTTTGGCAAAGGATCAAGCAAGGTTAGAATTTTTAATGGGTTCTTCAAACTAAATGCAGTGATGGGAATAAGTTAAGCAGAAGAGACTTCTAAATTAGTTATTGTTCATTGTATAAAAGGAGATTGTTGTTTTTTGTTGGAAAAAAAAAAAGTGTATAGAGTTCAAATTTTAGAATGCATGGGAAGTACGTGTTTCTCGTCGGTGTTTAGCACGAGGACGTCTAAGAGTGGGTCCTTGTCTTGCCTTCATCTCTCACGTGTTGTCCATTTTCAGAGTTTTTATTTTGTTTTGCTAAATATTTTGGTGCATCCATTTAGAAAGTTTTTTTTTTGGTAAGAAAGGTTATCCATTTCAAAGTTCACTCTCTTTTCTTACGTCAACGTGATATATGCCTAAATTTGCGGTGTCTATTTGTCACTCTAACTGGAAAAATCCTTTCTAGATAATTGTTGAAACTATAGAAGGATTATTGGATCAATTATTCAAAGTTATATATCTTTGACACCCTAACTCGAAAAATCCTTTCTAAATATTTGTAGAAACTATAGAAGGACGACTAACCCTTTTGACCAAAAAAAAAACATAGAAGGATTTATTGGATCAATTATTCAAAGATTATCTATGCTTTTAAATAGAATGCCTTTTATCAAAAAAAGAAGAAGTTATTTATACATGATCTAAAATTATTCAAAAAAAGTAATCTAGAATTGTCCAAAATTATCTATGCTAAAATCTTGATAACATTTAAAAAAGAGTTTTATGTGTGTGGATCCTTGTACATTATATCATTTATGTTGTAAACAGACTAAAAAATAGGAAAGTATTATTTCATTTTTCATAAAAGAAGGCAAAACAAACAATAACAACTCTGGCCCAATTATGGCCTGATTTGGCCCATGCTTGATGTAGTAATCTCGGAGCAGAAGCGTGAATCTAGTAGTATCCATAGACTCAGCCACGTGATCGAAACCGTTGATTCTCTAAGGTTTTAACTGAAACCGTTGATCACATCTCCTCAGTTATATAAATAAATAAGGAACACTGTTTCACTCCGTAATCTCTATCTTCTCCGTCGCGACCAAAACGAAGCTCCGCCGAACAAATCTCGTAATCTTTTCTATCCTTCCTCCATTCTTCTTCAATCGCTACTTGAGCTTTTTTGGGGTTTTTTCTTTTTTTCTTTTTGTTCTGAGTCGGCTTCGATCTGCCGGTGTTTTTGCTCTGTGGAGCTAGGGATTCGAGGGACGATGGAAACTGAATTGATTGAATTGTTCGAGGGGGCAAAAAAGGCGGCCGATGCGGCAGCTCTCGACGGTGTTACCTCCTCAGGTCCGGAGATTTCTCAATGTCTCGATGCCCTGAAGCAACTCAAGAAGTTTCCTGTCACATACGACACGCTCGTTGCGACTCAGGTTCGTTCCCGATTCATCTCTTTACGCTAGAAAAATTTGTTATTTTTCATTTAAGGAAACGTCCTTATTTCGTTTTCGACTGATACGGTGTGTTGATTGGAGGATTTTATGAGTGTTGCTTGCCTAATCTCGTAGCATTGACTTGTGTTATTAGGGTTATTTGATTTTATCTGAAAAAAAAAAAACTTGCAGAAATTTGAAACGATTTCACTTTAATCAAGAGATGAAGAAGCTTGAACAAATTGCTTAGTGTTTTGTATGAGACGTCCGACTAAAATTATTGGAACAAACCCTAAGATTTCCCTTATTTACAGAATGAATTAAGTCATGCATTTGAAAATACATCTTTTGTTCTGGTTAGGAGATTGTATTCAAGTGTGCGCTGATTTTTTATTCTTTACGCTACAAAAATTTGTTATTTTTCATTAAGGAAACGTCCTTATCTCGTTTTCGACTGATACGGTGTGTTGATTGGAGGATTTTGATGAGTGTTGCTTGCCTAATCTCGTAGCATTGACTTGTGTAATTAGGGTTATTCGATTTCATCTGAAAAATAAAGAAAAAGACTTATAGAAATTTGAAACGATTTCACTTTAATCAAGATATGAAGAAGCATGAACAAATTGCTTAGTGTTTTGTATGAGACGTCCGACTAAAATTATTGGAACAAACCCTTAAAAGATTTCCCTATTTACAGAATGATTTAAGTTATTTGAAAATACACCTTTTGTTCTAGTTAGGAGATTGTATTCAAGTGTGCGCTGATTTTCAGTTAAGCTTATTGTTGATTCTCTATCCCCTGGAATGTTGATCTTGTTTGTTCTGCTTTAGAGAAAGTTATATCCTTTTTCTTGCTTCCAGGTAGGGAAGAAGCTGAGGTCTCTTTCAAAACATCCTGTTGAGGAAATCAAAAGCGTAGCTACTGATCTGCTTGAGATATGGAAGAAAGTTGTTATTGAAGAGACATCCAAGGCTAAGAAAATCGGAAGCACAAACGGTGTCAAATCTGAAACTGCCAAAGACGGTAAGATAGATAGGAAGGATGTTGAGAGGACTTCCAATCCCGCGCCGGTAAAAGTCCAGAAACTTCAAAGGGGTGATTCAGCTAAGAGTATCAAGGTAGAGAAAAAGGAACCAGACAACAAAGTCGGTGCAAAGATAGAGAGAAAGGAACAAGACAACAAAGTCAATACCGGAGCCAAGTTAGATCATCGTGGTCAGACTGTCAAGGATGAAAAGGTCTCAAAGGAGAACCAATCAAGTACGAAAGCTCCTGCTAAATCACCTAATGCTCCTCCAAAGCTAACTTCAATGCTCAAATGCAATGATCCCGTGCGTGACAAAATCCGTGAGATGCTTGTGGAGGCACTGTCAAGGGTTCATGGAGAATCTGATGAGTACGATAGAGAGAAAGTGAATGGATGTGATCCATTCCGCGTTGCTGTCTCAGTGGAATCTCATATGTTTGAGAAATTAGGCCGCTCAACCGGAGCTGAGAAGGCCAAGTACAGATCTATAATGTTCAACCTGAGGGACAGTAACAACCCAGACTTAAGAAGGAGAGTTCTTACCGGGGAGGTGCCACCAGAGAAACTCATCACACTGTCCGCTGAAGAAATGGCAAGCGACAAGAGGAAACAAGAAAACAACCAGATCAAAGAGAAATTCCTGTTTAATTGTGAGCAGGGTCCTGCACCAAAAGCAAGTACGGACCAGTTCAAGTGCGGGCGGTGTGGTCAGCGCAAATGCACCTACTATCAGATGCAAACAAGGAGTGCTGATGAGCCGATGACGACTTATGTTACATGTGTTAACTGCAACAACCACTGGAAGTTCTGTTGAGGTGAGATCTCTGTGTGTTCTTTTTATTCCATGATACCATGTTGTTAAGACATAGAGGCTATTTGATTAATTTATCAAGAGCCTCATGTCCATTTGCCGGCATTCTGAGAATGTTCTGGCTCTGATGTTTGTTTAAGCATACCATTTCAGTGTCCTAGAGATTAGTTAGTAGGGGAGTTTACTAATTTAGGTGTTTGTAGCTTTTATTTCTTTTGCGTCTTTTATTTCAGAATGTCAAACTCATCAACTTTCTTTCACATTTTATCAAATTTTTGATTTTAGACTTGTATGTATCTTTTTTTGTCTCTTCTTTTATCATATTGAACGGTTGAACCTTTCACAGCCTCTAATGTATATGTGTTATGGATCGAAAAGTTTCGTCTCCAAAGTAAGGGACCGATGAAAAAACAGAGGATATTGTGGCATAAATAAGCTAAGTTCTTGTTGCATTAAACAGAGGATATTGTGTCAATGTGAACTCGAATGTATGTGTTATTGACCGAAAAGTAGCATCAATAGATAAGCTAATTTCCTCGTTGCATTAGACCATTACTGTCATTGTAAACTCGAACTTTATTTGAACAAGACTTTTCTTTACATTTTCTCTATCAGACAGCCGAAGATGTAAGTCGACATGAATTGCAAACAATGAATACAATGACTTCTAACCGAATATTTCCCATTCTTCATCGTCCAAATTTCTCTTCTTTCGGCTGAATCTATTATTGCTTCTCCTTTGCCGTCTTCTATCAGATGAACCGTCAAGCTCTTCAACGTCAGAGTACTCACTACCAAACTGAGCATCCCAAAGACCCTGTTTTCAAAAGTCTTTCTTCAAATAATCCATTTAAGAGTATATGGAAATTCTCAAACCATGACATTACAAGACAAATACCTTTGTCAACCTCTGTTTTCTAGAAGCCGCAGCTTCGTGAACCACAACTATGTCTTCGAAGACCTCGATTATGTCCTCGACATGTAACCTGTATGTACTCACCTGCATCATCACAGACACAGTTTATCATTCTATACTTGGATTAGATGCTTGTATCTCACATCAACCATATTTGGGCTAAGTTACCCACCAAGCTTGATGGTATGATGGTTACCCCGAACGAATCAAGCTCAAGCGATTCAACTATACCCGAGTTAATGTTAAATGAGTAACCTCGAACCTGAAATCAATCCTTTGCTTTCAGCTAGTAAACAAGATATTGGGCAAAGAGACAGATCTCATCACTGAATAAGATCTAGGAAGATTATAAACACCTTTCCGATGTTACGCCCTCCTGGTGTCACTACTCTGTAACCTACCTAAACAGAAAGTGAGAAATCAATCTTAGACTTGCTTAAAGGTAGGTGATTCACAAGACAACGAACTAAAGAGACTCAATTGATCTATACCAGTGTTTCAAGCCCAACCATTTTAAATTCAGTATCCATTACAGCCTCATCTTCCACAAGCACAACATCACCCACCTACAGAGATGTTGACATAAACTGAGATGTGAACACATTTCCAGAGGAAGCCAGTTCAATGTAGTAGAAAGCAAATGTAGTACCCGGACAATGTCTTTGAGCAGGAATCTCTCAGATTCTCCAGATAGCAAGCTGGGCTTAACATCAACCACCAAAACCAACCACTGAAAATCGACAAAACTAATCGTGAATGATGGAGCTCCTATTGTACATAAACAGTCTCAGTATAAGACTTGTTAGCTTCCCAAACTCGGCAAAAGAGACAAACTTTGAAACTCGCAAGTGAAAAAAATTATTGCTTGAAAGGTGAATCGATTCAACAAGAACTTACAGAGGAAGTGTCAACCCACAGCTGAGAGATAAACCCTAAACTCAGAGCTGATTGTATACTAATAACTTGCTTAGCAACAAGATTCGATCTCGTCGTCGTCTGTTTAAACCCTTTCGAGCCAGTGTTTATCGGATCGTTTTCACCTACTAGCCGAATCAAATCACCATCTCGAGGAAACTCTGCACCATCGTTTTCGAGGAAACCCGAAGGAGAAGAATCCACTACATCTTCTTTCAAGCAAGAGACGAATCCGTCGCTCGATTTCTCTTTAAAGCTGAATTTCCCGAGAAAGGCTGAGTTTTTGGAATCAACCGCACCAGAATAAAATCGAGATCTTGTTTTTGACGAGGAAAGGTTTTTAATCTCATGGATTGAGACGTGAATCCTCCCGGATGTATTGATGATCCAATTTTGAATCCGTCTACAATTCTCTGAACTGGGTCGAGCATTGAGGACGGGAAAAGAAAGGTAAAAGGAAGAGGAGCAATTGCACATAGCTAGAGAAGAGCCCTAGAATTCAGCACAGAAGAAGAGCCGCTTCAAGCTTTAGTTTTGATGAAGACAACATGCGATGTTTGCAAATGTATCTGTTGTCGGAGTAGCCACAAAAAGGATAAAGATGAGAAATATTTGCAAATTATCTAATTGTGGTTTTGCCAATTCTGCTTCAAGTATGTGCAGATTTTTTGCTCAAGTGAGAAGGGTCCAAGAGAAATGAGCTACAATGTAGTCTTGAAAAGCTCCATCTTTAAGAAAAAACGGTTCCGATAATTTCTCGAGGTTTCAGAGAACGACTTGAATCGTGTCGTAGTTGCCCATTCTAAACGTTTTTCCTTTTTTTTCCATTTCTTGAGCTGAAAAGATTAATAATCTCTGAATTGTACTGAAACCAACGATTAGAGAATAAGATGTACAAAATGGATTAACTTTCATTTAATTTTTTTTTTGTCTCAATGAAAACGAGTTAACATAAGGACATGTTAAAAGAAAAAAAAACGAGTTAACAAAAAGTAAGAAATTAATTAGTATCAAATGACTCTTGTTCGCTCGGACTAAAGAAAAAATTGACCTTTTTTTCTCTTTTGTCCTTTCCTCGGAAAATCTCAAACGCTAAGTTTTCGTCTCGAATTTGCGCATTCGCCTCGTTTCACCATCCTTTGTCGCAGAGTGAGCATACCCAACACGCATTTCTCATTTCTCGCCTCAAATTCGATTTCTTTCTCTCTTTCTTATTAATATTCTTCTCAATGTGCATTCAGATCTGACTTCTTAATTTTTGTTTTCCCGGAGTTTGATGAGGGAAAGTTTAGAGTCGCTTGATGAATTTATTTCAATCCTTAAACTGATTGCGTTTTGGAAGCTGGATCAGGTATGGATGATGAGAAGAAGAAAAAGCGAAACAAGAAGAAGAAGACCAAGCTCAATAATAAACGTGCAGACGACGCTATAGCTGCCGGAGCCGTGACCTCGGAGGATGGGAATCATATCGGAGACGGTGACATTGCTCAAATTAGTCAAGTCCCAGATTCCAATGAAGTGCAACCGTGTCACCAGGTCAATGTCGTCGTCGAAACTGTAAGTTTCATATATTCTTAGATCGATGGAACATCGCTATAGATTGCTTCTCATTTTCAATTAAACATTCTGTGACTATTGTCTTCTTTTGATTTGATTGGAGTTGATACGACATTTGGTATAATTTGATTGACTTCTTAGTTTATATGTCAATGCAGTTGGGTATTGTACTATTGTTAGACATTATATATACCACATTGAATGATTGATTGATTGAATGCAATTTGTTTCATTTGTTGAATGGATTCGTCACTCTTTGGGTGTTTGCTTATTGTAACCAATGTGTCTACTTGTAAATTGTAATCCATCTTGGTTTGTATAGAGATGATAGACAAGACAACAACATAAAATATTGAATGGGATAGTGCATGAGCTTCATGATCTGACACTGTTAAATCTTCTTATTTCAAGCAGGCAGATGAATCTGGTGTTGAGAACAAGCCTCTGACCAGTGAGGTCAGATTTCTCAATGTGTCTTGTATCGTTATTTGGTGCAAGTCTTTGCGTAAACTGGGGGTTTTGTTGAGTCTCTTCTGCAGAGTAGATTACTGTCGTTTTGACCGGCTAATGTATAAGAGAAAGATCTAATAACAACAAGAACAAAAATGCTTGTTATCTTGAAGAGTCTCTTGTTTTCTTTTCTATCTATTCACTTGAATCTCAGAACTAGTTTGTAATGCTGTTGTAGGCGTTACTGGAAGAAACAATCAAACAGTTACGTGATGAAAATGGATCATACCTTCAGAAAGAGGTGATATTCTCTTACCAAGCCTTTTTTCTTTTTATTAGTTTTCCTAAGGAAACCTCTCCACCACCTGTCATGGTTATTTTTGTCTCGGTGGAATAGTAAAAATTGAATTGCCATGTCTTAATAGGCTGGTTTTGAAGAAACTGTTAAACGCTTGGAAACTGAGAATGAAGCTCACGTACAAAAAGAGGTTAGTGAAGAATAGAGTAAAGCCCTTTTCACACTTTGTCGTTATCCTGCTTCGTCTGCAAGCTGAAAGGTAAAAATATTATGGTGTTTCACAGGCACTGCTAGAAGAAAGGCTTGTGCTTTTGAAAACAGAAAATGAAGCTCACATACAAAGTGAGGTTAGTGAAGAAATAGCATATAGCCGTATCGATAGCTTGCTACTTTGCTCCATTATTTGCAAGCTGAAGGTCAAAATAACATGTTGTTTCAGGCACTTTTAGAAGAAAGGCTATTGAATTTGAGAACAGAGAATGAAGCTCACATACAAAATGAGGTTGGTGAAGAAATAGCATAAATCCGTATTCGTAAATTTGCTGTTTTGCTGCATTATCTGCGAGCTGAAGGTCAAAATAACGTGGTTTTTCACAGTCACTGTTAGAAGAAAGGCTCTTGCATATGAAAACTGAGAATGAAGCTCACAAACAGAACGAGGTTAGTGAAGAAAATAGCATACAGTTGTGTGCATAGCTTTGTTATTTTGTTGGATCATCTGCAAGCTAGAGGTCAAAATAACATGGTGTTTCACAGGCACTTTTAGAAGAAAGGCTCTTGAATTTGAAAACTGAAAATGATGCTTACAAACAGAACGAGGTTAGTGATTAGTGAAGAAAATTGCATACAGCTGTGTGTATAGCTCTGTTATTTTGTTGAATTATCTGCAAGCGGAAGGTCAAAGTAACATCGCGTTTACCCAGGAAAAGTTGGAGGAAAGACTTGTGCAGTATAAAACAAAGAACGACATGCTTGTTCGTGAAATGGTGAGACATCATCAAATCTGGGAGCGTTCTTTAGTACCTATTGTTTCTCCTTTGTGTGATCATATGCGAGTTACTTTTATCTCTTCAACTTGGTTTGCTTCCTCCTAATTTTCTCTTCGTATGCAATAGGAATTGGATCACCGGTATTTAGCATCAAATCAGAAGATGAATGCTATTAAGAGGGATAAATATTACTACTCTCACAAGTTGATAGAGAATGAAATTTGATCTTGACTAACGTAAAAGAAAGTCATGTTGTCAGGACATATCAGATTGCTATTAGATGTCACGTTAGATTTCATATGGAGGAACCTGTTATATGTAGTTCCTAAAGTTTATATAAATTTGGCAGGCTAGTACAGAAGTCAAAATGAGCCAATTGCTAGACGAAATATCTACATTCTCTCAGAAAGAGGTATGTCTCCATTCATTGGAAGATAACAGTTGCTTCTTCTTCTGTAACTGTTTATGATGCATTCTCGTCGCATAACCTTTGTCAAAATTGCATGATGTCAATCAGGCGAGTCTAGAAAAGAAAGTTCAACAACTTCAACATGATGAAGAATCCTCGGTGGCTGTGGAGGTAACTCTATCTGACACTAGAAAGCTTGATACCCATTCTTAAGTAAAAGTGTCTTAAGAGTTAGAATAAGATCGCCATGGTTTACTCATCATAGACCTTCAATCTTGCAGAAGTCATCCCGAGAAATGATTTCTAGCCTGAACATTGAAATTGCAAGACTGCGAGCACAGGTATGTGTTTCATCTATTAATTTGAACTTTGAATGATTCTCTCATTTCACGAGTGGTTCATGAATTGCATATGAGTGTGTTACTGTAGTCTCTTAGTGAATGTTTACTGCTTTTACTCGTGTAAAACAGGAAGCCTTTAAGGATAGTACTGCATAGATTTAGTCTGATATGAACATTAAAACAAAGTTTGGCAGGTTATGGAGTTGGAAGAATCTAGGAGTAAGATTCTGGAGCAGAATCAGAGCCTGGTGGGAACTGTATCCAATCTCCAGGTCCAGCATGAAAACCATGAGAGTAACGCGAAGGTTAGGCTTTGAACACTCCCAGTATGCAAGATTCTAAATTCTAAAACTTTAACGTAAGCCTTTCCAATGAAGGTTTAGAAATGTATGAAACGGTTTCTATTGGTTGATATAGGGTGCTTCTGAGGAAGAATTAAACTCACAGATTGAAGCAGCTTGTGCTCTAGTTGAAAAGCTTATCACTGAAAATGCTGAACTTGTTGAAAAGGTAACGTGTACTGCCATAGATCGTATTGAGTTATGTTGTTGTTGGGTGATTGAAAGTCTCACTAGTTACATAATTATGACTACATTATCAGGTGAACGAATTGTATATTAAGCTAAACCAATCACAGCATGCTTATCCTTCATCGCCTGAGAGCCTAGCAATTGAAGTACAGAAGTCTGAATCATTAGAAGAAATACCAATACACGACGAGTTGATTAATAACTCTAGAGGCGTGGAAACTGCATTCGTAGAGAGAAACTTGTCAGAAGGCGAAACAGAAAAAACAGTGCCGGTTTCTCTGAATCCGAATGGAGAAATAGATGTGGAATCGCAGGTTGTAGTAGCTGGAGAAGGAGAAGTTAGTGTTGGTGTGCCTCTGGTGGACGCTCCACTCATTGGTGCTCCGTTCAGGCTCGTCTCTTTTGTAGCAAGATACGTGAGTGGTGCAGATTTGGCGGAAAAGAAATAGTGTGTTTGTAAAAACCCAAAACAATACATTGGAAGGCAGAGAAGATGTATCACTGCGCTATCTCTCTCACTGAGGATCATTGATTAGCTTTTTCCACAACACTTACGATACACATGTTTTTTTTTTTGGGCAAAACAATACACAATTGTAATTTTTTTGCTAGGATAATGATGATGGTGATGATGACGACAGAGTGCATCAAGTTGTCCGTTGTGATTCTGTTTTCCTCATTTTTCTTTCTCGGCATTAAAAAAAAAAACATGAGTGTAAACATCATCTTTAGCCATCTGAGCAAAGACATGAATCATGGAAACAGCAAACTCAATGAGCATATACCAAATTATGTTTGAATCTATCGTAAATTCCAAGCTGAGAGATACGCGTTAGACACAAATTATTACACATAGAAGTCAAATTATTACGCATAGAAAAAAAAAATATATATATAATTGCACATATATATATAAGACATGCAGACCGTGTGAGAGATTTTGAGCTCGATTTTGATTTATCGGTGAGTTAGTTAGGGTCGTTAGCTTCTTTTTGGTCACTTTTTTTTGTAAAACGGAGGGAACTTTAGTCAAATCTGGAATTATGAGAAAAATATGGTAATTTTGGAAAGTAAAATGTAAGAGATTTGTAATCTAGGGTATTTTCTATCATATCTTCCCTCTTAAAATCACAACATGAAATGATGTGAACTCTTACTTTTTTATATATTTGAGAACATCTATTTTTTTTTTTTTTAGAAGATGAGAGCATCTTCCATAATAGGCTTGGTTGGTTATGTTATCTTGCAAAACTTTGATATTATTATGTGGAAGTTGATAAGAATATATAATTTAGCTAAGAACGGGGTTAACCCAAACTGGAGGAGCTTGGCTTACAAGAACAATATCCAATTTCCTTTTCTTTTGTACAACGAGCCAAACAATCCAATTTTTCTATTTAAAGAGAGAAGCAAAGAACCAAAAAAAAAAAGAAACTGAAACCGAGGAAATGACTTCCTAAAAGCACATAACCGGTTGAGTGGCGCATTGCCATAACGTGCTTACAAACACCGATCGTGAGATATTATACTCTTGGGATTGGCATATAAGTGGCTCAAAATGGGAACATCGATCCCTCAAACAATTAAAGAATTCTAAAGGGATAGAAAAAGAAGGTGTTGCGAGTGGCATTCAAATCTATGAAAATTCAAAGGGAAAGAAATACATGAAAATATATCAAAAGGAGCGTTCATGAGATGAGCTCATTGGCTATTCTTTTTTATTTATTTATGGTTAAAGCAACAACTCTTAACGAAATTGCCCATTTAGTAGTAGTGTTGACAACTCTTACCTCCATTAGTTGGTTTCCTTTACATTTTCCATTAGATTACTACTTACGTGTCATCCACTTTTCTGTTGACAAATATATTAATAACAATCCAATATTGCTTTGTCAGCATCCAATCCATTATTTAGTCGGTCCAATTTTTTTTCGTTGGTCTGTGCCCAATCCTTAATTTTTTTTGATAATTACAAGACCTTCCTTGGCCCTAGCTAAGAAACTATGTGTATTGAATAGGGAGACTTACAAGTTAAACAAGTTAAAACAAAACTAGATTACCATTAAAAATATTGCAGAGCTTATCTCAAAAAAACCTCAAATATTGAAACCCTAAAATTTTAGTACAATTGACGATGCATGGAAAGTGCTTTCAAGTAGGTGTATCAAAAATATAGAAATATATATATATGTATGTATATTATGTGGAAAGGAAAGACTAGTGAGCTCCTCCACCTAGTGTTATATACTAACTAAAAGATACCATGCCACTTAGTAATGCAAATGATGTATCATTAGTACTATATAGTAGAGGACGGTATGGTATCTATGTGGAGGAAGTGTTTTACAATATAAAAAGTGGCGCATAATTTGTGTGCTAGTGAATTTGTGCGCTTGCTGTGTTTGACCCCATTTATAAAATTTAGAAAATATTATTTTATTAAAATTTCTTCCTTTCTTTTTTTTTTTTGTTAAAATTACTTTTGCATACCTCATAAGTCATAAGTTCTTCAGAAAATGGTGAGACATAGTTGATGAAACCAGTATCTTCTACCTAACCAAAGCTCTTTAAATATCACTCTATAACTAACATCTCCTCTTACGACTACAATACTAATTAAGCCGATCCACCACCACATCATAGGTATTTTTGCTGATCTTCTTCACTTTTCTAACATCTCCTCCTGGCATTCTTCTTTCATTATTGACCCAATACAAGCAAACTCTCTTTCTCGATCTCTCTCTCTTTTTATTTTGTCAAAAGAAAGTCCTCTAATTTTGCTGTCCACTACTTTAATTTTGGTTATTTCATTCTTCATGAATGAAATAATGTGGTGAATCACAAATGGTTAATAAATTTGACTTTTCAGATGATTCAGAGATTAGTCTAGTTTCGGTTTAAAATAAGTAAGTAAACATAGATAGCGAGTCTGACGAGACTTTAGAATATGTTCTTCTAGCTTTTAATTTGCTATAGTCATTATATATCTTTGATCTCCATTTTTTTCTAGGATTTCTTTCAGTTTTGAAATTAGCTTAATAAATGTAAGTGTTTGAATTAGAAAAGGATGCGGAAGAGAGAAAGGTTTTATTTTCCTTCCTCAAGAAATCATTGTTCACTGGTCACTGGTCACTAGCTAGAGTTGCCAATAAGCATTTTTATGATCTCAATCTAATTTTGCATTAAATCTAAAGGATAGAGAAAAGCAGAAGAATCAAAAGCAATGGAGAAGTACAAGAGAGAGACGTTGCTTCTCATCTTTCTAACAATCTCCTCGGTGGCAACGAGCACAAGTCCAGCTTGGATGCCGATGGACGGAAACAATCCGACTAGCTATTGCTTAAGCTGGAGACTAGCAATAGAAACCAACAATGTACGTGCGTGGCGCATCGTTCCCTTGCAATGTATGCGCTACGTTGAGGTATATATGCTTGCTGGTCAATATGAAAGAGACGTAGAGTTGATTGTGGAACATATTAACGTCTATCTCAACGAGATAGTCCTTCCTGGTGATGGCATGGATGCATGGATCTTGGATGTTGATGATACTTGCCTCTCAAACGTCTTTTACTATCGGCTCAAGCGATACGGGTACACACTTGTTTTTTTTATTTTCTTTTCTTCTCCTCACATTATTACTACTTTTGACCAATCCGGCTAATAGTGATCTGACATGTAGATGCGATCCTTATGATCCAACCGGATTTAGAACATGGGCGATGAAAGGAGGGTCTCCAGCAATACAGCCCGTTCTTGAGTTATTCAATAATCTTATAGAAACTGGCTTCAAAGTTTTCCTAGTAACCGGAAGAGATGAAGAGACACTTCGTCAGGCAACAGTAGAAAATTTGCATAATGAAGGATTTACTGGTTATGAAAGGTTGATTATGAGGTAAAGTTAAGGAAGCTTGTTTACTTATTCAAAGATTTTTGTTCTCGAAGACCAAGCCTCTTACAATATGTGGACTATTATTCTACTTGCAGGACAGTAGAAAACAAAAAGCAAAGCGCGACAACATACAAGACAATAATCAGAAAGAAAATGATGGAAGAAGGTTACAGGATATGGGGAAATGTAGGCGACCAATGGAGTGACTTGCAAGGAGAATATTCAGGGAATCGCACCTTCAAGTTACCTAACCCTATGTACTTCGTTCCCTAAGAATTTCACGAAATACCATTTTCTACCAATCAGATACATGTACAACAGGACTATATATATATATATATATATACACAAGTGTATGTCTAAAAAAGTGTTGGAATAGTAAAAAATCATTCCACCTGCTGATTTCTCTCTGAACAAGAAACTTTTCTTGCACGTAAATAATTTAAATACTCAATCGCCTGTTTTCAATAAGGTTTTTACAACCAATAATAATGGACTTTCAATTTAGAAACAATTGGGAATACATGCACCATTCCGAGTTCTCTTCATAGAAACTCAAGTGATCAACTTTATGCCTTATGGTCTACAATAATTCTTTTCCAGAGGATGAGAATTTTTACCAATATAGTTGACAGGAAGAGTATATAATATCTCAATACAATGTTGGAAGTACAAAAATAAACAAACTTTTATATAAAAGTTTTCCAAAATCAAACGATAAGAATCAATCCAATAAATGTGTCTTTTGTTGTTTTTGTTTTTACAATAAGAATTTCAATCCACGCCCTTTACCCTCCCCAACCTCAATCTTTTACCCACCATATATATTTTATATATCTCGACCTTCTTTTTTTTCCTTCTCTCTTTTTTTTTTTTTGTTTCTCTGAATCTTTTTTAAATATTCTGTAATGAATCTCTGATGTCGTCTCATATAGACGAGAATAAAAACAAAAAATAAATAAAAATAAAGGAAAGCCACAGGGTCGGTCGCTCACCGGAGAGAGACCAAGGGAGGCCTTGACTTGACCACCCACCACTGCAGCCACTACTTTTGGCCAAAACCAAATATACACACATGTGTGTTTGTGTATGCAGACATGTACTTTTTTGGCTGAAGAAACCAATTAAAACGCTCCTTTAGCATCCTGTTTTGGGGCGTTTACCACTTGAATTGAAAGGCGAAACGCTTCCACCGCCACTTGGCCCTGGACTCTCTTCCCTCAGGTTGTTCGAGTTTAGCAACGCTAGTTCCCTCAGCTGCTGTCTCTTTATGAAATCTTGCGACTCGTCCTTCATTATAACCCACACACACAAGAGAAACAATATGCATGTTAAAATGTTATATTGCTGGAGTCCTATTTTGCATAGATCCAAGACAAAACGATGAAGTATTTGTAAGAAAAGATGGTTTCTTTTTGGCGTTTGCGATTAAACCAATTGCTGCATTGACTGGTGTAGTGGTCACACATGTCTGCATAATTGAATACTAACCGCAAACTCCAAATAGTGGGTACTGAAATATAAAGGTTGAGACAAAAACAAGAGGCCCTACAGGTAATAAGTATAGAGTCTCAATACGGCAAAACAACTAAGAGAGAACCTAAAATAAAAACGTGGCCTTTCAATTTTAATCCCCATTCAAGGAAGACAAGAATATTTTCTTAATGACTTGTACTGATCATAGCAAAACAAAAGATAGAAAATTTTGGAGGAAAAATATGTGTTACCACAGGCTTTAGTAGCTCTTCTATAATTTCTTGAGCTTGTCGCAGACGTATCTCCACGATACTGGCTGGTAGATCTGCTTCTATTAATATGTGAAGCTGCTCATTCAGGTGTTCATAACCCGGTCTTCCCCTTAGCTTATCTTCCTACAAACAGAAAAACCAATAAAATCGTTATTCAAAGGCATGTTATTCAATACTTTTTTGATTGCCAGAACACCAGTTTGGAGCCAACTGGTTGGTTAATTTGTGAAAGTGTTTAACAAAGTCCTGAATATTTCATGAATCTCACCTTCTCAGGATCCTTGATTGACCCTTTCCCTCTGATGAACACACGGCAACCTGTTGTAGCTTCAACGCGTTTCAACGAGTTGCCTCTAGGCCCGAGAAGTCTCCCAACAAAATTGAACTGATAATTAAAAACAGAGGAAAAAAACATGGAAAGTTCAGAAACCATACCAAGAGGTTCTTTGCATATAGAGTAAATGAAGAGCAAACACATAAAAATATTTCAAAATCTGAGTACTCACATTAGGATAGCTATCTACAGGAATCTCCAGACGCAATATCCTTTTCACGGTGTATGAACTGGGGCTTCCGGGTGCTCCTTGCCAATCCATTGTCATTCCAGGTGTTCCACCTAGTCTCTGTTAAGAAACTGAATGCCATTAGCTTACCTCACAAAACACAACTAATATCGATCAGCGTAAACACAGCCTAGACGAGCTTGATGAAGCATTGTGAAAGACAGAAGGCTAACATAATTGATTATCGTACTCAGGCCTAAACTAAGAGATCGTGAATGAAAGGTGAAACCCAAGATAACAATAAAGACAGAGCTTAATAAAGAACAACAACGATAGAACTGTGCAACTGAAGAAGACAGTAATATGAATACTCAAGGCAAATTGATCTGGTGTTATGAAAGAGGATGATTAACTAACAAAAAAGTAGATGATGATACCTCCTGAGAAAGGCCATTCCAGCCGCCTAGCCCGGTATTAGACACATTAGACATAAGATTAGAAGAGGCCATAGGGCTCGGACTTCGGTGTCGGAGTCTATCAAAATCGCCAAATCCTTGGTTAGACATCATTCCAGATACCCTGAACATCTCTGCACATCAAGAAAGCCATAAATAAACAACAACAACACAAGGCACTAAGGCAACTACTAAAGTAGGTAATGTTGGACACATTGATTCAATCAGACCAATTTAAGAATCAAGTCAGTGAAGGCACATGCCAATACTAACAGCAACTCCATAGACCCAAGTAATGATCTGGCCATTTTTAACTTGATCTCACTTCCTTTGAACTTAATATATTAGATTAACTGGTTAAAAACATTATGTAATAAAAATCCGTGACTTAAAGTCATCCCAATCTCGTGAAAAAGAAGATAAGAGCTGAATATACATACACTCGAGTGGGTGAAAACAGAAACGAATAAAACTTAGATCCGAATCAAATCAAGAAAAAAGAGTGAGCAAAAAACAAAAAAGACAAACCTTGATTCAACAGGCGGCTACATATCGGTAAGACCTGCAGAAAAGGTGTAAGCTTTTGATGTTCAGCGAGAAGCTCCGTCAAGTACTGAGAGCTGTTGGAGCAAGAAGCGAGAAAACAGATCGGTTTTAGGATAAAAACCAAACAAAAAGGAGTGTCTTTTGGAGAATAGAAATCAGCGTTTAGGACATAGATACCTGTCGATCTCAGGAGTGCTTCTAATCTGAGGAGAAGCAGCTCTAGCAGGAGAGAAGTAAGAGGAGTTATTGTATAAACCAGACATGAGTTTTGTGCTCAATTTCTTCTTCTCTAGAAGCGTGTAGCGAGAAGGAAATGGAATCGCATAAACGAAAAAGTAGAGAGAGAAAGAGAGAGAGAAAAACAAAGCCAGCAGACACCAAATGTGAATTCTGCAGAAAGACGCCTGACTTTTTTATTTTATTTTTTGTTTTCTTCCTTTTTTTTCTTTTTCTTCCTTCTTAAATTTCTCTTTTTTTTAATAAATATTTTCATCTTTTGGGGGATAAAAGTGAAATTTAAACTTAGATAAAGAAAAAAGTTTTAGGCGACAGCGTGGATCTCTCTGTTACAAAGGTTGAAAAAAATGAGTGATTTTTTGTGATTTTTCAAACTGTCGCCGTTTGATTATTAAAAATAAATAAATAAATGATGGGAAAGACTACGGAGAAACTCTGATCTGTGTGCGTGACTACGTAGACCGTATCTTTTAACGCCGCTAAAAGTGAACACGTGTCAAGCATGCAATCGCTCATCAGAGCTGTCTTTTGGGCTGGACATATATTTCCTTTTATATTAAATTAACAATAACTACAGCTGAATCCTGATAAATGTGTTCATCAATTTGTCCAATTTTCTTTTTTGTTAATAATAGTGGTGGTTTTTTGAGAATTTAGAGTGGTGCTTTCTTTTCAAAGAGTCTTTCCAAGTCCCATATTTTTATGGCTCTTTTGTAATTTTACAATGTTGTCAATGATGTTAAATTATTTGTGATTTATTTGGTTTTCCTTCTCTTTTTGACTGTTATAGATTTCATGGTCAAATTCTTTTCCAAATCTCAATCAAACTAATTATTTAGCAGTGTGAAATCCACAGTTATTACTAATTTTTCTACTTTTTTCAATATACCATTCCTAGGATATTTTGATATCTTTTAATTGTTAAAATAAATTACTATGGTCATTTTAGCCATTTTCCCTAGAAAATTTGTTAAACAGTGTATGGATGACGAAAAAAAAAACAAAGTAGGGATGCTGTATTTTACTAATTTGATCAAAATACTAACCACAGCTGCTAAAAAATAATCTCATACTAAGCACGTGGAAAGAAAAATTATGTTTTGTATGCATTATTCAAGTGTAAATGATATTTAATTGTAATGAAAATGAATTATTTTACAAAAAATAGTTCGAATATTTAAACTTTTGTACAAAGAAATTTTGATCTTGAAAACGACAAAAAAGAAAAAAGATGAACATTGAATTTCAGGGACACTGATGTGTGTGATATGTTTTATAGAGTTTATTTATAAATTTTAAGTTAGCAATTAAAGACTATGAAACTTAACTCTAATCCGAGAGTAATGACGTGCAGCTCAGCCAGAGCCACTTGAAGAACTCCTCTCCCCTAGGCCCTAATCGAGAGATTATTAATTTAGGATCATGATAATGAGTAATTGAATTTCCAAGGTGCAATTTTGAGGAAGTTCTGTCACCAAAACATATCCCTATATGCTACATGACCTATATATATGGCTTGAACTGCCCGTTTCATAGATGGAAGAAGCACATGGGGTTTTTTCGCTCCTCTCACATTTTTCATGTGTTGATCAAACATAGCTAGCATTTGACCACGTCTGGCTGTTGCAGTTCGAAGAAGATGCAAATGTCCCAATAGCTCTTACAATGGTGAACGTGGTTAATATATTGATTTCAATCACAGACTAAGGATGCTCTGAGTAGTGTATACTAATGTTCAATCTCTATTTTCTATATGATTTTGGATTTTCATTGTTGTTAAAAATGTTAATGTTATTTTATGTAGAACCCGCCGGAATGAAAACATGCAACATTGACTGAAGTATATGCTATTACGCAATGTTCAATGGATTACGAATGAATAAAGTACGTATCATCATATCAGAGAATTAAAAGGAATTAGGATAAAGCAGATTTATGTATACGAATAAAATGAAATTTGCATATACGCTTATCCATTCTCAGAATTTTGCATAAAGGTTCTTAAAAATATAATAAAGGCTTATGGCTTATCAAGTTTGAGATAACACAGATAGAGTAGAGAAACACGAGAAAGATCACTCCCTCCACTAATGGAGAAGAAATACGAGAAGCCTGAGAAAGTTGTTCAAGGAATGCAAGGGAAAGTGTATATTGGGTCGTTCTGGTATGTTGCTCTGTTCAGAATGGTTCATCTTGCTCGTTCTGGTATGACCATTGGGTCGGGGATGAATCGCTAAAGGACACAATTGGCGCTTCTGGCCTTCGCCTGTTGGGTCTCCCGGCTGAGTCTAAAGTTATAGGCGCCGTCGTCAACGGTCATTGGAAGCTCCCGGGGTCCAGAAATCGATGCCCCCTGCGCCAATCTCTACGCGATCTGCTCCTCCCCACTCCTGTTCCTGTCTTCTCGAATGGATCTGATATCTTCTATTGGCACTATGGTAACACAACCCTTAAGCCATTCTCTGCTAAGGCAACATGGGAGGCGATTAGACCTGCTGCTGCTTCTGTGCCTTGGAGTAAAATAGTATGGTTAATTCAAAGGTTTTGTCCCGAAACATGCTTTTCATTTCTGGGTTACTCACTTAAACAGGTTGCCAGTCCGTGCAAGGTTATCGCAATGGGGAATATCCTCGGATATGTGTTGTTCTTGCGGCTTGTTTGTTGAGACTCGGGACCACCTGTTCCTGCATTGTGACTTCGCATCTCAGGTCTGGCAAAGAATCCTTACAAGGCTGGGTCACGCTCCTAACCTCTTTCTCAACTGGGATGCGCTTATCAGTTGGTTATCATCTACTGTAGGCCCGTCTCCAAGAATCCTAAAATGCTGGGTCGTTCAAGCAACAATCTTCTTCATTTGGCGTGAACGGAATGTGCACTATCACACCGACACCTCGCTGTCTCCTGAGATCGTCTACAAGTTCATTGACCGCTCTATCAGAGACTTACTCCTGGCTTTCCTCAGGACGAATCCATCTTTTACTCACCTATCAACCTGGTTCACTTAGACCATGTTTATCAGAGAAATCCATATGAGTTTCTCTTTAATTATTATAATACTAAAGTTCATTTAAGAAATTTACAGAAAAACCTGTATATTTTGATGTATATTGGAGAAACCCAGAAAAGTTTTTTTTTTTTAAAAGAAAATTTAATATAAAAAATAAGAGGTTAAAAAAAATTAGAGGCTGCATCCAATAAAAATATGCCACATCATCAGGAAGGATCGATCCTTGCAGACTTTTAAATAAGGATCGATCCTCCTCCTTTTCTCTTCCTTTTTTATTAAAATAATATTTTTATTAAGGATAAACTCAAGAAGAAACCATTGATAATCATGCTCTTATAGCTAACTGGTAGCTGCTAATTGTTATTATTAGGAATCTATATGGTAGTTTTGGAATTTTTACTTTTTTTGGGGGGCCAAAAGCCAATTTATGCTTTGCCGAACACTTGTATGGAAACGTTCCGTTTTTGATATAAATATTCACATTTTATCAAAAAAAAAAGGGAAAGTGTACAAGGCGTATAAAACGAATTATTTCTTTAAGAAAAAGAAAAAACTCTGCGAGGAGTTCAAAGCCCAAAGGAGCGGGAAACGAGAGGCCACGTGTAAACATGTCTTCGTTAAGACAACATTAAAGCGAAGAGGCGCTAATTAGATCGAATCGAAAAGGGGCTTAGGGTTTTTTAATAAAAACATAACTCAAACACAAAGACCAAAATCATCACTTTCATTATTCATTTTAATCCCGAAGTTTTTTGTTATCTCAGATAGATCCTCCCCACCAATGGAGAAGTACGAGAAGCTTGAGAAGGTTGGTGAAGGAACATATGGGAAAGTCTACAAGGCCATGGAGAAAAGCACTGGAAAGCTTGTTGCTTTGAAGAAGACGAGGCTAGAAATGGACGAAGAAGGTATACCACCGACCGCTCTTCGCGAGATTTCTCTTCTCCAGATGCTTTCTCAATCAATCTACGTCGTTCGACTCCTCTGCGTCGAACATGTTCTTCAATCCAAAGACTCAATCTCTCCTTCCTCACCCGTTTCTTCTCACTCCCAAAAATCCAACCTTTATCTCGTTTTCAAGTATCTCGACACTGATTTAAAGAAGTTCATTGATTCGCATAGGAAAGGTTCAAATCCTAGACCCCTTGAAGCTTCTCTTGTGCAGAGACTAATGTTTCAGCTTTGTAAAGGCGTGGCTCATTGCCATAGCCACGGTGTGCTTCACCGTGATCTTAAACCGCAGAACCTTCTTCTTGATAAAGATAGAGGAATCCTAAAGATCGCTGATTTGGGTCTTGGTCGTGCTTTCACTGTCCCTCTCAAATCTTACACTCACGAGATCGTCACTCTCTGGTATAGAGCTCCTGAAGTTCTTCTTGGATCTACTCATTACTCCACTGCCGTTGACATTTGGTCTGTTGGATGCATCTTTGGTTAGTCTTTGTTACCCTTTGGATTTGTCTTTGTTATACTTTTTGCCTTATTGCTGTTTTTCTGAGTTTTCCACCACAAAAAAAACTTGCAGCCGAGATGATTCGGAGGCAAGCTCTTTTCCCCGGTGATTCAGAGTTTCAGCAATTGCTTCATATATTCAGGTATTCAATGACAGCTACAGGAACAAGTTTCACCTGTTAGGTGCAGTTCTCATGAAGTGATCTAGGATCATACATATAGATAGACTGTATCTTAATCATGGGTTCTTTTTGGTTCCTGGAGATTGCTAGGAACACCAACTGAGCAACAATGGCCTGGTGTAATGGCTCTGCGTGACTGGCATGTGTATCCAAAGTGGGAGCCGCAAGACTTATCACGCGCTGTGCCATCTCTGTCCCCTGAAGGAGTTGATCTTCTCACGGTATGCTCTTTTAAATCTGCCCCTGTGATCGCTGCATAAAAAAAGCACAGGCTAAAATATGAACATTGTTGGACAAGTGGACTAAGATACTCTTGCATATGTGCTCTCTAGTTGATGATGATTTTGTTTTGAGTGAGCATTAAAGTTTGACCCTTTGAACGAATGCAGAATATGCTGAGGTACAATCCATCTGAAAGAATTTCAGCGAAAACAGCTCTTGACCATCCATACTTCGACAGCCTTGACAAATCTCAGTTCTGAAGCTGCTGCACCTGTCTTGATCGAAACTCTTTCATCACCTCTGGCAAAATTGCAATCTAGTATCACTGATCAGGCTTCTCCTTGGAGCTTAGAAGTTGATTGCTCATCATCTTGGTGATTTTAGCGTTTATTTATTACCACACCAGTGTCTCATGTATTGTGTGTTTGAGGGATTTGTACTTTTTACAGAACAAAATGAAAAAGCTTGTTTGTCCAACTAAAGAGAGTGCTGTGTTCAAGAGTGAATTTTTTTTTTTTCTCTTAAGAGTGGCCAACTTTGTTTTTCTACATATACAAATCTAGCATGGAGAAAAAGGGAAATTCTGAATATATCCGAGCCAACGTTCCAGAACTAACTAATTGCTGCTAATTAGATCAACCAATTGCAGCAAAGAGACGTATCCAAATGCTCAAATTTAATTCTCATAAGCAGACGAATCATATTAGTGTACATAACGTGGAGCCGAATCCCCCACCAAATAGTTCCTGCTATCATTACAACCACAATTGCTGCTCAAAGAATAGTAAAGTTTTAAACGACATTACACGCATTTTCAAGAAAACCCCAAGATACAAAGAGATCCTCCATAGCTAATAATCTACACAAACAAATGATTGAGTAGCTTCTCAATTAGACCAGACATGGAGAAAGCCATGTCTATTTCCAGTGTATATTTCGTTCCGTTCTTCATCATAGTATAGAGCGGTTATGTCTTCCAGAGCCTCAGAAACCGCACTATTTCTTTGATTGGAACTGCTACAGGACTCCTCTTCGTTTTGAAGGCCATTGCTTGCTTTTATTTTAGCTAGGCATTTCCCAGTCAAGATATTGCTTATATTAATCGACCCTGCTGCATCGACCAAAACCACAGCAATTAGTCTATTTTCACATTATCCACTTACATTCTTCCAAAAGGGTGGATGAGTCTCTGCTTACCATTTCCTTCCATCCACTGATCTTCAGTATCTGCCTTGCAATATGAGATGATTAGGTCCTGATCGCTTGTGATGTAGATATTATTTGTGTTACAGTCTGGATGCCAAAGAAGATGATCCTCAAATGAAGTCACAAGCTCTCCGCGGAAATTCCACACAGAAACATTTCGGTTCCTGAATGTTAGAAACAACTGGTTCTCATACAAAAATATGAATGCCGATGGCGTCATGAATTCAGTTCTGCTGACTTCTATCACGTCAGCGTTTCGGACCTTTTAAGAACAGAAAACTCTGTTAGGAACTTAAAAAAAAAACACAAATTTTATAAGAAGTTTGAACAAAGAAAATATCACTTACGTCAAGTATTTGGAGATTCTCGTTCTCTTGCTTAACTAGAAGCTTTTCATTGAATTGTTCAATGAAATCAACTTTCTTGTTTCGGTGGAGCAAATGATTAAAGGACTTGAGAACTGTGCCATCTTCGATTGATAGAATCTTCAAGGGAACATGACTTGAAGCTCTCTTGAAAATCAATAACATTATCCCTGGACTGATGCGGTTAAACAAATACATGCACGAGTTAGAGGTAACACATAGCAAAGTTGACAACTTTTACAATTCAATCAAGTACACAGAACACTTGGAAGCAACTTCACTTCAACATTTGCAAACAGGAAACATAGAAAGGGAAATACAGATGAAGAAAAATCACCTGATTTTAATTTCCTGGACATTTTTGTCTGATATCGAATATAGCATTGCATAGTTTTTCAGATCAAACACCTTGTAAACACTGCAGATCAAGGCTGTGGCTCAGTTGAGAAACTTCAAGTCAACACAAATTTGGATGATGAAGAAGAGAAAGTACCTGTTCTGCGCAGAATATGTCAGCACCTTCCCATTAACATCATCGAACTCTACGAAACCTGGCCACTTTAGCGATTCAGACTCAAAAAGGGGAAATCCAGCGTCTGCTTGACCCCTCATAATATATCTGACAGTACCAAAAATAAACACATCACTTTTACAAGTCTGAGAACTAAACTTAAGAAGACACACAAAAACAATACAAGAGTAGGCATACTCGATTCGAGTGGATCTGCATTTCAAAGAGCTGAAATTGTCTGAGGCGTAAACAGAAACTGTGATGAGAGAATCATTGTTCTTGTTGTAGAACAAGCTCCTTATGACTTCGTCAGGGCTAACATTCAAAAAGCAGACCCTTTTATTCGTCTCTGAAGATACATAGACAAATCCAAAGGTCAAAAATGTCGCCATCAAAGCACAGTGACAAAGGAAACACACACAAAAAAAAAGTAGAAGTAAACCTCTGCTGAAAGATGCGCAAACACCAGAATGAGCAAGCGCAAAGACAATGTCCCGCGCAGCAACAATCTCGATAAGTTTGGTTCGTTTCATCAAAAAGGGTAATGCAACTAAACAGTCTCCTTTAAGATCGTGCGTATCATATTGCTCCTGATTCCACAAAAACAAAAAATTTCAAATTTAGGTGAAAGAAGAAGAGAAAACTGCTCGAGTTTCAAGACCCAATTAAGGATTTTGAGAAATCAGACATACCACGAGACGCATATTGCGGAATCTCTCTTGAGCGGTGCTAATGGAGAAACCTCGATCCCTACGGGACGAGATTTCTCTGCGTTGAAGCTTTTTAACGCTATTGACGAATCCATCGGGACGAGACCTCTTATTGGCTACAACTCTTCTACCGATGCAAGGTCTAGGGTCTGCTATGATCCTTCTTCCTTCCATCATCAGCTTTCTTCTGAGTTGAAGCTTTAGGGCAGAAGAATCATGGGCTTGAGAAACGAGGGCTGTAAGAAAGATGAAAACTTGGCGACTGCAACTGGTGCAGCTAGAGGCTCCCAATGAGAGCAATGGCTAATCCAAGGTTTCTCTCTTTCAAAATTTCAGTGTCAATCTGAATCTGTGGGCCTCTCGCATAAAAATATATGAAAGTTAGGCTTTGCTTCTGTTTCTGTATTTCGAGGATCTTAAAAATATCTAATGTACTAGGTGATCACATTGTTGCTCTTTCTAAATTCAGTTTTTTTCCTTTGTGGTTGCAAATTGCTTTCTAATCTTGAGTTCGCAATTCTGATGCTAAAATGTATACAAAACCTTATAATTTTTTGTATTAAATCATGATGTAAGAAAGTTATAATTATGTATAACCTAGGTTTTAGCGTAAAATTGCGAATTAAAATTTGCGATGAAATAAGCAACAAGATTTATCATATAAATTCTTTGTTTTTTTAATCGACAACCTAAATACTTATATAACTGTTACTAATAGAACTAGGAACATCTGAATTCTTTTGGAGGGTAAAAATTTAAATTTTGCGTCAAATCATGTATTTTACACCAAATTACGGTTCTATAGTAATTACTATGAGATTGCATTAAATGTTCAGTTTTGGCATCAAATCACCATTTTACTATTTTACATACAAAAAGATGGCTATATATTATGCGATTTTGTCATCTTCATTTTTGACATCAAATCTTTATTTTTGAAATTTCGTCACAGTATTATAATCTTTATATTAACTAATCAAAATCTTGTTTTGTGCAATCTATAACTGCAGTATACAGTCTCTATTTCGTTTTCGACCCGACCTTTGGTGCTTTCGGTTTGGTTTCTATTTCTTGGTGGCAAATTGTAAGAAATTTAGTTGATAATTCCTCTTGTAGTCAAATAATGAGTATGAGGTTTTCTAATACTTCACAACTCGTGCATCGGTCATGTCCAGATCCACTAGACAAGCGTTGACTGAAATGCACGACTTATTAAATGTAACTCATATGTGCTTAATCTATGTCAATTATTTTCGACATATATTTTGATATTGATTGATCCTAGTTCACTAGAAGAAACATAACATTTTTAGCAAATCTGTTGAGAATATGGAAAAATGTTGTAACGAATTGATTCATCAAACGTTTGCGAATAGAAGTAACAAAATTTAAACTCTCTTTTTGTCTTTTCCCTTTTATTAACTCAACAGCAATCTTTCATTGATTAATCACTTGACTTAGCAGCCTCAACCACGCCTACTTTTGTTGAACCGTCAAAAATTCCACCGATAATTGAACTACATGTATGTAATAGTATCAAGGCGAAAATCAAAAACGAAAACAAAAGTTTCTCTCTGTTTCATGTGTATACATATAAGAAGAACACATGCATAAATTTCATAGCAAAAAGGGAACTAATAATATATATATATACTTACAAATTAAAGCTTGAAAATGGAAATATCAATAAGATCGAAACATTTGGTCGAGGATGATGGTGAATGCCATGGCCACACGAGGTTCCATCTCCGATTCAACTATAAGTTTAAAAACATCTTTTCCAAAAGCAACTCCTCCAACCATTGCTTCTTTTCTCTTGATCTCCGCTGCTTTCTTCTTGTTCCTCCTCTCATCCAATATCTTGCAGCTTCTCTGACCGTAGGATCCTTCTATCTCGTACAATACCGTCTTCTTCATGCTAACCCACACCAAGCTCCTTCTGTTTGTCATTATGTTCACGTTCTTTCTTGCCGTAAATATTGGATCTCTCTCTGTTTCTCCATCGAATACCATCCAGCAATCTCCTAGGCTCAACTTCTGATCAAGCAAATTAAGAAGAAAAGAAATTCAAGATTCGTTTCATAATACTTTGGCTATCTTTATGAAACCAAAGATAAAAGACTTGGGATGGGATCTTAGGTTATCAAGAAGACAAATCAAAGAGAAAGCAAAAGAAAGGTACCTTACGGCGGATGGAGAGGAGAGGTAAGCCGGAAGCGTCCATGAGGACGATGTTATCTTTAGGAGAATTCATGTAGTTGTCGACTCTAAAGACAAGATCTCCATTGGAGTTGTAAACTGTGAATCCGTCGCAGTTGAAGAGAAGTGACTTTTTCCACACCGTTAAAACGACGGCTGCTTTACTATCGGAAAAACTCTCCTCGCATGTGTTTGGGAATTTTGGGTGAACTTTTGTCATCTCTTTGATTTTGATTCTTTTGTTTCTATGTTTTTTTTTTTTTTGGTTTGTTTGATTGAGTTTTGATGATTCTTGTTGGAGAAGATGAGTTGATATTTGGATGTGGGACAAATGAGAAGAGGTCTTTGGGTGTTTATATATACAAATGTAGAAAGAGAAGAATATGGTGCTCAAATGAAAAGAATGGTCTCATCTTCTTGTTTTCCACTATAGAGATATCCTTTTCAAGTCTATTACTATAAGATATCTAGTCTTTTAATTTAGGTCACTATTTTTTATGCATTAATGTAAATTAGTTGATTCCTTTCTATTATCAAATATTATTATAATACCGGTTTTCATTTCACCTAAACTCCAACAGAGTATTATATGAAAACCTTGTTTTTGATTCTTGATTATGCCCATTACTGGACCTACAAAATAGCCTATGGTAATCTAACGCTAACTCTAGTTATACAAATTAAAGTTTCCCACAGGAACTATAGTTCATAAGGCGAAGATTGTAGAGAAATTTATAAAAATAACAGGATTGTTTTATATTTTTGACAATTGTAACAATTGAAAAATTGATAAACTAAGTAACTTATTTAATGAAGATTACAAATTACGTTTAAAATGGGAGTTTTTTCTAAAAAAAAAAACGCTCTTTTATGTATGTATTTTATTTTCTCCTCTATCTAATTTTGTCTACTTCAGACTTTAAAGACCAGACTAATATTTTCTCTTATACTTTTTTCTATTTGTTTTTAGTCATTTTTCGTGTTAAACCTTTCTCTAATCTTTTTCTCTTTATTTTCCCGTACAATTTTTTATTATTAGTAGAGAATATTAGTGTCTCAAAAGAAAAAAAGAATCTATGCAGCAACGAAAACCTACGGGCCATAATCCATCGTCATTTCCAGTGCATCTTTTTATGGAAAAGGGGGGGTTTCTAAATGAAATATTCTTCATTTTCCTTATATAAATTATGTCTACAGAAGTATCGAATTACTCTCCAAAATTGAAACCAAAGGATTAATATATAACATATCTACTCTCTGTGATCAATTTATAAATTAATGATCACTTTACTTCTCGCATGTCCCATATCCAGTCATGGTTATTGTTGCTCGTTAGACTAATTATGTTTCAAATATCAGATAATATATAAATATGAAGATCAATCTCTGAATTATTACCAAGGACATTTTGAGCCAAGGGAAACAGTCAATGTACACTTTCCTTAGTGGATGAAGAGAGAACTCTTTCTAATCTAGTGGAGGATAAGAACGGGTGGAAAGCAAAGTTCAAGATTATATCCATAAAAAATCATTTCAAACATAGACATGAGATAAAAATATGAGTTAAGAAATCGAGTTTTGAACCAATCCTTGGTTTTATTATGATATGATGAAGGATGACCACGCACTATATCATCATTATAAATTATTAAGCTTAAGACAAAAGTGTGTGGCGGAGAAGCAATTAGCGGTGGGAAGAAAAAAGAAAAAAATTCCACTAATTTTAAAATTAAAATCTAAACATTATTTTCCTTCTGATATTTTTCCACGTCCGTTGTTATAATGAATGTTCCACTCACGTTGACCTCTTACATTTATTTTTTATATTCCTTTCGTTATCTATCGTTTGTTTTATAAACAAAAAGATTGCGGTTTATGCGTCATATGTACAAGAAAGTGATTACGACCTTTGAGAGGTAAGACGCGTCCAACTTTCACCAAACATAAAATAACGGATTGAAAACTACGCTCTGCACTTGAGAGAATATGTTCTCTCTTGCTCTCTTTAATGCAGTGCAATACAGTGTAAATACAACCTAATTTTGGCTGCTTACCAAATCTGATTCCTCACTCTTATTATTCCTCTTCTTAGCTTTCGTAGTGTGTTTTATATGCTCATTTTGCATCCTACCTCGTACGTCATCGTTAAAATGGGTATTATGCATGTGAATGAGAGCTTTAGTGTTTTTTTTTTGGGTGTGAATGTTAAGTACTCTAATCAATTAACTGTGAATGAGAGTTTCTAAGTAAAATACTCTAAATATGAGACCTTTGATTCCAATAGATGAACCCAATCATATATATTACTGCAAATGACTGAGATATATAGACCCGTTTAAGCTAGCTCGATCTAACAAATTGCTTTATAATTTTGCAGACAAATATAAAAGGGATGTAAACAATCTCTAGACATACGGGGTCGACTGATTTGGGAGACACTGCCTCTGAGAGAATTTTGAAATGCTTCTATTCAACAAAACTCTTGAAAACTGGTTCCATTTAGAAATAGATAAAATCCTTATCGACTTCTAATATTGGTACGAATAAAAAAAAAGGAAACACATGTGAAAATGGAAAATAATACGAGGAAAAGAATGGCACAACTCTCTGCCAAAAATCATATACAACATCTAAGATTCTTCACTTCACATTCTCTCTTTTTTTTTTTTCTTTTCTAATCATATAAAAGCTTTTCAAGCATCGTCATCACGTCTCTTAGAATCAATAAGCTATCACTTTTAACCCACTTCTGATTGCTTTTTTCCCTTCAGCATTTCTCCTGCAATGCATTCGGGTTTATTTACCCCCAAAAAAATGAGATGTTGCGTAACCACCACTCTAAATCTTTGCTTTGCGTGTGACCTGCCTTCTAAAGCATTGTCCGTGTAGTTTACTTACTCATCAAGGATTCACGTTACAGTCACTCAAGAACCGGTCTTCTCGATTCAGATGCTTTCTCCAATAGCTTTTGTACTGTGGGATTCCCAGCTCAAGCCACGGCTTCATGTTCCCGTTGTAGTGCAAGATGGCTGCGTTTTTTATGGTTTGGGTATTGATATAGTAGTCATAACCAAGTCCCGATAGTGCCCATTTGTCCTCAAGAGCATAAACTTTGTCTTGAAACGTAAGCAAGCTTGCTTGCAATGCAATTGCTTCTCTCGACTCCTCTCCACCACTCATCTGCTGCACAAAACAAAAGAAATTCATCGCTCACAAAACATACACAGGAGAATCACTCAGATTTTCTCTTTTTTAAGTTATTCAGAAAACTGACCTCTTTATAAAATTTCTGGTAGGTTTCTGAAACACCCAATTCCCTCCATCTAGCAAGGTCAATGACATTCAATCCAGACATCCAGAGACAAGCATTAGTATCAAAATTCCCTCTCTTAAGACTCTTTAGCTGACCCAATCTCACAGAGCAGGACTTCACCGCACCATTCACTTTCCCTTCCATGTCAAGGTCCCAAAGGGGAGATAAGTCTCGCTGGACTACAACGTCATCATCCAGAATCACAACCTTTTCCAACTTGTGAAATAATTTTGGAAGAAGATAGTGAGATTGAGAGAAAAGAGATAAGTAGTGTGTTCGATTCTGTTGTGATGCCGAATTGTCACCACTGGGGAAGGAGACACGGAACTCCGCAGGCAGAGACAGTTTCAAATCAGAATTGTCCAGCTCGAGTTTTTCAATGTTCAATACTTGAATAGTTGCTTGTTTGCAGGGATTCCTGATAAACCACTGTTTCATCGCAAAGTAATTCTGCTCGTCTGTCAGTACGTGGAAAACAAAGTTTTTACTTTCCTGAAACATCAACAACCAACCACGAATTAGAAATAAGGGTTCTATAACTGCATGAAAAGATAAACGACAAAGTAAAGAAAACTGGATTTAATACATACCCTTGCGTGTAAAACAGTTGAGTTGATCACAACGGATGATGCAAGGATATTATCGGAGATGATAACAAAGTGAAGCAATGAGGGATCTGAAAATTTCTCACTATCCTCAATATCAAGTGAAGCTGACTTGAAATATTCCACAGTCAGTCTCATTGACAAGCAATGGAGACTCTTAGGCATTGTCTGTACTGCAAGCTGGTAGAGGAACACACTCTGTTTCATGTGGAAACTTGCTTCATCCTCAGTCAAATCCAGGATCTGTCTCAATTTCTTGTCAACGTTGTTACAGTCGACTGGAAAAGACTTTGCCTTTGAAATTACAGCTTCCATCTTCTGAAACTTTTTATCAACCCTGATAGATCAGTTGAAAGAGACACACTATAAGTACGATTAAAAAAAATTAGCAGAGGATTCCATACATCAAAGCTTATTTTGAAAGAGAATAAACAACATCCATGACATCTCTCCTATGTCTAGTACATTCGTCTATTAATTCTTAGGTTGGGCTAAGACACTAGGACAGATAGGCTTCAAAATAGAAGTATTTCTGTGTGTTATGATTAAGATATTCTATAACATAAAACGTCTGAAAGCAAGTAAACCACTAGAAAACAGGATGCCCAGGCAAGGTTAACTAACTAGGAGAGATTCATGTGACCAGCATCCAACAAGATCTTTTCCAGCAAGGAACTAACTTTCAGTACAAACATGGTAAACCCAAATTGGTATTGAACTTACTGTGGTGGAAGGTCAGCATCTGCTGAACTTTCACTAAGAATTTTCTCAAACTCTTGGATATTCTGTTTCATATCTCGAGTCAACTTGGTTTGAGAAGGCATTTTAGCAATACTTGGATAGTATGCCCTAGCCACAAATAGCAGGTCCTTCATGTGCTTCACCTTCGCATCTTTCATTGGTTCCTTATTTTCCTCCCTCCAGAGGCAGTAGCTCCCATATTTCACTTCACAAGTCTTCTGAGTTTCATCAGCATTTGCTATTGCCCCCTGAACACCTTTGTACGAGGCTTCAGTTTTTGTTTTCTGTTCACAGAATAAAGCAGAATCAGATTAACTTAAGACGATTGGTGAGAGATTCAAAAATGACTACTACAGAAACCACTTATTGTACATTTGCAGGGCTTGGGTTGGCAACAACAGCTGGGGACACTGGTAATCCTGCAGATTAATGAGGACCAGACGTAAAGTTGCAAATCAGAATCAGAATAACATAAAGGGAGAGGAATTTCAGGAAAGTGGAACTTGTAAAGTACACCTTTTTTTTTAGAATCACTGCTGCTTGTCCTATTCATATCTCTGGAACCCACGTTTATGTCGCTTTTCTAGCATGAGAATCAAAAAACAAAAACGTTAGTACAAAAATTGTTACAATCAGTCTAACCATCTCACCCAAGTGCACTAATTCTTTCCGCTCCCCAAGAAATTTTGACATATATGACGCAACATAATTCATGAACGTGTTTAACAACAGCCTCTTGACCCTTTAGTTTATTTGCTGGGCCAGAAAAAGTTTTCAGATTCACTGGATAATTATGGGGCATCTTGCATAGTTTTCCATACATCAAGCAGAAATATAAGTTTTTTTGTTTCTTTCTAATGTTAGCATTCTAAGTTTGCAGGAGTACTGTAGCGAACCTGATACACATGATTTTAGTTAGATTAAACTAGAAATCCTATACATCTTTACATCAATGGAATGGCAAGATGGGGAAACATAAATGCCAAGAATTATGACTGGATACATTCTTTAATGGTAGAAAGTTAAACATATATAGACCAGATCTGAATTGTGTGTGTCAATTTATAAGCAGTATGTAAGATAACGCAGGTTTCTATAACTATTATAGAGATTTACTTTTACGGGAAAGGGAAAAACGACTAATCTAAGCCACAGAAATGGAACAAGTCGATGCCTTGAATCTACACTGAAACAAGTGGAACCCAAAAGAGAGATAACTGGAGGGCCAACCTTGGGAAGAACTGGATTGATTTTGTGGAGAACATCATCGACCCGGTCAGATAGATCTCTCTGCAAAACCGAGATAAGGAAGATGAAAAGCGGCAAAACGATTTGAGATTAGATGGAATCGAATCAATCAAACGAGAGTTACAATACCTGGGAATGTTTGGTAGCATTGATTCTGCTTAAGCTCTCGAACTGATTCCAAAAGAAAAAGCGTTCAGAACAAAATCAAAACATCAAACATTGCTTACCACAAATAAAAGAAACGGAATGCTTACAGGAGAAGCTGGTTGGACAGTGACAAATCCTGAAGAAAATAAAGTGAAAAAGATGAAGATGAGATAGATCTGAAAACAGAGATCGAAGAAAAACGAGTGTGAAGGAGAAGATTACCAGGAGAGTGAAAGCCGTTGTGAAGGCCGAGCAAGAAGGCAAGAGGAACAAGCATAGAGAGGATAACAAGAACCAAAACTCCAATAACCAGAACTTTCCACCGGCGTTTTCCGCCGCCGCCTCCACCACCTCCTCCACCGCCTCCGCCTTTCATATTTCCGATTTAGATTGAATCAATGCCTTCTAATTACGAACGCATTGGATCCCCCAAAACGTCGGTAACGATGTTTCTATCTATTCTCGATTAACACTCGAATCCACACTCAATCGTTTACGATGCCAATATCTCTCTTCCTCGCTTCAATCTCTCTCTTTGTGTTCCTCACTCTGTGTGTGTTGCAGAATGCAGAACTATTAGTGCTGCACTTTTAGCCCGATCGCATCGTCTCTTTCCCTTTGGTTTTGCTACTAAGGAAGGAAGGAAGGAAGAGAGATACAAACCCAACTCTTTTTTTTTCGCACGTGTGTAACTGTCTCTGCCGTTTGATTATTCAGCCCACTTGCAAGATCTATCTCCAGATCATAACACGTGTTTTTTTCACACGGTGGTGATTTATTTTCATTTTGTTTTATTTATTTTCTTAACATCGTTTATAGTCCTCCGATAAATCCAAAACTCCGGGATGCCTAGCGATATTCGTCATCGTCAACGCCATTGACGCTTATACACTGGTAATCTCTCCTCCTCCGTATTTTCCTATTTTCTGATTTCCTTTTCCATTGTTTTTGTTTAAAAAATTATGTACTAAGAATTTTGTAAAGTAGAGAAGGTGATTGTGAAAGCATATGACGACATTCTTGTAAAATCTTTATTCCATTTAGGTAAAATCTGGTGGTGCAAGTTTGCTCTTTATTTTGCGGCTCCTTAATTGTTTGTGTGAATGTAATGAAAGGGAATGAGCTGAAAAAGGATCAATTTTTTGGAAGATTAAGCTTTTATTGTATCACTCTCAGTCTCTCATATTGCATTCTCTAAGCTGCTTACCTGTCAAAGGTTCGATTTTCTGGTCTGTGATTTTTACACTAACTGAGTAGGTTTTCTTTAAATGATTTTTTCTGTGTTTCATGTAGTTCGAGCATGTTCTTAATCGCGAGGAAAGCTTTGGCCTTGGCGCATAATAAGGCTATTCGTTTGACAACAAGGGAAGTGCATTGCCTAAGCTCCATTTTACTGTCTCCTCCTCTCGTGTCTCTTGACTTGCCCGAAAATTGGGTTCCTTTTACTGATCCGCCATCTCCTGTTCCTTTTGGTAACTCCTTCCTTCGTCTAATGTGCTAGTGCTTGTTGCAATTACATGGATTTATCTTCTCTTCATATATTACAAGAATGTTCTCTGAATAGATGAGTTTACTTCTGCAGTCTTAGTTGTACCCTTCTTATCTCTACTTATACATTTTTGTGTTTGTATGTGTGTGTATGCATTTATATAGAAAGTGAACAGAAGACTGTGGTAATAGATGGGAAAGTTATCGCCGAGGAAATTAGAGAAAAGATTATTAATGAAGTGTGGAAGATGAAAAAGGGTATTGGAAAAGTCCCTGGTCTTGCGGTTGTTTTGGTTGGCCAACAAAGAGACTCGCAAACTTATGTTCGGAACAAAATCAAAGCTTGTGAAGAAACTGGTATTAAATCTGTTTTGGCTGAATTGCCTGAGAATTGTACCGAAGGTCATATTATTAGTGTACTGGAAAAATTCAATGAAGACACGTCCATTCATGGGGTTCTTGTGCAGCTTCCTTTGCCCCAGGTAGGGTTCACATTTTCTTTTTTGTGAGATAATAATCATGACATCTGATGGGGGAGGATAGTGTTGTTGATGTCGAAAGATTAGTTCTATTTCTATATGTTAGGATGTCAAGTTTCTATGTTCACTTTTGTTTTCATACTTTTTAGTAGAGGTGCTCGATTCTTTCTTTCATCGAGTTTTAATATCCATATCAGTTTCTTGTGGGTACGCTTGTGTATTTCCCTATAAACATGCACTCTCTGCAATACAAGTTTCCCTTTGAGGTTGTCTTTTATTGTTGGTAGGTTAATCATATGTTATGCCATAGAGAGTCTGAGTCATCTTCAAATTGAGTACCACCATGTAATCGAAGATATCGTGTGCAGCATCTTGATGAAGCAAAGATCTTGAACATGGTGAGATTAGAGAAAGATGTTGATGGGTTTCATCCATTAAATATGGGGAATCTTGCAATGAGAGGAAGGGAGCCGCTATTCGTATCTTGTACTCCTAAGGGATGTGTGGAGTTGTTGATCAGAGCAGGTGTTGAAATAGCAGGAAAAAATGCTGTGGTAATTGGAAGAAGCAACATCGTCGGTCTCCCAATGTCTTTATTGTTGCAGGTATTAGTTTTTTAATTTTTTTTTGTAGTTAGTGCAGCATTTCGGTTTGGGTACTAACTCTGCATCTATGTCTTTTTTGCTGACATTCTTGGGTAGAGGTATGACGCTACAGTAAGCACGGTGCATGCTTTTTCAAAGGATCCAGAGCACGTTACTAGGGAGGCTGATATTGTGGTTGCAGCCGCTGGTGTACCTAATCTTGTTCGTGGAAGTTGGCTGAAGCCTGGAGCAGTTGTCATTGATGTAGGAACATGTCCTGTTGAGGTAAAAATTTAAGTTAAACTGAATGAATTCGACATCCCTATGTGTTAGGTTAGGTTAGAGCCTAAATGAAGAGATGAAAAGTTTTTCCTTAGGATTTTGTTGTTGTTTCTGGTTAGAAGACATTGGAGCATGTGTGATATGTCAAAAATGCAAAAATGATTTTGCAGGATAGTAGTTGTGAGCATGGTTATCGTCTTGTTGGGGATGTATGTTACGAGGAAGCGTTAGGTGTTGCCTCGGCTATCACTCCTGTACCTGGAGGAGTCGGACCCATGACGATCGCCATGCTACTTTGCAATACTTTGGATGCTGCCAAGCGGATATTCCTCTGATTATGGTATCTCTTTGTCTATTTACTTGCATGTTGTTAGAGTTGATCACAAATTCACTAATCCCTTTTAGTTTGAACTTTCTTTTTTTTTATGTTTCTTTCTTATAGACTGCGGTTGATGACATGGGTACTCATGAACATCTTTAACAGCAAGTTCAACAAAAGCGCGGCGAGGAGTTTTAATGCTTGTTTTAGTGGCTGGTTTCAGATACAGTCCAAATGTTTTTGTTTCCTTGGCTTTTTTTTTTTTGGCCTTTGAAGTTGTATTTTTTGATAAGCTTGTACAAGATGGGCAGTCACTTAGTTACGCACGTGAGACTATGGTAGTTGGATCATTTGTAGTTGCATCTTTACATAAAGGATGGAGAATGAGTCAAGCAAGATGTGTCACGTAATGATCACGAAAGAAATGCTAATTACTCCAATCTTTACACGAGTTTGGCGTTGAGGAGCTAAAGTATTATAGACATTCTCTGCTTTTTAGTTCGGTTTGAGGTTTCGGTTTCGGTTTAAATGAAATAATGATATATTCTGTATCATTTATAGTAGATGTTTTGAAAGTGTAAAAAGACAAAAGGAATCAAGCCTTGTGGAAAGCCCTCAAAATTCCTTTAAATATCAAATTACTATTAAACAACCTTTATCGCTTTTTTGTTTTTGTTTTTACAGTTGAAAAACTTCCAGCACTTGGTGTCACAAATAAGACCTTACACTTATTGCATGTTTACTTGTATTTACTTTCGGAATATCACTTCGTGAGGATATAAGTCTCAGCAAAACATGCATGCGCTAATGTCTTTATGTCAAGTTGACGAAGACTTTAGGGAAATAAAAGGTGGAAAATATATGTGGTAGCAAGTTGAACTTTGCATGGAAAAGATGGATGCAAAGAGGGACACGGGTCTTGAGTCTTCATCAGATATATAATACGAATACTTCTCCACAGCTAAGCTACACCGTCTTAAACCACTAATAAGTACTTTAATACTTGACACCATTAGCAAGCATAAGAAGATGTCCACAAGGTCCACTATGGCTGTCCACAGCGGAGGTAAGAAGATACGAATAAGGTACCCTTCCCTATGCTTTCACATATTTTATCTATATACAGTATGTTTCGACTGAATTTGGTTTGATCCCTATCAATTTCTGTTTGGCCTTCCCTATGCTTTCACCAATTCATATTTAATTACTGTCCTACGAGTCTTAAAAAAAGAAAATAAAAAAAAATAGACATGTCCCACAGGGCCACAGTCCTACTTTTGAGGTTTGCTATAGAAAAGAAAATAAATAAAGAGCCTATCTACCTTATATTTTTTGTATTACCTTTTGTTTTTGATGTGAAAAAAAAAACAAAAAGAGGAATATATATCTTCCCATGAATTCTGGGCGTTCTTTAAAATTTCAACAGGTTTATGAAAGTCTGGCTAACAAGTATTCTAAAAATTCAACGTTACTTATGTGTTGTCAATAATTCCCGTTCTATTAGTTTCCCCGTTCATCATCATTTGAACAAATTGTTTTACTTTGATAACACCAATTAAAAAAACAAGACTGTTGATAACTTCTTTTTTTTTTTAAACTGTTGATAACTTAATACTGTATTTTACGATATTGGTAAACATGGAAATGACAAATTAGCGACATGATTATACAGTAATGCATGTTGTAATTTGTAGTTAGCGCAACAATTTACTCCAGAAAATCCAAAAAAAAAAAAAAAGACAAAACTAATTAAATGCTCAAAATATTTGGAATAACGTATATTTTCAGTGTTGCCAAAATATTATGAAACTCTATAAAGGACAAAAAGAACATCAAACGACTTCCAGTCGCCTACATTATTTATCTTTTAAGAGTTAGGGTTCTTATACTTGATGAGCATTTCGCTCTTTGTTGACAGTATTTCTTGGGTAGATGTATAAGACTATAGTAAGCACGGTGTGCATGCTTTTTCAAAGGACCCAGAGCACATAACTAGGGAGGTTGATATTGTGGTTGCCTGCGGGAACACCTAATATTGTTCGTGGAAGTTGGCTGGAGCCTGGAGCCTGGACAATATCATTTTTGTCATTGATGTTAAAATTACATTATTTGAGTGTATTCGCAAAGTAATCAAAAAGTCTTAAATAAATCTCCTAGTGAAAAAAGACTCATGCATACAATATTTAGCATGAAATACATTCTGTTACATATATAATCTTATACCGAATGAACTCTACTGTACGGTTAGAGCCTAAGAAAAGGAAGATAGAGATCAAATGTTTTTCCTTAGGATTTTGTTGTTGTTTCTGGTTAGACATTGGAGGATGTTGTGATATCTCATGACGATCCATGCTTCTATATATGCAATACATTGGAATAGTTTGGATGCTGCCAAGCGGATATTCCTTTGATTATGGTATATCTCTTTGTCTATCTACTGAATTTCTAGAAAAAAAGAGATGAGAGTTTCCATTGATCACAAATTACAATCTGGCCTTTTGATTTGACGTGAAACCATTTAGGTAACGCATGCATGTATGGTAGTTGGATCATTAGATCATTGGTAGTTGCATCTTACATCAAAGATGAAGGATGACTCAAGCAAGAGTTGTCACATGATGGATCACGAGAGAAATGCGTGCTCCAATCTTTACACGTGTTGTTTCAAGTGTGGGATTGTCTTATACATACCAAAAACCTTATAAATAATTTTTTTTTTGTTTAATGGATTTTGTGAATCTGGAAAGACTTATTTTCTTTCCTTTATTTCCAAGTTAGACTCAAACTCTCAATTGAAACAAAATAATATCATATAACTTACAGTTAATTGATATCTCGGAGTTATTAATTCAATTTCATAAAAAATAACTTTACAATAAATGGAACTTTGCAGCTTTCAGTAATTAGAAAATAAAAAATTAGATCACAACTAGTAATTAATAATTTATGAGCCAAGAATAGTATTTTGATATTCTCATATTCAATCTTTTATATAAAGAAAACACTGATTGATTTCTTAACCGAACCAAACTAAAACCAAATATCGATTCGGTTAAGGTTTTTTGGGTCCGACTCTAGAGAAGAAATACGGAAAAATAAAATAAAAGGAAAAGGAAAAATAGGATTCCGATTCCGAGTCTCTAGTTCCAAAGAGAAGAAGGCCCTGTGAGAGAGATCTGGGGCGTATGGAAATGTGAAGGAGATAAAAGGAGAAAAGGATCTGAGATAGTGAAAAATTCTTGTAATCATCGAAATGGTTTGGGAAAAAGAGAAGATCGTCGGAAGTTGTTTGGCCGGAGGTGCTGCCTTCGCCGTCGGAGCTTCGTTCCTCCATCTTTTCCTCAAAGGCGAGCTTCCGTTAGGCTTAGGGTTAGGTGTCAGTTTGGTTTCTCCATGTAACCTCTTCAGAAAACGGAGACCCGTCCGCGTCTACATGGATGGTTGCTTCGACATGATGCACTACGGCCACTGCAACGCCCTGCGACAAGCTCGTGCTCTCGGTGACCAATTGGTGGTCGGTGTTGTTAGCGACGAGGAAATCATAGCGAACAAGGGACCTCCTGTTACTCCTCTTCACGAGAGGTCAATCTCGATCCCAATTTTCATTTGTTCGTCGTTGATCGAATTGCTTTTATGTGTTCGTTGAGATTTTTTCGTTTGCTTTCAGAATGATAATGGTGAAAGCTGTCAAGTGGGTGGATGAAGTGATACCGGATGCTCCTTACGCCATCACGGAAGATTTCATGAAGAAATTGTTCGATGAGTATCAGATCGATTACATCATCCATGGAGACGATCCTTGCGTTCTTCCCGATGGAACCGATGCTTATGCACTCGCTAAGAAGGCTGGTCGTTATAAGCAGATTAAGCGTACAGAAGGAGTTTCCAGCACTGATATCGTTGGTAAACTGACATCGTCTCTTCCGATTCATTTTAGCTCGTATCAACTGTAATTCAGGGTCCATGACGGCTTAGATTTTGATCTGATCACTGAAATGTCTAATCACATCATGTTTCTTCGATTTGCAATCCGTGCGCAGGTCGCATGCTTCTCTGCGTGAGAGAAAGATCTGTTAGCGACAGTCATAGTCATTCCTCTCTGCAAAGGCAATTCAGTCATGGGCATAATAGCCCAAAGTTTGAGGACGGAGGTTCTTCTGCTGGTACTCGCGTCTCACATTTTCTTCCTACTTCCCGCAGGATTGTTCAGTTCTCCAATGGCAAGGTATGCAAGTCTTTAGAGTGCCCGGTCCTCAAGTTTATGTATTGCATACCTTGTGTTTCTATGAGTTATCTTACGCAGACACATAGCTTAGATCTTTCGGAGGTGTGTCTCTCTACAATTGTAGTATCTGTTCTTTTATGATCTAGTAGGTTGAACGGGTACACGACTCTAGATTTCTAGTAGCTATGCAAGTGGCTCTGAGCTTACTGTTTTTAGTTGTTTTGAATATCAACGAGAACGGGCTCAAACGGTAGCGATAGCAGTTTTCTTCATCGCTATGAGAACAGTGCCTGGTTCACTCTTGGTTCTGACCTCTTGAAACTGAAAAACGTTACTGGTTTCACAATTCCTTGGGTACTTTTCATGTGTTTATCTATTTTTTCTTATTCAATGACAGAAGGTTGCTTCACATCTCATCTTATGGCTTATGTCAATTCAGACCCGCTAGATTTAGCTTAAGATTGTTTTTCCTTGATAGATTCATTTCCCCCAAGTTTTGTCCTTTACTTTACTTTTCCATTCTCCTTCTCATTTTGTATCTGGATTTGATACTAAAATACATGATTACTGTGACAGGGGCCAGGACCTGATGCACGCATAATTTACATAGATGGTGCTTTTGATCTTTTCCATGCTGGCCATGTTGAGGTATAGTATACAAATTAAAATTGTCAAGTCTTTATGATATTCATTTCAAGATTGGATTTGTATTTTTTATGGACATATTTGAATGCCACTTATATTTAATTACATATGGGTGTGCATATCTTATATGTTTGCTGCCTAGTCCAACTAGAATGGCCTCAGTGTTATTGAACGACCGTCCAGTTTAATTTTACCAATGCTGATTCTTATTCTTGATTTACTCAATTCGTACAGATTCTCAGACGTGCTCGAGAGCTTGGAGACTTTCTTCTTGTCGGAATACATAATGATCAGACTGTCAGGTTTAAAAAAAAAAAGCTTAATTTGAGAAGTCTGCTTTAAGTCTTGGCTGTGCTGGAAGTTTTGATGTGCATAATTGCATCTCTACTTAAAATCTTCTGACCAAATTTACATTTATGTTACTGTGCAGTGCTAAAAGAGGAGCGCATCGCCCAATCATGAATCTCCATGAAAGGAGCTTAAGTGTTCTGGCATGCCGCTATGTAGATGAGGTGATAATTGGTGCTCCATGGGAAGTGTCGAGAGATACGGTGAGCTTCTCTGTACTTTACTTAATAATCATATCCCAAATGATTTAATGAAAAGCTATTTTGACATGAATGAATTTTGCAGATCACAACATTTGACATTTCATTGGTGGTTCATGGGACAGTAGCTGAGAGCGATGATTTTCAAAAGGTAAAACGAGGTTCCGATATGAGTAACTGTGTATATATTAAGGTAAAAGACAGATAGCTGAATTTTGTCAGAATCTGGTTGATGATTTGACAGGAGGAAGATAATCCATATGCTGTACCAATTAGCATGGGCATATTCCAAATTCTAGAAAGCCCTCTTGATATCACAACATCCACAATAATCAAGAGGATTGTAGCGAACCATGAAGCTTATCAGGCAAAAATGCTTTTCTTGCTCATTTTTCTTTCTTGTTGCTTTACTTGACAAATGGTCTCACTCATAATCTTTTGGTATTCTGCAGATACGTAATAAGAAAAAGGAAGCTAGTGAGAAAAAGTACTACGAGCAGAAGGCTTTTGTGTCTGGCGACTGATAGAATCAAAATCTACATGCTTAGAGCTTTTTTAAGTCCATCTTCAGCATGTGAATGGGTTTCTCGGTTATCCTATATCTTTGTACTGACTATTGTAGGATGTTTCTATTTGAGACTCCAATGCTACCTATTACATTTTGTTCTCTAGTTTTACAATTTACATAAAAGAGGTGTTTGAAGCTATTCTGTTTTCTTCATTTTTGGGATGTTTTTTTTTATATATATTTTTCGTTTTCTCGTACTGCAAATATTTTAGGATTGTATATTTTGTTACCATCTAATAAAAACGATGAACTCAATTAAAATATAACATAATTTAACAAAGAGATGTAAATAATTCTCAAATGACTATACTACATAATTCATGAGTGATATCATTGCACTATCACTGCACCAGAAATTTTACTTAAAATATTGGCATAGGAGATAACTGAGAAACAAGTGCATCATTCCCTTCTTTTGTTTAAACCTACAAAACCTAAAATCTCTGCTAGCAACATTTTTTTCGAGGAGACACTAAAGAGCAAGCGGATTATATGTCGTATTTCAAAGATCTTGTGAAAACTCCTACAGTCCCTGACCCTGCAACAGAGAAGGCTAGACAAAGAGAAGCTAAAAAGAAGAGAACTAAAAAGGAAGCCAGATATTTGAATAAACTTAAGGCATACCTAGTACAAAAAAAACACAATGAAGAACACATGTTCACACGTTTTATTTACAAAGACAATAATGAAGACAAAATTGTAACGATCACACGTTTTATTTACAATTATTGTAAGATGTTTCTATATGAGACTCCAAATGTTACATTATGTAACTTACATATTACACATTTTGTTCTCTAGTTTTACATTTGCATAAAAGTGATGGTCTTAGAGCATCACCAATAGTTCTTTGTTTTTTTTTCCATTTTTAAAGTTTCTATATTCTTGAAAAAAATAAAAAAAACCATTGGAGTAATTTGTTTTCATAAAAAAAAAAGAATATTCCAAATATATTATATCTCTATTTTATTATTAATTTTTAAGAAGATCTTTTACTTTTCTGGTTTATAAATTCACCGATTTATTTTATTTATATAACAATTTTTAACAAATTCAATAACTTTAATAGATGTGGAAGTAGTTTTCCAAAGTATTAAATTGTTAGTTTATGTTATGTTAAGTTTTATTATTTATAAGATAATAGTAATTATATATTTTTTAAATTTTGTTGTTGGCTATGTTCTTGTATTTCTTAATTATTATATGTTATTATATTTTTTTATTGTGTTTATTGCATTTTTAGTTTATAATTTGATTGGGTAAATTCATACTTTTAAAATTAATTAGGTAAAAAGAATATATAAATTTTGTTTGGATAAAAAACAAAGCATATAAAAAGGTAAGATACATTTTGTAAATAATTTTAATTTAAAAATAAAGAAATGATTAGTATTCTTTCAAATATTAAAAAATATTGTTCGTTTTTTTTTATTTTGAAGGTGAAATACCAGTGAAGGACTATTGGATTTAGTACTATTTGGATTTAGTAAAAATTGAAATACCGTTGGAGAAGATTGAAGGACCATTGGATTTAGTATTATTTGCTTATTTTGTTTTCTTCACTTTTGAGATGTTTTTTTTTTTTTTTTTTGGTTAAACTTTCTCGTACTGCAAATATTTTAGGATTGCATATCTTTTACTATCTCAAAACAAAACGATGAACTCCATTAAAAAATAACATAATTCAACAAAGAGACATAAACAACTCTCCAACTAATTCTATCACATGCTTTGAGGTTTGAGAATGGCCATACTACAGTAACTACACAATTCATGAGTGAGATCATATTTTCAATACTGAGAAAGTGATCATTGCAATATCATTATCCTTATTGAATGAATGTAAAGCAGAACATAGAAATTCTACCTAAATTATTGTTTCCATCAACTGAAGAAAAGAGTCTTGCACTGAACATGACTCCTCACGGGCATAAGAGCTAACTCGCTTCCGTTGAGAATAACTGAGAAACAAGTTCCAATGCTCCCCTCATAGGTGCATCATTCTTTTTTTAGACCCAAAAAAAACATAAAACCTCTATTAGCAATTTTTATTTTCAGGTGATTCAGATCATCTACATATATGTTCAACATAGAATGCATATGGGACTTACAATATAAACAAGATCAAATTCCTTACGGTAGCTTTCAAGACTCTTCTCAATGTTGTCATTCCTGGAGAAATAAAAATAGTGAGAGGAGATCGGAAACAGAGCAGATAGAAGAAAAGAAAAAACTTACAGAAATCCAATACATATTCGAGTCTCATAACTCAAACCATCAGACATCCTCAGATCTCCCAAATGATCTCCCAGAAGCAAAACGTTTGTTCTTTGTTTCACGTATGCATTTCCCTCTTCTTCCTCACCAATGTCAGCACCAAGTTGATCGTGAAGTGGAGCAGCCATGTCTAATGCGTGCTCGTTCTTGTTTAGCACGTGAATTAGCTTTCCTGTATTGTTTTGAGATTCAGAGGCCAAATTAAAAAGACTAGTTATAATTACAAGATATGAAGCTGGTTGATAACAAAGTAGACAAATTAAAAAGACTAGTTATAATTACAAGATATGAAGCTGGTTGATAACAAAGTAGATTTCAGTTTTCCTGCAGAAAAATCACAAATCTGATTTGAAGAATGCACTTGCATACAAATAATGAAAGACACACTAAATATACCTTTGAAAGACACAAGCCGTCCATCATCATCAAAAACCATCCTGTTTGATACAATCTTTACATTCTTGAAAGTTCTATGAAGGTTCTGCCTCAAAACCTGGTACGAAAAGAGAATACATACAGAAAAATTATATTCATTATAGAAGCAACAGAAAAAGGAGAGTAACTCTAAATAACTAATACTCTTTAGAATCACCTCTTCAATGACATCAGCAAGTCCTGCTGAAAAAATCAGAACTGGGATCTCTAATTTCTGAAACAGATGGCAAAGAGAAAGGAAAGAATAATATAACAATAGCTGTTTCTCAGACCATATAAGTAATAACTGCAATCATGTTTTGATCCTATTTACCTCCAAAAATCCAAACAGTTCAGTCACACCTTCTCTAAAAGCTATGGAGGAATTTGCAACAGATTTCTTGATTGCATCATATGTTAGACCTCCCTCAATGAGAAGATCATGAGTTTTACTCCACCTGGTACAAACAAAAAAAAGTTGTCAATTAGAACGTCAAAAGACGAGGCAAATATCAATGTGTGTGACTGATAAGAAGAGTACCATTCTTCCATGAGTTTGGTTTTCTCTTCAATGGGAATCACAGGAGAAATCTCCATAGGATGATAATGGTCATATAATGCTTGCCTCTTAGCATCATAATCTGCATTTCCTTGCTGCAAGAGGCCATGACTGGCTATAAACAGAGCAAAAACTTGTTTCAAGCTTGATTCATTTGATTAACTGAGAAGATAAGTTTAGGATAGGTGAAATGTGTAGGAACATACTCTGGCCTCGAAGTCCATTGACTCGGTATTTCGTTAAAGTCGCATCGAAATCTGCAATTACCTTCAAAATTTCCCAGAGACCCAAACAACACAAACTAATAAGCTTTCAAAACCAAAAAAAAAACTCCGACCAAAGATTCCGAGAATGAGAGAGAGACATTGAGAGAGAAAGACCTGGAATTTGGAAGGACCCGCGTCACGAATTAGGTTTATTTTATCAGTGAGAGCTCGAGGATTATCTATCACTGTATTGGCAACTAGATCAGGCTGTTCCATTTGATTGGTGGACAGAGAGCAATTCTGAGAGAAAAAAGGGAATAGTTTATACGGACAATGTTTTGATAAGTCTAAATTGAGAGCGAGACAGATAGACACTGACTTCGTGGCGGAGGCAGCAAAATGAACGTGTTTGCGGGTGTTGACGACGGAAGACGGAGAGACAAATCGACGACGGCGCGTGAAAGCGCGTGTAGCAGCTGATAACGCGCATCAGAGATGGTCAAGCTATGGTAAAAGCAATTTTATTCATTCTGCATTACTTCTTTATTGGAGAAAGTTCGGAAATATCTCTTTGCTGGGTCTCTTGTAATTCTGTGGATTAACAAGTTTTGACATTGACACCAATGACATCTCCTTAAAAAGTTGTAACCTTTTTTTTTTTTTTTTGCATTCAGTCTTCAATACAACAGTTACAGTAAACAAAATGAGTTCTTGCGCTCTTGCTCTGAGCATCTCAGTGCAAAAATTTGTATATCTTTTTTTGGTTCCTTCCTCTTAACAAGTATTAATAGTCTAAAAAACAAAAAAAAAAAAACGTGTTGCAACAAATGAGACTAGTAGATTCTAAATCACTGCCTAGTGAAGCTTAGAGAGGCTTGAAGTAGAGGTGATGATCAGAGAAAAGAACCCTAAACGCTTGTTTGCATCTACACTTCAATCTAATTACAAATCCATCTCCAGATCTCTCTATCCTCATCCCTTCTTCACAATCTTCTTCCTCCTTTTGCTGATTCTGCAATTTTCATGATGAAGTTCACCATTAATCATCATAGTCACTTGAAATCAGTAAAAAGAAAAGCGTAAGAGACAAAGAAATCAAACCTCGTAAGCATCAGAGTTAGTAGTCTCTTCGCGATTGATCTCCTCTACTCGATTGTTAACCACCTTCATCGTCTGTTAATTATAGTAAACAACCAAAATTGAAGATTCTTGATTAGTAGTAATTTAAACTCAGAAGAGAGCAAAGATTAAAGAAATGCTTGATTATAACAACTTCTGTCTCAGGAGTCTTGGAAGCAGACGGCGACGTTTCGTGCTTCTCGGAAACAGGGCTTGCGTGGGAGCAACGGACTTGGCCGGCGGTGAGATTCGGGTACCGGGTCTGGTCGTCGATTGAGGAAGATTGAGTTTCCGGGTAAGTAAAGCGAAGAGGAGAGGTGATAAAGGTTGGGTTTTGGAGGGAAATCTTCCTGCGTTTTGGCTGATCGGATTCGTCGGAAACAGGGGAGGAGCGTTTCAAGGGGCTGATTTCAGGAGATACGGCGGAGAAGAAAGAGGAGCGAGAGTAGTCGCAAGGTGGGGAAGAGAGGCGGAGGAGAGAGAGATCAATGTCGTCGAGGCTCAGATTGTTGTTACGGTCTTGAAATTCATCTTCCATCATCATCATCATCTTTCTCCAATCTTCTTGCTCACTTCTCTCTCTGTTTTTCTCTGCTCTTGTTAAAATAAAAGTGAGGTTTTGATTCAGAGAGAGAGAGAGAGTTCGTTATCGAGGAATGAAAAAGGCGCGTATTGAAGTAGATCTACCAATGTCGGTTTAAAGATTCCGGTTCAGGTGATCGTTTTATTAATTTTATTATTTTTAATACATTAGCTTATACAATATAATGTATGCTCAAAATATAACTTATTATTAACCATAAAAATAATTTGTACATAAGAGTTACATTGCACGAACAGGAGGAATACTCTGTTCGTACCTGAAAAAATTCTCAGGATCATACTTAGCTTTAACTTCCATCAATCTTTCGAGATTCCCCAAGAAAAACTTTGATCCATAGATCTTAGCTTCATCAACATTCGTCTCATCACTCGGATTGCTTCCAACATCAATGTCTCTGTAATTCAAATACGCCTCTCTGGGGTTACTTGACACGTACGGCTCCGTCACTTTGTAAAGCTCTTTCATCAAACCTAGATTCGCGTCCGTTGCGTTTGCGTCAGACCATAACGCAAAGTAGAGAATCTTGAACAAGTTTCCTTTCCGGTGAGGAAACGCGGTCGCGTTCGCCTGAATCTGATCCATTACTCCGCCGTAAGGGTTCCATTGCATCCACACATTGTTGAATTTCAACATCGTTTTCCAAATCTTCTCCAGTCCTTCTTTCGGTATCGGTTTCTTGACGTAATCCGATTTGTTCTTGAAGAATCCACTTGGCGGGTTCGTTGGTCTGTCAAGAAGAACGCTCGTGTTGGTTCCAAACGGATAATCCTCCCAAAACATCGTCGTGTTAATCCAGCTCATCTCGTAGCAATCTTCACGTTTTAGCCCTAATTCAGGCAAGTTCTTGTTTATAATCTCCATTAGCTTCTTTGCCGAGCCTAGGAACTGAGCGTAAAACTTAACCGCAATGGTTTTATCTCCGTTTTTTTCTCCTATTACGATTTGAGGCATTGCTCTCAAGAAAAGCTCTCTAGGCAATTTGCTAGACGACACAAGCTGCCACTTGAAGAGAACATTAGTAGCTCCTTGTTCCAATGTTTTGTTAACCTTAAACACTGTCATGGTCTCTGGAACCTCGACGAGGTTGATTGTCCAAGAGAGAATAACGCCGAAGCTCGCGCCGCCACCGCCACGAATCCCCCAAAACAGATCTTCTCCCATAGATGATCTGTTCAAGATCTTTCCATTGGCATCTACTAACTGAGCATCAACGACGTGATCGACGGAGATTCCGTATTTTCTCATTAGATTCCCGTATCCTCCGCCACTGAAGTGTCCTCCCACTCCTACCGTAGGGCAAACGCCGGCTGGAAACGCTAGCGTTTTGCTAGCGTCAGCGATTTTGGTGTATAGCTCTCCCAAAGTTGCACCAGATTGAACCCATGCTTTCTTGTGTGGCACGTCAATGGTTATGGATCGTAGATCGTGCATGTCGAGGACAACGAAAGGCACGGACGAGATGTACGAAAGGCCCTCGAAGTCGTGACCACCACTTCGGATACGGATTTGGATTCGGTTTGACTTTGAGCAGATCACTGTTGTTTGAACGTGAGATTCATGTTTTGCAGCAACAATGGCTATTAGGTTTTTGACGTAATTAGGGTTTGAGTACATTTTCTTTTTCGTGTAGGACTCGTAAGACGAGATGAATGTGGAGTTGTTGAGAGTATAGAGAGCTTCAGTGATCGGATTTTCCGGACTTGTCCGATTACGAATGCATTCGAGGAAGTTTCCAACATTTGGTTTCGTTACTTGATCTGCATCTGAAACTGAGACAAGAAGAACAAGAAACAAAAGAGAAACTACTTCTTTCATTTTTTGTCTCAAACAAAGAGAAGGAAAACAAATGTCCTAATAATTTCTTTAAGTATTTATTGGGAATTTATGTGAAGAAGCTACATTAATAAACAAGAAACCTATCTTTTGTAATTTTACTGTTTTTTCTTTCTCTTTCAATTACTGTTTTTTTTTTTTTTTGTTTAGTAAGAAATCAGTTACACACTTACACTGATTGATTGAATCTTTTATAACTGAAAAATTAATTTAGATACACTAAATTTTTCCCTCTTTTTTCAATTACTATTGTTTTTACTAATTAAGAGATCTGTTATGATTGAATTTTCTTTATTTTTTTCATTAAAATAAAAACTCTATGATATGATACAATGGATTTCCTTCTCTTTCTTTTTTTTTTAAACTAATAATCAGTTATGATTAAAAGTCTCTTGAATACTACAATACACAAATTTTCCTCTTTTTTTCTTTCACTTACTGTTACTTTTAATGGGTTGCGGTTGTTTTTTCCTCTCTCTCTTTTAGTTCTAAATTCATATTTTGTTTCTGTTATTATAGGCTAATTTTGTATGAACTATAACAATTGATCTTTTTAATCGAATAGAACCGTTAACCAAAACAAAAATGTTATATATGATGAATCTTTGAAAGCCAATCATAATCTGAAAACATATATATATAAGAAAAACTTATTCCTTAGTTGTTATTTGTAAAATGTAAAACCAAACACCAAAGGAAAGACAAAATGTTGTTTGTGTTCACTTCATCATGGAAAAAAATTAGTTATTGAAATTTGCTAATGTAGTTATTGAAAAAAAACTTTACAGAAATACCTCAAAATACGAAAAAATTAGTGCAAAAAATAATAAAAAAAAACTAGGTACCTAGATAGAAATTTGTGGTAGTTTTTTTTTAACTTTTCATAATTTTGGGATTTTAGTGGTATTTTATAGAGGGTAGAAAAGTAAAATCTATTCACTTAACCAGTTGGAGGCGAGAGAATCCATCCACTCCGGCGATATTTGCGACATCTTTATCTTTCGACGCCACCGGATGAGTGTCGCCGGCATCCATCGTTTAACTCTTCCTTTACTTCCGGTACCTTTTCTCTGGCTCTCGTGACTTCACATTAATTTTCGAGCTGATTCCTAATCTTCCTCCTCTGTTTCCACCAGTTTTCTCTACATACTCGAGATGCATCTTTTGGTTTCTCCTCTCTCAGCATCCCCGCCAATCGCCACCGCAATCATCCCGTAGTCCACCATTCTCACCGATTGGTCACCTGTTTTAGTCACCGATTGGTCTTTTCTTTCCCCTTAGTGTTTGCTTCGGTTTATCTTCTATTATTGTAGTTTATCTAGTCTTGTTAAGCAGAACCCATTTGGGAATTTCTGTGACAGTTTGCTCGAGTTCGAGCTGTGTGCTTAGCTCTTTACTTGTACTACTTCTGAATCCTTTGTCTGTTTTTTTAATGTGTGCATATATAAAGGCTTCCCATAAATCTGATGATGCTGAAGCTGGTTCTTCCTTTGATGAAGGTATTCATATATTGACATTGTAGGTTAACGGCTCATTTTGTGGGTGGACTGTAAAGATCTAAAATTATTCAACACTTTTGTGTCTTCTTTACTCTCTAGTTGATACATTCTGTCAGGCTTGCACAAAGGCTTTTCCTTTTTTATCTATCTTGCCGTATTTGTTGTTAACTTGAGTTTGACACTATGTTCACTTCTTTCTCTTCCCTTATTCTAGGAGAATCGTTGGATAAGAATGGGACAAGCAGCAAAAACCCGTTTGCTTCTAAAGAGTATGTGATATTTCTGATATGGTCTGTCCAAACGTTAGGGAAGAATTAAGATCATTTCGATTCTGCTCTGTGTGATTGAAAAGGAATGATTAGGGGAATCAATATAAGCTTAACATATATTTCTTTGTTATGATGATCTTGTGCTGCGACATTGTAGGCTTCTCAAGAAATTGAAGAGATATGGAGTCTCTGGAATTTTGTCTTATGGGTTACTTAATACAGTCTATTACAGCATAGCTTTCCTCTTGGTATGGTAAGTAAGTAAAATAGAACTTTGACCGTATGCTAAGCTACAGAGACATTGTTATCTACCATGGTCCATGGAACCTTACTTTGTTTTCCATTTGCCCTCTTTTTTCTCGATATGCTACAGTCTGATATTTGATTATGTAAGAGGATTAAGTTTTACCTTATCATTGTTGTGTGTTCGCGTATACCTTTTGTTTGGCATCTTAGTTGTTCTATTAGCTCTGTATTGTAACCTAAGGAAGAATGTTTAAAGTCTAATGCATCATCATCAGTACTATAGAGTTATGTCATAAAGTTATGTCTCTGTTTTTAAGAAAGCAGTCTTTCATTTTCTAAATTTTCTGTGTATTTTGCTTCATCATACATACTTGAGCTAGACCAGTGACGAGGATTATTTATATACATATAGGTTTTATGTAGCCCCAGCACCCGGAAAAATGGGTTATTTTGCTGCGGCTGAGAGGTATGGAACATTATTCAGCATATTCCAGCGTTATGGGGACGTGAAAGATTCATGTTGCATGCAGATTTCTTAAAGTGATGGCCATGGTCTGGGCTGGAAGCCAAGTTACTAAGCTCATCAGAATAGGAGGGTAAGCTGCAGATTTTAATTTCTATAGCTTAAGAAAATCGTTATACTTTCACCAATGTTATGATGGGTCAGAGAGGCCTTGTAGGAAGCTGTTTAAGTGATTCCTCCCATATCATATGATGCAATAGGAATTAAGACGTTTTGTATCATACCATTATGGTAGATGTGCAGATTATGGTATTATTGATTTAGTCATATGATTCGCAATATGGAATTAATGTAAAAATTGTAGTAAGTGATGAAGAGATAAGTAATTTGATCTACCGCTCTAATTATTTGCCGCAAATCAGACAATGAAGTGATCCTTTGATAATTCAGTTAGGGGGAAAAGGAATTAATAACAAAGTGTCCTCTTTATTATTGTCGACTTATCCATATTATCTTGTTATGAATATTGATGGATGCAGGGCAGTCGCACTTGCACCTATTGTTGATAGAGGATTGTCGTGGTTTACAGTAAAATTCAAGTTTGAAAGTCAAGGAAAAGTGAGGCACTCAAAATTGCTCTGAGTGATGAATATATATGTATGATGATGAAGAGTGATTTGATCTGTGGATGCATTGCTTTTGACAGGCTTTCGGTGCAATGGTTGGGATATGTCTTGGTCTGGCTTTGGTGCTGTTTACCGTTGTGACACTACTCTGGGCATAGCACAGAATATACTGCATTTGGTAGATTTGCTTTTACAAGAATTTTGGTTTTAGTTACAACAGTAGAGACTTGAAAGGCATTGTAGACATGATCTGATGCCCCTGTTTTTTGTAAGAATTTGACTTTGATATGATATTAGTAGTGATTGTCCAGTTTCTTTAGCTGCGACATCATTCTCCGCAGTGAAAGAACAAATTATTGTAAAGAAGAGGCTTTTATGTTCCCGGTGAAGAAGAATTGTATGTAAACTCAAATAATTAAGAAAATATTCAAATGTGTACTCTGTTAGAACAAGAGTTGGAGCCGGCTTAAAAGGGGAAAAAGAAAAATGAAAAAAAAAAAAGCTGTTGCAAATCTCCGAGTTGCAGTAACAAGAACACACATAAATGGTTATTTTGGGATGCCAGTTAGGGGATGGAGAAGAGCCTGAGTTTGGTCTTGAAGCACCAGAGGACCTTTTCCAGGTCTGCTGCATATAAAATAGCTCACTTCACCTTTTTGATCTTGCCTTCCAATTTTGTCTTTAATTTCTTGTGAAACCTCTCCTCTTTCCAAGCCTGCCTCTTTTACAATTGATTTGTCGCCCAGTACGTAACTACACCAAGTACAAAACACCATTTGTCTTACTCAGAGTTTCAATCAATCAATCAATGAATCAATCACACTTCCTATCTCACCTCTCAATGTCTTAGTCAGGCTTAGGAGGGAAGCAGTAGAGCAGCCCCTGCAGCAATTCAACTGCTACCTTTCTGCTTCGTGCAATCAGGACCGCGTTTGGGCCGGCATCAAATGTGTAAGCAATCTGTCCAGGAAAATGAGATAACGATCAGAAGTTCTGTCTCCATACCCTAGACTCAAATCTCAATACTTGGAAGAAACCCATTCGAAGTTCAATGGTTGGTTTTGAACAATGATAGTACGGACACATACCTCTGGTGTCCCGACAAAGCGGTTCCACTTTTCAACTAAGCTTATTATCCTGCCATATATCAGAAAGCGGATTGCGATCAAAACGACTACATTGATAGCTAAAGCAGGCCAAAAGAAACAAAAGAAGAGAGATAGACACCTGTGGGAGGTGTCATTCATGTAAAATATGGGTGGAGATGTATCCATACAAACAGCATGAAACTGATTACTGTCTGAACACGTCAGTTTTGCAAAAGATGTGAAATCTCGATTCTTAATAGCTTCTTCCATTTGCAAAACCCGTTTCGGCACAACTTCCTGAGGAGAAAATTAAAGCAGAGCATGAAATTGACGGAAGTAGTAATCATATTTGAATGTAAGCAAGCCCAACCAAAACCACTCACATATGTTGTTCACCAACCCACAGAAATTACAGACCTAATATCAGACATCAAAAAGGGAACACACCTTTGCTCTGTGCTGTAAAAGTAAACTTGTCTCAACACTCTCACGCATTCCTGAGGTGCTACTTGTTTCCTTCTCTCGTGAACTCACCTGCATGTAACACAAGCTATAACGAGTTGAAAAAAGAGAAATTTTTTTTTTAAGAAATAAGCTTTTGCAGGCTATGATGGAAAAATTATCACATTGTTCATATCGTAATACTAAAGCTTGTCTTAGCCATCCATGATGCATAAAAAGCTGCCTATACTGTCTGCTTATATTTTCTGTTCCAAAGAAAGCAACGGAACTAGACTTATTCATATAGCTCACCTAGACTAAATATACTTAAGATTCTTACCACAGCGATAATGATAACAAGATCATCCCAGTGCTTTTCATCTGCGACTTGAACAGCAACGCTATCACTTCCATCTTCTTTGCTTCCCATGTTCCACTTGACAAATCCCCCAAACAAACTACGGCAAGCACTTCCTGAACCTTGCCTACATGGAGAAATGAAAATAACGGCATATATAACGGCAGCAGTTATCTTCTAGAGGAATGTCTGACTACACATAATTCAATTAAAATGCACATAGCAAAACGGAAACTTATAGAATTACAGTGGATGCATAAATAACACTCACTCTGAGAAAAAAAAAAAAATTGAAAAATATTAGCCTTACAATAAACACGGAAGATGCTAAACAGATCAACGAGGGTGAAAATGCAAGTCAGGTAACGTTAGTCTTACCTGGCTATAGCAGAAAGTTGGCTTGGATCTTCATGTACATTCATCAACTTTGCAAGAGCAAAAACTGTCCAAAAGAGAGCGGTATTATTCAACCAAAAAAAAAACAAAAGAGCGGTATTATATATACTACATTAAGCTGTTTTCAAAAAGAAAGATCAACCTTGAGAATCTAGAAAATCATTTTCCCGTTGGAGGAAACAGACAGGATTAATGTCATCTAAGTGAAAAGTTGATATTGACGTTGAGCAATCCTAAGCTAGAGAAAGTATAGAATAGATAGAAGAAAGATGACGAATAGAAGGAAGAACCATTTGGTCGTGTAAGAAACTATGTAGTGGCTTTGTCTGGTATCTTTTGTGTTTCTCATATGATGTGTGCATTATCCAGAAAATCAATGCTAAACAAGACCAACCAGAGGGTGTGACAAAGTTCATATACCAAACATAGAAAAAGCAGCTGCATTTTCAAAATGTACTACCTAGTCATACCATGTGGTTCCTTTAGTATTAAAAATGGCAAGGAGAACATAATCCAATTTTTTTTTTATAGGAATTTTCATCTTTCATGCTAAACAACATCCACGAGGCAACGGAGAGAAAAATATGAGAGTACCGAGACAAGCAAAGCCAGCTGCTGAAGACGCTAAGCCAGCAGCAGTAGGGAAGTTGTTATAAGAAGCAATGTGTAGATGCAATTTCTCCCAATCTTTCTTGGCTATCTTGATACCCTTTACTTTGTCTTCAACATCATCAGCGCGACATCGAATTTCCCTCAAGCAATTTTGGTACCTACTTCCAGAAAGAGAGATTTCCTACACTAGGATGAAAAAAACAACAACAAAAGAAAAAGAAACACCATGAACAAAACCAAACAAGGCTCTCTCAATTCAAAACAGAGAAGCAACGAAGATTACTTTGAATTAACTTTTGCGCAGTACACATTATGATCTTCAATAATCCGAGTATCTCATAAATCAAGTGAAATATTTATGCGAATATTTGAGCTAAGAGACGAATAAAGATATGAGAGATGAAAAGTGGGAAAATGAAGCAATGACCTTGCCATTGAGCCACATTCGATCCCGATCAAAGGAAGGACTAACAGCGACGGTGGTGAGAGTGCAGAGATGATCGGGATCAAGCGTGACGCTAATGCTGTCGTTGATGGGGAGAATCCGAACCTCGTCTCTCTTTCCCCAGTACTTGATCACGGCGATATTCGTCGGCGTCTGAGCCGTCACCATTAACACCCATTTCTCCTCCGCCATACGCAACACTCAAGATCCAAATCTCTCTAAGCTTTTCGTCTCCAGAGATCTCTATCTATTAGCTCGGGGAAGATTTCAAATAGGAAAGAAATCAAAGTGACGGAGAGTTCGAGCTTTTACATTTTTCCAAGTGAGGTTGGTGAAATGGTTTATATTAAAATATTAAACTCCGGTTGCGTTTCTAATCCGGTTTGCCGAAAACTCCGGTTTATTTTGACCTTTTCTGGTTTCAATATGGAGTCAAACTAAGAATAATTGACTAATGATAGTGATCTAACATCTTCTTAAGCTTCTTAAGAGGATCAAAGTGGGTTCCTTTGATTTTTAATTAATGTTACAAATGTGAAACAGCCAAGTCAAGCCTCTCTAGTTGAAGAAGGCTTCTTTTTATCAGAGCCAGACAATTTCGAATCACAAATACAAAGGATAAATTAGGAGCAGCCAAACAGAATCAATCACGCACCAATCTGCATTTAATGGGTGCAAAATCAGGACTTGTTGGTCCCATTAATAGCCGGGACAACGCCTCTTGTAGCCTTCACGTACGAGAGGTATTCGCTATAATGCATGGTGAACAATGTGCTCTGGTATCGCGTTAGATGGATTCGCCTACGCACTGTTTCCGTTATTTCCCCATTGTAACCTGCTTTACGCACCAGTGAATCTATTGCCTCTATCTTTGTCCACCCTGCCAAATGAAGTAGCCATAATGTTTCATTGACGATGCATGTAGCTTCACGTTTTGATCCAAACAAAGATCTAAACATACAAACTCCTAAGCGAACGTTATCTTTGTTTATCAGTTCCATATTATCTGCATTTTTCTTATTTAAAGATTGGTTTAACTCAAAACTTGAAATATTGTATCAATATGGTACCTTCTTGCGCTGGCACCTCAGGCAAATATGTGGCGCTTCGCTTTGTGTTAGTCACAGGTTCGGTGAACTCAATGATTATACCATGCTTTCCTACCTTCAGAGTCAAATCAGGGAAGGTGTGGAAGATAATCCACAGATAAGAGAAGATATTAACAAACTAAACCTACTCGGTGTCTCCAAATTTATATTACCAGGGACGTACGGGACATAAGAAGGTTTTGAAACCATATTCTTAAATCCTGTTTTGAAACCGGTGATTGACAATGTAGTAACAGAAGAGTGAAGATAATACCTCCCAATCAAGATAGTCCTCTGCAGTTTCATAATCAGTCAGGACAGACACGGTACATTGCAGAAATGGCAGTTCTTTGGGCTGTATTGGTGGGAACCTACGATCCCTCAGGGCACTGCAATATCACAAAAAGAAAAAAAAAACGTGCATTTACAACCAATGACACGTAAATAAAAGAAAAAAGATAAACACCACGGAATATACAAAATAAACCTACATATACGTGCCTCATTTGTGGTTTAAAGCCCAAAGTTTCCAAAACTGAACTACTAATTTCCTTTTATATGTTTTCACTGTATTTCTATTGCTATTCATGTTCATATACACACTTTAAAGAAAGATACCAAAAAAATAAAATAAAAACTGAATCTTAGCTGCAGAAGAGAAGCAAATCAGACGGAGAAATTTAACAAAGTTGCTAATAGACAAAATCGAAGACTTAAAGAAGACAGAAATCGGATGAGGAAAGTTGAAGAAGAACAATTTTAACCTTGCAAAAACGAAGCTCATTTGAAGGCAAAACAGATCAAAAACACATCATTGTTGCCTTTGGCCAAGGAAATAACATGAATTGGAAGAAAGAAAAATGTGTTAAGGAATAGTAAGTACCTTGTCAAGGCATAATCCTTGAAGCCACTTATCAAGCGGCGTGCTTCCAGTGTACCAATACATCCACGCAATCGAGGCTCCCCACCATTCACTATTTTCTTCCAGGTGACAAACAATGGACTACAAGAAAAACACTCGACTATGAGAAAGAAAAGATTATGTGTTTCAGGATATACCAACCATCCATACATTCAACTTGTTAAACCAAGAAAACAAGAAAAACAAAAAAAAGAAGAAGAAGAAGTTTAACACAAACACTGAATACAGAACATGAGCTAAGTATGATTTCTACTACTGAGCATAGACATTAACAACAAAAGGTTTCAATATAGAAAACAACAGCTGCATGCAAGGGCTGGAGATGACGAGCGTTTATGCCTTAGCCAAATCCAAACAAAGAGAAGATACAAAACGATTCAAACTGAATGTGTAAGCGACAAAACACAATACTCGAGAGAGATTCAGAACTTGCATGTCATAACAAAAAAGAGGAAGGGAAAGGTTCACAGAAACGTACTGATTCGCCTCTTCAAAGGAAGGTGGGGGAGTCTCTTCGTTGTTGTAGTGAGAGACCAAAGTGTCGAAACAGTAGACAGCCATCTCTTTGTTCGCCGACGCCATTTTTTGCTTTGAAGAGAGCAACAAGTAATGTGAACCTGAAGTATCCACGAACCCTTTAAATGCTTATAAAATCAACTCGTGAAGAGAAGAATACAACTTCGCATGTACTAAATATTAACTGGATTTTCCCGCAATTGCGTGTGACCCGAAAGATACCCATTTTGGCAAAAACACGTCACTACCCAGAGCAAAAATAGAAGAAAGCAACTCGAAAATCAAAGAACGAATTACACAAATCAAAGCATTCTCAAGCAAATTAAGAAAGCAAGAAAAAAACTGAAATTTGATAGCGATGTTCGACGATGATAAATATCGATGAAGGAAATTGATCTGTGGGGATTTAATTAAAAGCCACGAAATCTAGAAGAACACAGATCTGTAAGAAGAATTGAAATCAAGCAGATAGGGAATCAATACTACTGAGCATAAAAAAAAAAAAGAGGAGCGAGGAAAACCTGAGAATAGCGGAAAAGAATCGAAAAATTGGATGAAAATTGTTTAATTGTGTACGTTAAATACAAGTTTTGATGTTGGTGTGTCTTTTTCTCAAGGAGTTAACTATTTCTTCCTTTTTTTTTTGTTTTTAGATATACATCGATTTAATCGCCGTAGCTTACTAAATAAGAAGAAAATAAAAAGATTTGTTGATATATAAATTATACATAACTTACGCGGGCTAAAAGGTTTTAAAAACAAAAAAACAAAAAAATTATACTATAAATTAAAAATAATTAAAACAATTATTTAAAACATAAAAATCAAAATAAAGTTAACTACAAAAGTAAACACAATATAAAATTAATTACTTAAAAAATACTTTATAACTGAATAATCCACAAACTAATTTAATTAAAATAAATTCTAGTTTTTTGTTTTTTATTTTTTTCTTTTCATTATTTTTTCTTTCTTCTTCATTGTTTTATCCTTATTCTTCTTTTGTCCATATTTTTTCTTGTTTTTTTTCATGTCTTATTCTTCATTTTTTTTTTCTTCTTCCCATATTTCTTATTCAAATTTATCATTCACATCTTTTTTTCTTATTTAACACATTCGTCTTCTTCTTTTTTGTTTTTACGGTTTATTCTTCTTCTCTTTCTGATTTTTTTTCATATTACGTACTTTTCATATTTTTATGACTCTATATCTTTTGAGGCTAAAAAAAAAAGATAAATACACATTTCAAACTTAAAACTCTCCTTAAAAATGTGTTATATTTATTGTTAGATAAGAAAGCTGCATTAACTTTTTTAGCTTGCTCCTTTCAAACAATCAAAACTGTTTCTGGGTAATCAACTTTAAAAAAGAGCTTAAACATATATACCAAAAAAGAAATTGTCAAAATTTCTTAATTATGCTAATAACAAAAATATCAAAAATTAAAAAAATATCAAAATAGACTTTAAGTAAAATAGAGTTTCCACAAAAGGGTTGTGATATTTTCACGGTCCCAAGATTTGCAGATTTTGTATATAATTATCATTGATTTCTTCACATGTGTGCTAGATATTTATTTTGTACCCTATAAATAATTTTGAAATAGAATCGCTAGATGGGATTGAATCATTCCAACATACAAACTTAAGAAAAATTAGAGTTTTAGCTACTTAAACATAAATTTTACATCTTTTGTGAAACTTAAGCAAGAGAAGCTTTACTCTGATCCAAAAACAACATTTAATAATTAACAGTTCAAACTCATCTCGAAACACATAAGATGAAAGTACTCCACACGAAAAAGATTTCACTCGGAGAAACGTGCAGAAGATCAAAGTACAAATAGTTACCTTTTTTTTCTTCTGTCTTTGCCCATAACTAACATAAAGGAACCATAAACCAATATCAAAAAATATCCCAACACTGGACATAAGAAACAAAACACACACAAAACCCATTCAAATAAAGTGATGTTCAAATAAAAAATAGTAATTTTGTTCATGTATCATCATTATTATCAATAGAACTAACTTTGACTTTGAGAGTAAGAATATGCCAAGTGGACTAACATTTTTGCTGGAACTAAACTCCTTGTTAGCTTGTTTTATTTTGTTCTCGGCAGCGACATGTGGGTCTTGGATAAAACACAACCACCATGTTCTGCACCTCGTTCACCGAAGCTTCTTTTGAACTGTTATAAATTTAGGATTCATCAGATCAAGTAATAATCCATAATCAGATGATTAAACCTGTGTTTTTGTACGTGTTCTTCTAAAGTTTCATGTACCTTCCAAAAGTTCAATCAACTTAGCAACCTTCACAAGAACCAGGTGAACTCACGTTCATTGCCATGAGGGATTTCGACACCGTATGTCCTATAGACCATTCTGAATCGTCACCAAGAGCCCACACCACAAAACAGAATACATAATCTTTTTGTAATAATTTTTCTAAACATATTAAATGCTCTTATCTGACTCTGAGAACTGGTTCGGTTCATGACCATAATCTAGATCTTCATCACCAGCAAATGAAATCTATTGCATCGCAAGATGAAACAATAAAACGCGGGCACCTAAGAAAGAAAAAACAAAAACAATAAAAAATTAAAACAGATAAGAATCAATAAACAAAAAAAGGCCCGACTCAGCCCCAACTAATAAAAGAGAAAGAAAAGTGCACCAAAACTGGCTAATATATAAAACATAAATATGATAGTTAATAAAAAAATCACAAATCTAAACCTAAAGCACAAAAAAGAAAATAAAATGTTACCCTTCGGTATAGCAGTAAAACTAAACAATCAACGATCAAAAAAGTCCGGCTAAAACACCACCTCCTAAACAGAAAAAAAACGTCAAACGTTATTATTGATAAGAAGAATTTATAAAATATAAATAGAATTCAACTTCTAATATACATCAGAACAAAATATATTCCTGAAAGCTATAAAAGGGAAGACACAAGGTATCACCTAACATATATAAAAAAATGTAGATCTACATGAGCTAACAGAAACGAATATAAAACAAAAATAACAACCGAATAGAAAATTAAAAAGCACAAAACCTATTTTTTTAAGAAGTCACAAGATCACTAATGTGAAACGCACGAAATATATAGCATACATGATCGCCAAATATTACAACTGTATAAGTGAAACAAAAAAATTGGTTGAAAAATCTTTAAAATTTATGCAAATCGGATAATTTATATATATATATTTTTATTAAAAAACAATATCTAAGTATTTATCAAGACTTACTTAAAGATTTATGGAGTAACATAATTATATATGATAATTTTCGATTTTTAATATTTTTTATAAAAATTAATTTCGTTTTTTTATTTTTGTTTTAAAAAATCATGATCTTAGTTGTAAATTTGTGATTTTTGATTTGATAAAATCGTAGATTTTGATCAGATTGAGATAAAATTATGTTTTTGATTTGATTTAATATTATTACAGCCTATATTATAATTGTGATTTTAGTTGTAAACAATTTTTTGTATTTTATGCAATTTTTTAAATTAAAAATAATTTTAAGGAGGGGTAAAGGGTAATTAGCCACTCTGAGATTCAATGAGAGAGCTTTAAACCAAATTTTTACTTTACTTATAATATATATGATATGATATATAATTTACATGATCGCCAAACATTACAACTGTTTAAGTGAAAAAAAAATTTGGTTGAAAAATCTTTAAAATTTATGCAAATCGGATAATTTATATATATTTTTTTATTAAAAAACAATATCTAAGTATTTATCAAGACTTACTCAAAGATTTATGGAGTAACATAATTATATATGATGATTTTCGATTTTTAATATTTTTTATAAAAATTAGTTTCGTTTTTTTATTTTTGTTTTAAGAAATCGTGATTTTAGTTGTAAAATTATGATTTTTGATTTGATAAAATCGTAGATTTTGATCCGATTGAGATAAAATAATGTTTTTGATTTGATTTAATATTATTACAGCCTATATTATAATCGTGATTTTAGTTGTAAACAATTTTTCGTATTTTTTTGCTATTTTTTAAAATTAAAAACAATTTTAAGGAGGGGTAAAGGGTAATTAACCACTCTGAGATTCAATGAGAGAGCTTTAAACCAAATTTTTACTTTGCTTATAATATATATGATGATGATTAGCTTACATGATCGCCAAACATTACAACTGTATAAATGAAAAAAAAAATTGGTTGAAAAATCTTTAAAATTTATGCAAATCGGATAATTCATATATATATTTTTACTAAAAAACAATATCTAAGTATTTATCAAGACTTACTTAAAGATTTATGGAATAACATAATTATATATGATGATTTTCGATTTTTAATATTTTTTCTAAAAATTAATTTCGTTTTTTTATTTTTGTTTTAAAAAATCGTGATTTTAGTTGTAAAATTTTGATTTTTGATTTGATAAAATCGTAAATTTTGATCAGATTGAGATAAAATCATGTTTTTGATTTGATTTAATATTATTAAGCCTATATTATAATCGTGATTTTAGTTGTAAACAATTTTTTTGTATTTTTTGCTATTTTTTAAATTAAAAAAAAATTTAAGGAGGAGTAAATGGTAATTAGCCACTATGAGGTTCAATAAAAGAGCTTTAAACCAAATTTTTACTTTGCTTATAATATATATGATGTGTGTTCGGATTAAGCCCGATTAATACACAAGTGAATAAACTTTTTTTTTTGTAACAATGAATAATGAATAAACTCTTTTGCAGAAAGCATTTGGGCCAAAATCCAATGGCCACATGCTGCGACTTTGTTCAGAGTAAAATCGAACGCTGAAACTTCTGCAAATTTACACACTATGAGATCACGATTATCAACCACCACCAACACATGGATTAATGTTAGAATAATTTTACGAGTTTTCGTGTATTTGCTAAAAATTGCTGTAATGTTTTTTTTAACAGCAAACAAATATTTATGTGTGATATATAAATCATGAGTAAGAAAACCATCAATGTAAGGTTCAAACAAAAAAAAAATCATCAATATTATTAACAATATATACGTGATTAAAGTACCTTCTCTAGACAACCGTCTGAACTAATATATAAATTCACATAAAATTCACTAAACCCAAAAAAAAAATTAAATGCATTTGCAATAGAGATTTTATACTAACTTACATGCTTTACTTTTAAACTTATCAAGTTTGGCTATTTTTTAGATATCCTCTTAAAAGAAATTAAAAAAAATAGACTGAAACATTTGGACTTCCCGTGCACAAATTTCGAGAGGGATACAAAATTCTAATTAACCGCCAAAACCTTCTTTCCAAAATCGACATTTGCTCTCTTCCTTCAAACGAAATCCCTCGGGATCTTCACGTTTAAACCAGATAAGCCTTAGGGTTTCCAAGCACCGTCAAATTTGTTAGTCGGCACCGGCGGCGGAAGAAAATGCATCCTTCGTCAACCACCACTTGCACTTCCCTTCTTCAAGAGTTGCAGGTTCTCCTCAGTTTCCTCGCTTTTCTCCGTAGCTTATTCATCTCTCCACGATTATTTCGAGTTCTCACTCCTTTGATTTCCGGCGAGTGCGATTTTATCTTAATCTCCTTTGATCTGCTTTTCTAGTGATTCAGCGATTCATTTCGTTAACGCAATTGAAATATCAATGTTGTTTTCCTAGGGTTCATGCTTGTGGTCACCATCTGTTAGACTCATTTCTAGGCCACTGTTTCAATTCGTTCTCGCTTCTATCTTGTTAACTTTTTCGTAGCTCGACTTTGAATTCCCGAATTAAGCCTCGGCAACCACATTTGATTACAGTTTTTACGTTTCGTTGTGAAGGATTTGTACCGTAATTTGTTTTAGATTGGCTTTTCATATGTTGAAATTCTTAGTTGGCCTCGTTCTTAGAACTAGTTTTTGAATCAACTCTCTGGCTATAGTTCATATTTGATCAGTAATTGAAATCGGGATTAAAATACTGCTACTGGTGACTGTTGCGAATCTCTTGTCTTGTGGAACTGAACATGTATGCTTCCATTGTTTCTTACTTGTACTTTACTTGAGGAGGATATTTACACAGTTTTTCATTGTTTATTCTGATGTAGATAATATGGGATGAAATTGGTGAAAGTTACAATGAGAGAGACAAGATGCTGCTAGAACTTGAGCAGGAATGTCTGGATATATACAATAAAAAGGTTGCGAAAACTCGCAAGTACAAAGCTGAGTTACAACGATCGTTAGCTCAAGCTGAAGCTGAAATTGCCAGCCTCATGTCTGCACTTGGTGAACAAGTTTCGCTTTCAAGGGTATGGTACTCTTAGCATCACTTTGTTTCATAGATTGCATATATATTTTTTCTTATGAATGTTATTATTTCTGGTTGAGAAGAAAGAAGGCTCTTTGAAGGAGCAGATATCCACTGTAAAGCCTGTACTGGAAGACCTGCTGATGAAAAAGGATCTAAGATGGAAAGAATTTTCCGAGACACTGACACAGGTAGCTGAGATTTCTTCTAACATTGCGGGGAATGATTATCCTGTTAGCTCTGGTCCAGAAATTGATGAAAGCGACTTAACACAAAGAAAGTTGGATGAACTTAGAGCACATCTGCAGGATCTTTGCAAAGAAAAGGTGTTCTTATAGTTATAAATACACGTTGAGTATTTGTTTCAAAGAGTTTGTGGTTATGTTCTTATCATTTTTATTTCAATTTCAGGCTATTCGTCTGCAGAAAGTAAACTCTTATATCAATGCCGTCCATGAGTTGTCAGAGATCATGTCATTTGATTTCCTGAAGGCCTTGAGTAACGTCCATAAAAGCTTGAACGAGTTTTCAAAGGCTCATTCGAAAAGCATTAGTAATGACACTCTTGCTAGATTAACAGAACTTGTAGAGTCTCTGGAGAAGGAGAAGCATCAGAGGCTGCTTAAGGTAATCTTTGTTGACTTAGTATGTATGTAGATGATTTCTCACGATAGCATTCAAATTAGGAACTGCACCTTTTAGTTGGTACTTGGTAGTCTCTAATTTAACCTGGTACCATTTTCACGGAAATGAAGTCACGAGTACAAATTGATACCTTGAGATTCTTATTTATTTCAGCTACAAGGTTTGGGAAGAACCATGCAAGAGCTGTGGAACCTAATGGAAACGCCTATGGAAGAGAGGAGAAGATTTGACAATATCAGTAGTTTACTATCTGTTCCAGCTGGTGATGCCTTAAAAAAAGGATGCCTTGGTCTGGACAATGTCCGGGAGGTAATGTCATGATATTTTTTTCTTTAGTTACATATCATATTTATCTATTCTGATTTGTCTGACTCATGTATCTAACTTTTTCGTAAGTCTAATATTTTGTCATAGGCTGAAGATGAAGTGAAAAGACTGAATGCCCTGAAGTCCAGCAAAATGAAGGAATTGGTGTTTAAGAGGCAGTGTGAGCTAGAAGAAATCTGCAGAGAGGTTCATATGGATGTCAATAGCGATGCTGCAAAACAGAGTCTTGTTGAACTCATTGATTCTGGTACCATACAAATTCTTTTTGAGTTGGTCGACTAACTAATTAAGTACTTCAGTTTGGCAGTGCATCTTGTTAAGTTAGTGACGCAATTAACATATGATTTAAGAAGCTCTCTTTCATCTGGTGTGCAGTGACAATGTTTTCCTTTGCAGGTGATGGTGATCTGTCAGATATTCTTGCAAGCATAGATAGTCAGATCGAGAAGGCAAAGGAGGAAGCTTTAACCAGAAAGGAGATTTTAGACAAAGTTGATAAGTGGAGGCACGCAAAGGAGGAAGAAAAATGGCTTGATGATTATGAAAAGGTGAATACCACATTGTGTTTTAAAGTTCTCTTTTATGAAAATAGGACAAGAGAAGATCTGTGGACCTTGGAGCTGATTGTCAGCATTTATCTAATGAAAATAGAGAGTTATTAGCCTAAAACTATTAGAGAGTATCTTATCTCCAGAGAGTTTTTCTATAATAATTTTGATGTTAGAGATTTGTGTGAGCTCCCTACAGACTAACTTTGTATATATATGTTAAGATTATTTCTTCTTTTTTGCTTCCATAACAGGATGAAAATCGCTTCACTGCTGTAAGAGGAGCGCACAAAAATTTAAAACGCGCAGAGAAAGCTAGGAGCCTTATCAGCAAAATTCCTGGTGAGTCTTTATACGTGCATTACTTGGTTAATGCAAGTAAGTCTGACTTTAATATGATGCTGTCTGGAAACAATTCCCGTTGGATTAGTTTCATTCCAAGATACTTATTTTCTCTTTTATCGCATACCAAGTTTTTAGCAGTTCAACAAGAGGATTTGGGGTCTTTAACTCTGTAACCCGTCCACTGGTTCCAGCCAACCCTCGAAAACTCATTTTTAGATGAGTAGAATTTATAATGCTTTCCTCGCATTTACTAGGGTAAATAGAGTGTTAGTAACAGTACCTTTTTCAAATCGAGTAAAGTTTTTAAGACTTCCTACTTCCTAGTGATGCTTTTACTCATCCTTAAAATTTTGTTGATGTTTACACAAATTCTGTTGTAAAACTGATCAGGCTAAAAGATGATATTAACCCTCTTGTGTTTATTTTCTAAGCGATGATCGATGGTCTGACCACCAAAGTGAAGGGCTGGGAAAAAGAAAGAGGAGTCCCCTTCTTATGTGATAAGGTAACTAACTGTAAATTTACTCAATACTCTTGTATGGTTTGATTCAGCTTATACGATTTATGCCTTCTTGATTCCAGCACCGGTTGTTGGAAATACTGCAAGAGGACATTGTTTTGCGTGCACAAAGAGAGGAGGAAAAGCGTCAATTCCGAGTATGTGTGTTAGAAAAAACATGGATTTGTAGACAATCACAGTGTTGTTGAGATAACAAGACAAAGCTTTTCGTTTGCGTTTTTTTTTTTTGGTGCATAAACAGGAGCAGAAACGCCTACAAGGTCAGCTTGCTACAGAGAAAGAAGCAAAGTATGGTTCGAAGTCCGCAAAGAAGAAGCCATTGGGACAGAGTCTTAACACAGACAATGTGACAAAAACTCCAATTGGTCGACGGATTGGGAATACACCTGGACGTTCTGCTATTTCTGCTGGCAAAGATTTTAGAGAAAGCGGAAGAGGCAATGCCGCAATACCATTGAACTATGTTGCTCTTCAGAAAGATGATTGATGATAGATTACTCAAAAAGTGGGGGTTAGGGTTTTAGATAAGCTACAGCAATTACATATTTGATGTGCTGAGACTTGTGTTTCTTTTTATGGATTCTCTTTTGGTTTATGCTTTTCCTTTGCTAATGAAGTTTTACAGATATTGGTAACTATGAATGTAAAGTGACTCATTTCACTCACAAATTTTTGATTTCTAACCCAAAGTTTACAAGAGGCTTTGCTTTAGGAAATGTCGAAATGATGACAACCAAGTGATAATCTAAAGGTGATAAAAATAGTTTTAAAACCCATATTGGGATTTAGCTTTGTCACAATGCGTAAAAGGTTTACAACTAATAAGCTTTGGGCTCTCACTACATTCCTCCTTCAGCAGAAAAGTTCTTTAAGGAGTGTTTTGGGTGAGAAAGTATATGGTTAAACATTTCACATCTCCCCACACTCTGTAATTACAACGGCAAGCTTAGGCCGGTTGTTGGGTCCAACAGCCACGTTCTCAATCTTCCGCATCACCAATAAACCCTCACCAAGCACTTTCTGTACATCACAAGAAGAATTTGTAATGAGTCCTAACAATACTAGTACAGATTATGTGTGCTTAACGGTTCATGACTCAATGTCTCTTCCTCAACTATGTGTGGCTTTTAAGGTTTTTTATATCAGACACTCTCAGTTATCACCACAAAGGGAGAACTAAGAAATTTAATGGAAGAAAATTGAAAAGCTTCACGGTCCAATCATGCAATACGTGTATGTAAAAAAAAAAGAGGACATACCCCAAAGACAACATGCTTGTTGTCAAGCCAGTCGCATTTTGCACAACTGATGAAGAACTGCAATGCAAAGAGCAAAGATAATTATAGCCTAAATGAAAACAATATTTGCCCAACCAGCTACTAAAATATCTTACTTCTTTTTTTTAACCCTTTAAGATTATCTATTACAGTAGTTTAGAATCATAGCCAAAACAGAAGGTATCACACGCTCAATTATCCACAATTTTTGTAATTTTGTCTCGCTTCTTAAGTAAACAAGGCCATTGTAATGAGACGAAAATTACCTGGCATCCATTCGTGTTTGGCCCACTATTTGCCTGCAACAAAAGAATGAGAGTCATGAGTATTATATCAAAGACAAAGTATCGACGCTGAATAAAGAACAGTTTAAGGGGAAGTGATTCATTATATTCACTGCAATGAAAGGAGGGTAGACAAATTTATGATCCATGTTCTTAATTCAGAAAGGCCACTTGCATACCATCGAGAGCAGTCCTGGCCCAGTATGTTTGGCAGTAAAATTTTCATCGTCGAACTTGTGGCCATAAATTGACATGCATCCACTACCATCATTCTGCAGACTCAATAACAAGATAACTGTTAACTAATTAAAAACTTTAAAGAAGAACAGAAGCTTAATCTAGATGTAAAGGTCACTAAACCTTTAGAAAATCACCACTCTGAATCATAAAATCCTTGATGACCCTGTGAAACTGACATTCTTTGTAGCCAAGAGGCTTTCCAGCCTTTCTGCAATTACCACCAAAGCGGAACCAAACAAATTAAGAAGATTAAGAGTAAGTAGCAGAATATTAATAAATTGTCCACTCATCTCTCTCTTAAATAGTCTAAACAAGAAAATATGTATAACAATACAATCTGTAGACGGAAGCAGCGAGGGTAAGACTCTATGAAAATTTGCCTATCTTTCTGAATCACAAAGCTCTAAAACCTCATAAATCACTCAAGGACACGCCACAGAAATATTAAGTTTAGACGGAAAAAAAAAACAGCTCAGAAGATCGAATATACCTGTGTTCACCAGTACAAAACTGCCTGAAATTTGAAAATAGAAGGATTTTCTTGGAATCAGAATCAGCTCAGAAGAAAAGGAGATAGAGTCATAGAGAAGAAGAAGAAGAGAGAGAGGAATCATGACCTGAAGTTTTCAGCGGTTTTGGGGGCAATGTCGGCGAAGAGCTCCATCTTAATACGACCGGCGGGGATGCCACCAATAGAGACGTCGAAGAAAACGACAGGGTTTTTAGGGTTCTGTGGTCGGACGTGCCACTCCACGTTTCCACCGCCGCTTGAAGGAGCTGCTGCTGTTGGTGCAGCGACGATTCCTCCTCCGGAACTCATCGGAACTCAAACGTTTCTTCTTCTCTCGACTTCGAGCAAAAAGCTTCTCTCCTTTCTCTGTGCTCTCTCTGCTCTATGATCGAGATTCTTTGCTCTCTCAGTTTTCCGACGCCTAAACATTGGGGGAGCGAGAAAGCTGTTCTTTCTATGTTTTTGGGCTTACATTCGCACCTACTTGGGCTTTAGAATATTTTTTTGGTCTATACTTGGGCCTAGAATTTAAGTGGAGCAAATTGCAAGAAAATCCTGGAACTTTGGAGAACATTGCAAGAGATTCTCGAACTTTTCTATTTTTTGCAAATTTACCTCCGAGAAATGCAAGGCAACTATCCGACTCACGATAAACCTTGTAATCCTAATAACCGCCCATCGTGTATATGTAATATGTCGATATATATTTTGACATTTCATGAAAATTTCTAAGAGGAACAAAGATTGATTGCGACTATCTCATTCATCACTTAGTTGTGTCTTAGGATTAGATAAGATAATGCTCTAGAATGCCGCAATTCTACAAACTGCTAACCCTATTGATCATATATCTTCAATTGCCTCGTACCAAAAAAGAAATGTTTTACTTACTTTAAGAGAATATATTGGCTTGTGAATATATTTGGATATGAAAAAAAACGTTTTATAACAACAATCAGACAATCAGTGAAAGCAAGTTACAATATGAGCATTTGCCATATAGTTTCTCTTGGTTTGTGTTTGTATTGTAGAGATTCAAACTTAGTATTGTGCTTGTATGAGTCATCTACTCAAAAGCTTCCATTGTCATAAACACCGAAAGAATAATCACCAATAATCAACGTAAGATAAAAAAAGTAACTCCAGAGGCTGCTCACGAGTGTATGAGCACCATGAGCTAGACAAGTGAGGCAAAGACAAGCTCCTCATTCATTTCTTCAAGGCTTTTGAGGACTCCCCTTGTTATCGAGTTCTTCCAACACAGCCCACAGTTTTGGATCAGCGTAGTTCTCAATGAGAAAAGCGGGTTTTGCTTGCATAAGCAGGCTTGCTGGATTACCTGTAGTTAGTCCAATCACTGGCATTCCAGCTGCAACTCCAGCTTTTATCCCAGAGACCGAGTCCTCAAACACTAAAGTGTGATCCTTTGACACGTTAAGCACTTCAAGAGCCTTCAAGTAAGGCCCCGGGTGTGGTTTGGGATATTCACATTCAGAGCCAAGAATCACTGCCTGGAAGAAATCAGTCAGGCCAAGTTTCGATATCATGAGCTCTGCGTTTTCTTTTGGAGCGTTTGTAACAGCAGCTCGTTTCAAGCCACGGTCCTCGATCCATTTGGTCAGTTTTATAAGCCCATCAAGTGGCTTAACCTTTTCTGCAACAAGTCTAATCAATAAGAAAAACAAAAGTTACTCCAGATTAACTCAGACCTGAAACACGTTTTGTGAAATTTAAGAAGAGAAAATACTAGAAACGAATATCACTGACTTGCGATAAAGAGCTTCTTTTTCCTCACAGAATTGTAGTCCTCTTGAAACATCATCAGGAAACAGAGCTAGAGCAATTTCAGAGTTGTGTTTTCCAGCAATATTCTGGATAAAGAATTTCTCGTCGATTGGGACACCATTGTTAAAACCAATCTGTGAATCGATACAAGAAGCAAAATTTTGACATAAGAACTTGAGAGAGAGAGTAGTATTCAAAAGCATATATTCACAATTTTTCTTAAGTATTCATAATTCATGTGAAATTGAATCAAAAAGGAATTGACCTCTTGAAGCAGTTCCTGAAAGGCAATAAGGTGGATAGGATCTGAATCACAGAGTGTTCCATCAACATCAAACAGAATGGCTTCTAAAGGAGCAAGATGTGAAAGCGATGGTTTGCTGCTTCACAACAAATGTAAAAGAGTTGAACAGTAAGAAGACAGAGATCAAAATCCGCAGAAAAAAATTCGCCCATGATATTGCATCAAAAGGATCAAACTTTGGATACCATAATCGACACGGATTAGAGATCAACCCCAGAAATCGAAAAATTTGCAGAAATGATTAGCACCATTTCATGCCCATCATTAAGCTTCAGTTTTGTGTTTTACAAATTTTAGAAATTTAGGAGAAGTATTGTGATAGCTACGAGTTCCATTGATCTTGGAGACCCAGACACTTGCAAGAAACCGCAGTGTTATAACAAAAAAAAAAAACTAGACAAAATCGTAGAAACGTAGAGCAAGATGGAAAATGGAAGCTGAGACTCGATAATTACCCAGAGGAAGAACAAATATAGAAGAGATTAAAAGCAGCGTTAAGAAAATGAAAAGACGTGATCACAAAAGCGTACCTTTCAGAAGGGTTAAGATCAGAGAAGCCATTCATTGTGATGGAAATGGAGAAAGAAAAAGAAACGGATCTGCGATTGCAAAAACGAGAAGAAACAATACCAAATGGTTTTCAGAGATTTGTCAAAAGAAAAATGTACACAAAAGAGAACCAAATGGAATCTAATTGGTGCGGCAGAGGAAGATTCGCTGGACTTTACTTCACCACGTGGCGGCTTTTGTTTCCTCTCTTTAAAACTTGCAAAAGCTGTAAACCGGGAATCATATACCTCTACCCGGTTTAGAGATGAGATTCGGTCGCAATTAATATTGAAACTTGATATTGGGCATATTTTCGAGTAACAATTTGTTGTCCGATAAAAAGTGGTACTCATGGATCACAAAAAACTCATTTTTCGTATACTGGAATTGTGAATAAGGCACCAAAATTGAGTTTAACATGACAGTCTCTTGTCTTCTTGAATCATGTCACCAACGACATAAGTCTTTATTACAAGATGGAACAAAATGGTAAAGAGAATTGCAAATCTTGGTGTAGAAAGATAAAACCAAAAGGAAATCAAATCGTTCGATAACGAAATATTCGGAATACTTTTATCAACCGAAATCAATTCGATTTGGATAGTAGCGTGAGCAAGAAATCTCTGTAGTTCCCTTTAATCTTCTCTTGGATTGTTTGTGCCAAAGTCTCACCATAGAGCTGATTATACTCTTCTGCGATCTCCTTCATCTCACCATGATCCGCTCTCGTAACTAAAACTCTTGTCAACCATTTCTTGGTACCCTTGTCCGCGTCTTTGTTCAATGACGCATTCAAAACCTAGAACCATATAATAAAAGATACCTAATGTTAACTCTTGCCTTGTTAGCAAAGAAATGTTAATTAACTCTTTGGATTTGTTTTACTACCTTGCTGAAATACACTGAGGGTTTGAGCAAACAGAGCAATGCGTCATTGAGGAGCGAAGACTCAGATACACCCTGTCGATCAAATTACAAGATTTTCTTGATTTACATATGAATCAAAACATGGGGGTTATATACTACATAAGAAGTGAGCAGTCATATATATGTTACCCCAAGAAGATCAGAGCCTTTGATTTGATTAAAGTGTTTGTGAAGATGTTGGAGATGAAGTTTGCTTCTTGTGCTCAGAATCCTAATAACCTCATCCTTCTCCATGGCTTCCTCACCGGAAGAAGCCAGTGCCTCGGCCAGAATCTTAGCATCAGATTTTGCGGAATCTTCCTTGACCTTGGTCCCTTCGTATCTGTAAGCACTCACGAGCCCCACAAGCAGCTGCCACAGAGAACAGTGAGTGAGAAAAAAGAATGGGTGAGAGTTGCGTGTAGGTTAAGTAAGAATGCACTGACCTTGCGATGAGAGCCGTGGATGTGAGAGGCAATGTCTTCTTCCATGGATTGGTCGAAGAGTGAGTGATAAGCTTTGCGTGCTCCAAGGAGATCCTCAGAAGAGCGCGTGCATGAGACCTCCACGATGAGGTTGTAAGATTCATCTCCTTTCTTCAGTGCTTTCTTCACCAGTCTTGCGTCTCTCTCCCATGGATGCATCGACCACATAACCACCGCGTTCTACACATTACATACCAAACTTTCATCATTTCCATCGAGTAGAATATCACTGGTTTACTTCTTTGTTTTTTTTCTTTTTCTTAAGGAGTGTGTTAGGATCCTCAGAAATGTGAAAGGACCCACACTAATATAACAAGATATGCGTTTAAATCCACCATTCACTCCCGATTAATTTTGAGATCAAAACCAATAAAATTTTACATAGTTGATCAAAGTTCTTGAATCTTAAGAGTATAGGACTGTTATTCATTAATTAACAAATTAGAGCTACATCTCTAACCAGTCACACACTAATTAATTACATAACAGAATTCAATCAATAAAAAGGGATAATAGTAACCCAATTGTTAACTAATTTATGTATTAATTACTTTAATTTTAAGAAAATTCAGCAGTTTTAGTTTTAGAAAAAAAGTTTTTTAAAAACTGTAATAAATGGTTTTTTCCTCACTTTTGATCAGGTAAAAAAAAATTTGTTATTGGGTAAAACAAGTAGATATATTGAAAAGGAAAAAAAAAAGTATTTAGCTATGTACTAATAAGTTTAGCCAATAGATAGTAATAAAATTTTAAGGACATACTGGATAAATAGAAAAGCCAGAAAATAAAAGAAGGAAAGATGTAAAAATGAAGAAACTGACATTGAAGCGAGAGAACTCAAGCTTGAGATGTTTGACGAACTGATCATGGCATTTCTCAAAAGCTCTTTCCTCATCTTCCACAAAGTAACTTTTGCTTGCTTTTCTAAACAATCTCCGATGATCTTTGTGCGAATTCCCCAGTGTACTTATCAATGCTTTCTCATCAACTCCCATTCCTATAATTTTTGTTTTTGTTTTTCTCAATATCAAATCGAAAATTATATTTTGGCTTCATAATAAAACAACTTACATTATTCACTGATTTACCAAGATAGTATCATTGTACTAAGATTAATTTTTGTAATTACCTGAGATTGCTTCAGTGATAGCTTCCAAATCCATAGTTTGAGCCATTTTTCTTTGCTGTTTTAGCTTCTTCTTTTTTTCTGCTTTACTTTGGTTTATGCCGAGAGCTTAAGAGAGACAAGTCATTTTTATACGATGCAGATTAGTAAGGGTAATGTTGTGGTTTACGGAGGGAAACAAGGGTGCTTTCGGTACATCAATATGTTATCCCTTATTTAAAAGTCTGTGTTCAGATTTAAGACAAACGCTAGGGACATTGTTGTAACAAGAAGTAACGCACATGACATTCACTGCATCTTTTAACAACTGTTTCATATGTAAAAGGAATTACAGTAGTCCGAGACAAATTAAAACTTACTGTTTTGTTTAACTGCAATTTATTAAGTTTGACCATCATATAAAATGCACTTAATTAAGTATCATCATATCTATATACAAAACAGGGTTCCGGGAAAGAAGAAGAGTTTTCTTTTTAAAACAGTTTTCAGATATATAATCTTCTCGATATATTGGGTGTGGCCTAATCTTTTTTAATTTGTACAGGTACTGTAGCAGACGATCTAGGATATGATGTGTAGGATTAATGAAGATGCATGTGTATGTCAAATCACAACAAATAATCAATAAAAGACTAGTAAAAGTCAAACGTACTTGAGATCTCACTCAATCTTAAACGAATATTAAATAAGAATTACAATGAAAAACAGATGACACGATGATTCCCGTATCATATCTTTTTAATTTGTTAAACCATTTTTAAAAATGAGTGGTTAATGAACTTTTTTTTATCCAACATAATTAAGTTGTAAAGGTTTTGATATACAAAGGTTCTGTATATTGAATCAGAAAAGGGTGCTCAGACCTAGCATTCATGAGCTGGCTTGGTTTGTTATATTTTAACTATCGAAAAACGATTATGAGAAAAATAAAATAATGGAGTATATATCTTGCAGAGTTCATATATCATATATAAACACATGTTACGAAAAATAAAATTATCAAAAGGTTCGAAGATCATGCATGGCAAAGCACACAGCATATCTCACCTTCTCTTAAATTAATGCATTCTCATTATGGTCCATATCCATTTAAATAATAAATAATGCACGTAATCGATTAAAAAAAAGAGTAGATGAGAAGCCTCAATCACATTTGCTTCGCGATATCGTAAGATAACGTTATGAATATACTCCAACAAGCATAACATGGTTTTTTTACAGAAAAGTTATGGCTGAATATCTGTCGTCGTTGGAATTGTTCAGCAACCACATGTTTATCGTACCTGCATGTGTCCATTTCACAAAAGAAATATTTGGTCAATCAATTAATATCCAATTAAAGAGCTGAGCATTATTGTACGTATGGCAAGGGATATGCTTCGTTTATGAGAAAAAAAACAAACAATTGCTCACGTTTTACACGAAAGTAACGACTTACAATAATTGTAGAGGGGACAGCTAATAGCTGTGTATGATTTGCGTTTCGCTATCTCTTTTATTTGTTTCGGTTATACTTATTCGTCAGTCACAAGATCCCCGTCATTTTCCATTCTCTTAGCTGAATCTATTATTTTATATAACAAAAAAAAAAATCCTATAACATATTAGTTTATAACGCACACAACTTACTATATCCCTGATTCCCTATATTTCCTTTTTTCAAAACACAATGTAATATCAACAAAAAAAATTTGAGTCTTATAGTGTTTCATATCAACTATAAAACATTATTAATAGAGATACACATATATTAAATTCGAAATCCAGGTCAGACGCACATGTTACTAAGCATCTAGTCTTTAATCAAAAAAAGTATCTCATTTTGTATGACTTAATACTTAAAAGGTTGACAAAAAGGGAAGAACGTGAAACTTAAAAGCTTAAACGTTATCTTAAGCTCCAAGGTTCTTGGCCAAAAAAATAAAAATTGAAGGAGCTCTTGGGTTAAAGTAGTAAGTATCGGATAGATTGTGAAAATAGTTATAAATAGAGTGACTACTCAGTAATATATAATTAGTATCGGACCCTCCGAGTCAATATCCTCGAGTAAAAAAAAAATTATTACAGTAACGTCTTCGGGGGTATTTATGTCAAATAAGATTCCCCAACAGCTTAAATTACACCAAAGTAACTAAAAACGGATTGAAACAAAACAAGAGAGAGAGAAATTAAAAAAGGGAAAAACAGAGAAAGAGAGAGAAGAAGGAAGAGAAAACAGAGGAAAATCTCAAATGGCCACCATTAGAGTACCAGAAGAAGTTCCTTCTCCAGCTCAGGATTCCGAAACTCTCAATCAAGCTTTTCGAGGTACGTTACAAAGCAATTTCTGCATTCACGAAAGCCATTTCGTTGGATTATAATTTGATTGGAATGTTTCTTGTTTGCAGGATGGGGAACAGACGAGAAGGCGATTATACGAGTGTTAGGAAAAAGAAACGAGAGCCAAAGAAGAAAAATCAGAGAAAGTTACAAAGAGAAATACGGCAAAGATCTTATCGATGATCTCTCCTCTGAACTGTCTGGTGATTTCATGGTAAAGCACCTCTTTTCATCATTATAGATTGATAGATAGATTTCTTTATAAACATGAGAAAAACAAAACATCTGATTCAATGGCAGAAAGCTGTGATCTTGTGGACTTATGATCCAGCAGAGAGAGACGCAAGGCTAGCGAACAAGGTTTTGAAGGAGAAAAAGAAAGGGATAAATAAACTCAAGGTTCTCGTAGAGATCTCTTGCACAACCTCTCCAACATATCTGATTGCTGTTAGGAAAGCTTACTGTTCTCTCTTCGACTCATCCCTTGAAGAACACATTGCTTCCTCTGTGCCTTTTCCTCTTCCAAAGGTCTTTACTTTCATTTTTCAATTTCAGATATAAAAAGACAATCTTTTGGATTTCTAATGATGAAAAGCTCAAATTTGATGACTTTATGGTATATAAAAACTGCAAACAGTTACTGGTGACCTTGGCAAGTTCATTCAGATATGACAAAGACAAGGTTGATGCAGAAGTAGCTACAATCGAGTCAGCTATGCTACGTGAAGCCATAACAAAGAAGCAATTGGATCACGATCATGTCCTCTACATATTAGGGACTCGCAGTGTATACCAGCTTAGACAAACTTTTGTTGCTTACAAGCAGAGTTATGGGAACACAATAGATAAGGTTTAAAACATCTTTAAGTTCTTTGATATTTTTATTGTTCTCTTCTTGGATACTTCATGTTTGTTGTGTTATATATGGGACAGGATGTTGAGGGATGCCCCGGAGATGCTGATCTGAGAAGTCTATTGCAGATGGTAATCTTGTGCATTGATTCCCCTGAGAAACACTTTGCAAAGGTAACTAAAACATTTGTTGGAAATTAATTTGGAAAGCACAAGGATTATTTAAGAAGAGATCCATCAAATGTTGTGTGTTTTTTATTTTGCAGGTTGTGAGTGAGTCTATTGAGGGATTTGGAACAGATGAAGATTCGTTGACGAGAGCGATCGTGACGCGAGCAGAGATCGATCTGATGAAAGTAAGGGGAGAGTATTTCAATATGTACAATTCAAGCATGGATAACGCTATTATTGGTGATGTTTCCGGAGACTACAAGGACTTCCTCATCACCTTGCTTGGTTCCAAAATCTGATCTTTGTTTTGAATTTTCATATTCTTGGCTTTTGCTTGTGACCTTGTAACAAAGACTTCATTTTCCAACTCCCATTTGAACAATGTTATTATAAAATAATCAAACCACTACTCTTGGTTCTTGACTTTGTATGATAATTAACAACAAAGGTTTAAAAACTAAGCAAGTAAAAAAAAACAAATTACAAATCAGGGAAGCCACAGACTGAAGCTTTAATAGTGGGCCACAAATAAAACAGCTGAAGCCCAATATATTTAGATAAGCGAGAATGGCACGTGTGAACGTGTCTTCTTGCGTGGGAAACAGAAAGCGACGCTTGATCAAAACTCCGGCGGCGAGGCAGGCGATTCCGATTTCACAGATTGACACGAGGAGCTCATGTTAGCAAGTCTATGCTGACGTGTCTTTCTACGGAGGAAAAACTCCGATAATCCGCGACGAAAGGCAGAAGAATTTTGCCTCGGACAAAAACCAGAGCAAGTGTCTAAACCGGACTTACAGTGAATTTTTCATCATGACTTGTTTCTGGTTGCATTCTTTATTAGAACTTGTTTTGCTTCTTTCCCCTTTTTTTTGTTTGCTTTGAGTTTGTCCGAGTTTGATAGCTCTGTCTTTGGACTTTAGTGTTATCAGTTTTGTGATCAAGTAAGGAATAATATTTTGCTCATCCTTTGACAATTGAAGATAGAAAATAAATGTGAAGTCCGTTGTTATATACTAGTAGTCTTAAATTATTAATGAAAAATTAATTTTTGATTAAAACCCATCGAAGGAGTTGCAAACTCTAAAAATTGACCAATCTGATTTTGTCTTTGAGATATTTTTCAGATAGGATTGGTGATAAAAAGGGACAAATAGAAGAATGTGTGGCTCTCCTCCTCTCCCACCACAAAAACCCTTTCTTCCTGCTTCTTTGGAGTCGTCGTCGCCTCTGTTCATTTTTGTGAAGCCTCTCTCTGTGGTGATCCTAAAACCCTTTCGCTAAAATCACATGGCCTCCATTTCTAGAATTCTGCCTACTGATGGTAGATTAAGTCAATGCAACAGTGGTATCGGCGCTTCCTGGGTTCCTGCTACGAGGAGAGCTCAATCTCACTTAGGTATGTACAACTCAGAGATCCCTTTAAAAAAGGAGTCTCTTTTTTGCTGAATCATTTTGGTGTTTTTGTTTTTCAGTTTCTCCCAAGTTGTTATCGGTTAGCAAAGCTGGAATAAGTTTGAGGATTCAGAACAGTAAACCATTACGCTCTGTCTTTGCTCTTGAATCAGCTGCCTCCAGGTATCTCTAGTGCTAGATAGAGTGATCCATTGATGTAATTTGCTCCAGTTAGGTGTACATTGAGTTTAAAGTTTTCCCCTTTCAGTTTTTTTTAAGATGGACATTGTAATTTTTACAGGAGCAGCCGAGTTGCTTGTAAGGCTGCTGCAGATTTGTCGGGTGATGTACCTGAAACTCCTAAGGAGCTTGGCCAGTACGAGAAAATTATTGAACTTTTAACGACCCTTTTCCCACTTTGGGTACTTCCTTACTTTCCACTCTTCTTTGATGAACAGCTATATGCATTTTTTTATATTTCAAAATGGTGAATGTGATGATTTCTTTGTGCAGGTTATTTTGGGAACACTTGTTGGCATCTTCAAGCCATCTTTGGTATGCTATATATGCTTCTTATTTGTTTTTGTTTTATCTATTGCAATCCGTGTCTCTCGCTATAATAGATTATGTCTCTGTAGGTTACATGGTTGGAAACAGACCTCTTCACTCTAGGTCTGGGATTTCTCATGCTTTCCATGGGATTAACTCTTACGTTTGAGGATTTCAGAAGATGTTTACGTAATCCATGGACGGTGAGAGCCAATGAACACTGATTTTTTTATTCTCTCTGTTAGATGTGTTACCCGTTTAACATTTAGAGTCCTCTTGCAGGTGGGTGTTGGTTTTCTTGCGCAATATTTAATCAAACCAATTCTAGGTTTTCTCATCGCAATGGTATGTTTTCCTTTAATGTCTGTCACATCAAATTCTATTTTCTTTTCTGAAATGAATGCTTCTCTTTCGTTCTGTTTTCTTCAAGAAATTGGTTCCATTCGTTTTACTTCTTTAGGCTGTTATTCGCTTTAACCAAGTTAAATGTTAATTTATTGGTATTTTCTTTGATTATTACTTGATTAACTTAGATCCAAGTGTTTTCCACGTCCAAACATCACTTTTTTTTTTCTTGAAAAGTTTGAATCACCATGTCTTTTTTACCGCAATAATTCCTCTGATACTCACTTTCTCCTTGAGGGCTTCCTCTTGTACTATTATTTGGTTATTTGGTTGTTGATGAGTGTCGAAGAGCCAACTAATACAAACCTTTTTCTGTGTTTTGATTTTAGACTCTTAAGCTTTCGGCACCTCTTGCGACTGGTCTTATCCTCGTCTCATGCTGCCCTGGAGGACAGGCCTCGAACGTTGCAACCTACATTTCCAAGGGGAATGTAGCTCTCTCTGTACTCATGACAACGTATACTTTTATCTTCCTTTTTCGTTATTGAATGTGGTTGGAGGCCACAAATTTTTTTTTTAATATATAAAATCTGTTCTCTAATTTTGTAGGTGTTCAACCATTGGGGCTATTATAATGACTCCTCTTCTCACTAAGCTTCTTGCTGGCCAGCTTGTTCCCGTTGATGCTGCTGTGAGTTTTTCTTTGTAACTATTTTGAATCAATTCATGCAAGATTGCAGTAAATTGTAGCTTATAAGATTCATTTCATTAAGCGAAAATATGAATCATCTTTAATTCGGTAAAAGTTACTGAATGATCAAAGTAGAAAGAAGCAAAGTAGAAGTATATAACACGATAGTTGCAGCCCGCCATAACAAGAGCTTATGGATCTATTTTTTTTAATTTATCAGGGACTTGCTGTTAGCACTTTTCAAGTAGTGTTGATGCCTACTATAGTTGGAGGTAAGTATGGTGCTAAGTGTTTCCATATCAGTGAATTTGCCTATGATTCATTAGGGACTAAATTCTTTTTTTCTGCATTGTGTGACAGTTCTGGCCAATGAGTTCTTTCCTAAATTTACGTCGAAGATTATAACAGTGACACCTCTAATCGGAGTCATTCTGACCACTCTTCTTTGTGCCAGTCCTGTAAGTAGTTCATATAACCAGAAAATAACTTTTATTGAATTTTCTTTAAGTGAAAACTAAGTAGTATTGATTATTAATAATTTTCTCTTTTGAAAAGATTGGACAAGTTTCAACGGTTTTGAGAACACAAGGAGCTCAACTTATACTCCCGGTGGCACTACTTCATGCCGCAGCATTTGCTATTGGCTATTGGATATCAAAGTTTTCTTTCGGCGAGTCCACTTCTCGCACCATTTCCATAGAATGTGGAATGCAAGTAAGTTCATTTGTATTACACCAATCAATATATTGCCGTTTGTATTGTTAATATTTTCTTGTTGAAGAATCTTGGTTGTGTTTTTGCAATCCGCAGAGTTCAGCGCTTGGGTTCTTGCTTGCCCAAAAGCATTTCACAAACCCTCTTGTCGCTGTTCCTTCTGCGGTCAGTGTTGTCTGTATGGCGGTAAGTTTTCATAGTCATTATGTAATAATTCCAAGTGTAGGCCGTTATGCACAATGGCATTTGTTGTAATTATATGTTTTCAAATGCATTTTGCAGCTTGGTGGGAGCGGCCTAGCCGTGTTTTGGAGAAACCAACCTATTCCGGCAGATGACAAGGATGACTTCAAAGAGTGAATGAAGTAGGAAAAAAACAGTACTTATGTGTCTTCTCCAAAAAATGGGATTGTTGTAATGTTTGTAAGCATGCTCCTTTTTGTTGAACTGAAATAGACATTAAGAAAAGACTTGTATTGAAAAGATTTTGTTGAATTGAAATAGACATTAAGAAAGACTTGTATTGAAAATACAAAAACAAGAGTGCATGTTGAATTTGTGGTCAATTTTTTTGTCCTTTGTTTATCTCAACCATTTACTAGCTCTCACTGAAATATCCATTTAAATATTTTTTATGTGGAAAAAAAATTATTAAATAAAACCTTTCTTTTGAATTTCAAAAGATATAAATATGTGAGCTTCAAATTATAATATAATATGTTTTGTAAAAAATAAAATTTTAAGAGTATTTTCATAAAATTAGGCCATATGCCAAAGTTTCTCAATCCATAGCATAACATAGGCACGGCCCTGTCTGCGCGTAAAATTACAAAGATTAATCTGTTCTAATTCTCGTCAGCCTTTCCATTCTCACTGCTAAATCCATTGTCCACCTCCATTCCAACCACTTCCTTCGATGATTCATCATCAGCTACGCCGTCTAAGTCTGGCTGCATCTTCTTCTCAGATTCACCATCTGCACCTACAGCTGCATCACTCTCCATGTCCTGATTACCGTCTTCTATTTGTGGCATGTAATTCTGGTATTGCTCATACACGCCTTGTGCCTGTCCCGCAAAGAAACAATTAACATCATACATGAAACAAACCAAGTTTCCGAAACAACAAAGGAATTTAGTTCTCCAAGCCAAGTAGTTTGTGTCTCTGTGTTACCTTGTAGAACTCGTTGATCCTATCGTGAACAATGTGTGCCATCTCTTGAGCATCATGGACAAGATAAGGATTTCCAACTTCCTCGACGGCGCGATCTGTATAAGCTGTTGTGTTCTCACTCAGATTGAGGCCTAGCCGATCGGGTCTTTTCAGAAGAAGTTGAAACGTTGGTTGCAGTTCATAGCATTGTTCAAAGAGAGATCGTCGGCAGAACACATACAAACCGAGCCGAGCACGTGACATTGCAACTACCAACCTTCTTACATCACGTAAATGTCCAACAAACCTTGTCCGTACGAGAGACAGCAGAATAAAATCATTCTGTTGTCCTTGGAACTTGTCCACTGTAGTCACCTAAGATAACAACACCAAAACAGTCAAACTCTCAGAAACCTAGACTAAGTCATTACATCTAACAAATACTTGAGTAGGATATTTTACCTTGCTTGGCGGGCCGATGAAAGCATAGGGAACACATCGACGGTTGATAACATCACGGATTAAGAGCTTTTGCCCATTATATGTCGTCAATATGGATATCTTGTTAGCAGGATATCCTAGCAATCTCATGTATATATAGACACTGACAATATATTCAGCTTCTCCTTGATTTTGATAAAACCATGGAGATGGTGTCGACTCTCCTTTCCCCTCGTAATCAGGCACATTAATCAACTGATACTCATATGAGAATCCAGCATTCGCTCTGTGAAATATGGGTGCTTCCTTAACAATGGAAAGGTCTCCCAAGTCTCTGTATCTCCAGTTGTACAGCTTAGCTAGGCTTGGCCTGGCTCTTCCTTGAGCGTTAAGCTCAATATATGGGATACCAAGACGAACAAACCTCGTAAACAAACTCTGATCCATGTGACTATATTTCTGGAAAGCCATATTCTTCACCACAGGAGGCAGCTGGTGGTGATCACCAATCAATATACAGCGCTTGAGTCGTGCATGACCATCTTCTTGCCTCTGAAGCAACATTGGTATGAATGTCTCAATTTCCAAAATCTGAGCACTTTCTTCCATCAATAAGTTATCATACTTGAACCCCAACTGAAGAAAATCTCTCCTCTTTAATGCCGCATGAGTACACGTCATTGCTACTATCTTTGCTTGTTTGGTCATCAGGTAATTTGCTCTATCAGCAGTTGACTTTAGTAGTTCAAAGGCCCTACACTCTTCTAGCTCTTGGAACACAGTCTTGAGATGAGAGAAACAACCTTTAGCTGCCCTCATGTCTTTCTCAAATGACTCCCCACTAAAAACAGGCTTAGGGGTGTCTGAGAAGAAATCCTTGAACGGGAAGCGATCTTGAACGAAAGATGGATTGTTTTCATTTCCAGCACAAGCAGCAAGAAATAGCTCCCAACGTGAGTATACATGAAGCAACCAGAAATACCCAGCTGTTTCACAAGTATAACCTACATCCTCTGGAAGTTGAAGAGATCTTGCTAGTCTCTCAACCTCGTTGAGCAGTTCTAAACGTCGAACAAGCATGGCATTGACACGGCCTTGTCTGCTAAAGTCAAGATCAGTGGCAAGCTCTTGTTCACCCTGACCCAAACGAAGTAGATACCGCGCTGGTACATCCCTCTGAAAAACCAAACCCATGTAACATTTGTCTGTCAGGGCCCGTTAAACATGTAAACCATAAGATATTACAACATATTACTGAAAAAAAAAAGGCAGAGAGATGCCAATAGTACCTCCATTATCTTCTCAAAAAGATCATTCAAAGCTTGATTTGAATGAGTGATAATTAAGGTCCTTTGAGAAGGACAATTGTGATATAGAACATTTAAGATTTGCACTGCTGTATCTGTCTTTCCGGTACCCGGTGGACCAACCACCATAGTTAGCCCAGGCTGAATACCAGAGATAATCGCTCCAACCTGCAGGACAGTAGTAGGTATGATGATTTGATTAAAAGTTGCAACTAAATATCATACGTCTTGAATCCAAGACAATGTTTTGGGAATATTTTATCAATCAGCAGAGAAGAAAGGTCCCGTCATTGAGGGGAAAAATGCTTTTAAACATCAGGTAATAGCAGGGGTACAATCTACTTAACTCGATCAAAGAGACAAAACTAAACTAGATGCTTTACTATTCGTTGGAAAGAAATGCGCAAAAAGTTTATATAGGTTATTAACTTTCAGATATCAAACACAACGAAGCATATAGATGATGAATAGCATTCTCGTATGACTTGATTGTTCTGTAAGGATACATAAATTCTAAGATGATCAAGTTCGCATCGTCAAGAATAACAAAAGCTGATGAGAATAGCCAGCACAATTACATAATAACGAAATGGTCCTAATCAAATGAGTATACTGCTCTGAGGATGTAGAATTAGTGGTACCTGTGTAGGCGTAAATTTAACTGAGTTCTGCTTCGGCTGATCCTGAGGGTAAGGCCCTGGGTCAGGTGGGGTATATGCTTCGACAATAAGTTTCTCCTTCGGGGAAACATCCACCGCATCAACATTGTCTGCTGGATTTACTTCAGATATTTTATTTCCAGAAAGAGCATTAGCATTCCCTTTTAGTGTCTTTGGAAGAGTGATTCGAAACGGAGGCCTTGGATCCAGAACTTCAGCACCATCAGCATTGACGAAAGACACCTAAGGTGCAAGAGTCATGAGACATGGCAAAAGGACGAAGTAGTTTTAAATCCCATCATATAAACAAGAAAAAAAATTACCAACCTCGTAATCTGGAAAACTTTCACTGAGATGATTTGCATCAAGGAAAGTATCTTTGAAGTCCACGGTTTCCAATAGGTTTGGCATATTAGGCCACTGTGCAGCAGAAGGGTTGCCATATCCCAGAAAAACATTATGCAACCACTCCGGAACAATACAATATTCATTCATGAGATCTCTGATAGATTCCAGAATAGCCTTGAAGTTGTTCTCTTTTGGTTTCCTCCTCATTAGCACATTAAATGTGCTATACACGTCTTCGGCACCTTTTTCAGCAATGTCTGTAACATCTATGTGATACTGTGCAGCATCTAAAGCAACAGTCACAGTCCTCATTTCACCTTTTGGGGGCTTCCACTCATCCCGTTTAACTCTTCCAGTAAAATCATTCATCAGATTACCCTCCTCATCGCGGATATCGATGATTTCACAACCACGAACATACTGGAGCCCGAGCCTCTGTGGTACTGTAGCTTTATCAGCTTCTTCTGCACCTAATGGCTCAAATGAAGGGCGTATACAAAGCAAAAACAGTACATCATGCTCTTTAAGGGAATTCCATTCAGATCGTATCTGATTTCTGTAACTCTTAATACTGAAGGTAACTTCTGCAGTCACAGATGATGGCTTTTCTTCGCCAATATTAGGCTGTTTCACCTGAGCAATTTGGAATTTATTAATCGGAACGGCCATTCGTGACCAACCACGAAAAGCAGTTTCTCCCTCATTATTTATGTGCGCAAGAAGATGTGGTACAGCTTCTTGTATATCTTCACGTATCTCATAGGTAGACTCTAGACGGAAGAGATTGAAGTTTCTGAGGAGGTAATCATGGAGTGTTAGAAACTGAAGATTAAGCTTTGGAAGAGCAAGGCAACCTTCCCCAGAATAGTTAATGCTTGGAATAACACTTTCGTCCCACATGATTTGCTCATTTGGGTACAAAGGCAGAGCATTTATGGCTTCTTTCTGAGACTGTTGCTTCTCAAAAGAGGAGACAACGACCTCAATCAGAAAATCCTTACTATCTGCCCAAGGATCATGTCTTGAAACCAGTTTGAGCTGTAAAAAAGCAAATGAAATGAGAACCAATGTAGGTGGCAAGGTATATATTGTCATAAGTGAAACTCTAAGGCAAACATAAGAATTATAAAAAAAAAACTAAAATCAGTAGCAGCAAGAAGCAAATGCAATTACATATTTTCTTGCCAACCTCTACCGGCACAAAATACATCTCTCGAGTGATTTCTAACGCCACTACTGTGCATCATACTGTAATGGGAATCTACACAAGCAGATATCCGACTTCTACATTTGTGTCAACTCATAGATCTCTTACCATGCCAACTTAGACTTTGTATTGTGTTTTTGCTAACCAATTGCCAATCTTATTTACTGAAGCTCACAACTATAAGACCCTTAATAAATGAAACTGGCAGAAAACACATGATCATCATAGATTGCCTCAGCGTGATTTTTATAATGATATCCTGGAACCCCATGCAGAGTTTGTATTATACTGCCCAAAGATGATATTTCATATGTGAACTTACAAGAATAAGCTTTCAAGATATATACCTTTGAACAGACGACATCCCTTAAATCTTCAAGAGAAAGCGCCGACAATCTCCTCCGAAGATCAGAACTCTTATGAACCGAACCAATGTTAGCCAAAGACAGATCTCGCAACTGAAGCAAACAAGATAACAAACAATGTGAGAATTAAGAGAACATTCCCCAAAAAAATTACTAGAGAATAAGGAAGAAAGCAGATCGAAGGCTTCAAATCCCATCAGCAACAAAACCAAAGACCTACACAAAACTAACTATCTATTGAATTCACCACGGTTACCTTCGGTATTTTCTTAAAGGCAAGTAGCTGAAACGCCATAAAACGATCGTAATGAAACTGAAGTGCTTCATCATCAGTTAATTGTGTTCCATCATGATCCTTAATCTCAAACTTTTCGTAGAACTGTAACAAGTCAACTAATTGGGCGAAAAGCTTCCCTTTTTCATGTTTGTATAGGACACTCAGTCGACATTTCGCAACTACTGCTATGTCCGCCACAAGAGGTCTTAGGTATCTGTAATAATCAAGATGAAGGGATGGAGAAAGAAAAAAAATAAGGTCCAGTAAATGAATGGTACAGAAATGACCACAGCGTATCAGGACCAAGAAGACACCTAGAATGCACAATACAGGTGATTCTAGAAAACATCTATTGCAAATAAATTGCATAGAAGCCCTGAGGTGAAATATTAATACCTTCTTGTTGGAAGTTGGTTCAGCATATCAATGAGAAATTCCATGAATCTCTCGCAATATAAGACAGAAGAATCATCGACCAAATGAGATCCAACAGTGTCATCAACCTCATCCGCAAAAACCCTGTGATCAAGCACCTGGAAAAAATATATGAATTTGGCATAACTCTGCGAAATATATGAATTACATAGACCACTTCAGCTTAATAAAATCAGGCTTATTACCTCGACGAATTCTTCAATTAGGCCTCGAACAAAATTTGCTTCGGGTAATGAGGATGGATCAAATTGCTCTCCCTTTGACATTGCCTCAGCTGCCCATTTCTTTGATGACCTCTTCCATTTTTTTATTAGATCAGGTTGAAGGCAGAGCTCCATCTACAGTTGTGAGAACCAATGATGCTATCAGAGCAACTACAAAAAATTTTGATCATCCTTAACAAAATCTGTGTGAAGGCATCCCCAACCTGGAAACGTCCGTAAGACAAACTGTGCCAAGACTGTAATCCTGCTAGACTTAGAACAGTCTCATTAACCACCGAGTCTTCCAAACTCTGTAAGATCACGCAGACAAGGATACTGAGGAAAACATGGATACAGATTGTGCACAAACGTGAAACAGAAGGTTGTTCGCGTGAAATAACAATCTTGACAGACATTTTTAACTCAGTAGCGCACAGTCATATATTCAGCAATTACTGTTTACTACTATATCATGAATTTTCTGATCTTGAATCATGTGCAGCAGCAATCTAAAATACTTGCTACCTATATAACATAATTATATTCAAGGAACAGAACAAACCTGGAATGCATTGATCATGAAGACTAAATAATTTGTCTTCTCAGCAATAGTCAAGTCTCTTCCCTACAGTGGTAAGCAAAAGACAATATGAACAGAGTATATACACATTTAGTTTAACAACTAGTGATTATCATTTATCAGTATGCCCCAAATATATATCAAATTCTATTACGCTAAAAGCATTGATATGTGAATCCATGAAAGCTAAGACTATCAATACTAATACTGCTCGCAGAAAGGAAACCGAGTCCAGGTATTAGACAATGTTTTAAAGCACAGGTAGGATCCAAATACTCTCAAAACAGGAACAACATTGGCGGAAAAAAGAAGACCACAAACCTCTTTAAGACGAAGAACCTTCTGAAGAAACTCTTTGAATAGATCTTCGCGATCATGAAAGCAAATCCACGCTGCCACATTCTCCCGGAACTACAAAGCGTGAAGCGATTCTTAGTTCATTGTTTGCAACTCACACAATAATGTTTCATCATTTTTTCAACATTCAAATGCGAGGAAAACAAGGTTACCTTCTCGTTAATCATAAGAATCATGGACATGACATGCTCGAAAGTGGCCGTCTCGGGATCGAAATTGGGCCATAGATAGTTCTCCAAGTACTGACTCACTTCCAGAATCATGACTCGCTGCAGCGGAACCGGTTTCCGACCACTCGTAACCTTGAGCTCCGTCACATAAATCTCCTTGACAACTTCCGGATCGAACGGTTTCTCAGGCAGTTTGCCGCCGGTCTTAATCCAAGTCTCCTCGGCAATCTTCGTCAACCGGTCTTGCTGAATCTCCGATAGAGTGATGGAGCTCGGCAAATTGGATCCAGGCTTGGACTCAAGGGGCTTCTCAGTGGGATGGTTAGGTAACTCCAGTGGATACTCGGCCACTCTGTGGCGCTTGAAGTCGTACGTGCCTGTTCCATAGACCTTCGTCATTTCACGCGAAAGCTCCTTTCTCTCTGGAAGAGCGAAGAATCAAGACATACAGAAAACGAAGTGGAGATATAGTAAGGTGTGAGTTTTAGGGCTTAAGCCACGCGGAGGAGTGAATCGTCGACGCCGAAGATAAAGGCGGTGTTAATAACCCGACCCGACCCGAGTGACGGTAGTTTCGTTATAACTGTGGACTTGGGCCGCGATTTGAGCTGGAGAAGTGTTTTAGTCAAAAATAAAACCAAACCAAAAACCGGAAATTTTTCGAATTGGACCGAAGTTAGAGTTTCAATTTTGAAACCTTAACGCAAAATCTAAAATTTCCTGAACCCAACCAACAACGCTGAATGAGTAGGCTTTTTGTTTATTTATTCTTCAGATACTGAATAATAAAAGGAGTTTTTTGTACTCAAATCCTTCAAGAAATAGGTCCCGAACGTTCTTGAATTGATTATATATCCTTACGTTGCGTCAATAATTTGATCTGATCAGTTTTGCTCTACTCGTCCCATGCATACCATGAGGCTTATCAATACAAGCGTTTCCCCAAAAATATTAATGTGTATATAATAGGATAAAGTAATACTCACAAATACACATTACCACAAAGAAAACATCATCTCAAATTATTTGAACGTTCTCTGTCGGTTTTTGTAGTTTTGTTTTAGAAGATTTTACTAGTGTTTTGGGTTATTTTAAGTTTTCAAAGATTCTCCGAAGTGAATATGTTTTAATTGTATTGCACGTTACTTGAAAGCAAAATAATCCACAAATTTTTTTTTGTTTTTGAAACTTTGCATAATAATCCACACAAATGTTGCATCCACCATCACTGTTTTGTAGTAATCATAAAGCTCTTCATGAATCGATTTTCATCACAAAGGGCTTTGATGATGTAATTTAACAGAGACGATGCTAGGACTAATACCGGTTAGTGGTGTAATCCACAAATTCACATTTTCGTATAAGTGAAACCTAATAAAATTTCACTTTTTTTCTTTACTAATTTTTGGATTAGTGAAAAGTTGAGTGGTCATCTTACAACCACGAGTATGTGATACACACTCTCCCCAGAAAGAAAGAAAAAAAAAATGGCTAAACCATCTCTTCTCTCGACGAATCCAAAATGGCTTCTTTCAACCATTGTTGGCTCTCTTCTCCACTCGCCGAACCTCCCACTTTCTTCCTATCTCCATCTCCACAACCAAAATCCTATAAACTCTCTGTTTTCCGAAACAAATCTTCGCCGCTACCCAACTGTTCCTCGCCGGACCGCACGCCGGAGGTTGAGCTCGCCGTCGATCCCGTGAAGCTCGCCTTGAAGAAAGCCGAAGCGTATAAAAAATCGAAATTGAAACCGAAAGCGGAGGAGCAGCAAGACCGAGAGAGAAATGCCGGTGACGAGACGAAAGTTTCTAAGCAAAAAGCTGATGATTATAAGGAAAGTAAAGTGCTTGGAGCTGATGGTGTCCAGGAGCCTAAACCCAGTTCAGTAAAAACATCATTTTGTCTCTCTGTTCACTGCAATTTTTCCATTAGGCTTTTAGTTGCCACCATGAAAACGTTGGTGTGTGCAGGGAACATGCATAAACTGATTTTGATTAGATTCAGGAATAATGTCTTGGATTATTGGTTTCCTATGACTTTTAGCTCGCAACCATGGATAAATTTTCTTTATATTAGGCATTGAAATGCTTGTTGGGGACTGTCAATATGTGCAAAGTTTATGTTTTTATTTTAGATTTGACATGTTAATATGTGGAAATTCAATCAAAACATGATCTTGGTGGGTTTTCTGGTAGGGCAGAGCAAAGTGTTGCTAGATCATCATCGAAGGCTGATGAAGATAATGATGGTAATAAGAAGAAAGACTTGAAAGTATCGAGCATTGATTTCGTTGGGCTTGGTTTTGCTGATAAGAAGAACACGAGGGGGCTTCCACCGGGACTGGTTCCTGTTGTCGATTATTTCCCTGGAGAAGACTTACCTGAGGTGGAGATTCTTGTTGGTGACAAAACAAGATTTGCAGAGACAGAAAAGGAGCTGGAGCAAGAAGGAAATGAAAACTCTGATGTATATAAGCCCAAAGTTTCGACATGGGGTGTTTTCCCAAGACCAAGCAACATCTCTAAAACGGTATGTGATAAGTCCTTTTAAAGACATGTTTTATTCAACTTGATTAGTTGTTTCAGAAAACCAAGGGGAAAGGAGTTGTTTTTGTCCAGTGTTGTTAAAAAGCCATTCACTCCAAATATTTAGAGGAGGGAGTACCAAAAAGTTATCATGGATTTTCCATTTAATTAGTTCCTGTGTCAGTAATCTGCTGTCAAATATGATGCAACCAAAATGACTTGTTGATCCACTCATGCTCATGAGCGTAGGAGGCCAATTTTGGCTATATGACATTGTATTTTGTGATGACATTTTTTGCAAATCTTAACTTCGATTGGTTTTTGAATGTATACTTTCTTGTTGGCATTCGTGGTATCAACTCGTGATGTTAAGACTTTTCTGGTTTAAGTTTGGTGGTGGAAGGACTCTCCAACCAGGGGATTCAGTTGAAACCGCTGAAGAGAGGATTGCAAGAGAAGAACGTACAAAACAATTGCTCACTGCCTACAAGGAATCAATCGGACTGAATATTGATCCCAAACTCAAACTTGAGTGTGAGGAGGTACTCCCAAACGAACAAAAGTTTTAGTCGCTGTCTTTAGAATCCTATTGTTAGATCATAACAGGGATATGAGTTCTTGTGGAACTGTGATATGAACTCATGTTTGCTCAAGCAGATTCTCATATTTTCATTTCAGCTTTGCACGTTGCAACATTTTCTACTAGAGAATTGATCAAATAATTTGAGTTGAGAAAAACTAGAAAAAGTTATTATCTTTATCTACAGGCATGTTCTGCTTCAACTCATGCTTCAAGGTAGCTAGAAACGTTTTGCTCATCGGCTAATTCTGCTCAGATTTTGACACTTAATTATGACAGGCACTAGAAAAGGGGAACTCGCTTATGGATTCAGGGAAACTCAAAGAAGCTTTGCCGTACTATGAAAAGGTCATGGAGAAAATAGTCTTCAAGGTAATTTCTTCAAAGCTGGTTTATTATCTCATCTTATACGCATGTCTGCGTTGACGCATTAGTCTGCTCATCTGACTCTTCTTGACTGCATGGGACTTTATTAGTATTTTACCTATCAGCATGTATGTGGAGCAATAATCCAACAATCTTATATAAAAGTCAACCACATAATCAAGAAAAGCACTTTAAGACACTGATTATTATGCATTATTAGTTTCATGACCTTGTTGTCAGTCTATCGACATCTTAATCTATTGATGCACTAAAATCACTTAAAGAAGTAGTCTGCTTCAGAAAATTATGTTAACTAGTAATGAGGTTAGTTGTGCAGAGTGAGCTTCATGGATTAGCAGCTTTGCAGTGGTCTATTTGTCAGGATTCACTTCGGAAGTAAGTAACATGCTTTGTTGTTGAAAACTCGAAATCGTTTTACTTTTTCTTCGTTGGCTTCACAACTGTTAAAAATTTATTAAGCAGTTTGATAAGGGTTTGAAAAAAGAAACTGTTTTTATTTCTCCCTAAGGCTGAAGTACAAACACTGAGCCCAGTATTACCAATTCAGAATGACCTAAGCATTTGATCTAGAGAACCCAAAAAAAATCTCCCAAGCTCCAAAAAAGCCTCAAGAAAATCACAACATACTAGATATATCCTAACGTTTAAATCCCCTGTTTATATACTAACCAAGTTGGTGGCTCATTTGATGATGTTGGTCTCTTGTGCGTTAAAATCGTTATTTTGGAGTGATTGACAGAGAAGATAAGGCAAGGGGCATGTATGAGAAGCTTCTATCCCACCCAAACCCGAGAGTGAGCAAGAAAGCGAGGCAGTTCATGTTCAGTTTTCAGGTAACCCAAAACACCCACAAAACTATTATACCAACTAAGCACAAGGAGCAAAGATGAGTTGTGTTTTCTTTCTGACTAAGATCGGACAAGAGCCATTCAACTCTTTTTTGTTTCCGTATTATTGTGTACCAAATGTCAAAAAGAGTTGGCAAAACTTTTCGCTTAAACTCTTGAGTTTTTTTTTTTTACACATTGGTAGGCAATGGAGATGTTGAAGGTTAAGGGGTCGAGCTTCATGCAGATTAACCCTGGGTATGAGGATTACTTTGAAGCCTTTGTCAAAAAAGACAAAATGAATTACAAAACAGAGGAGGAAGAAGAAGGAGAGGCATTGGGAATAAATGAGACGCTTCTTTATGTGATTCTTCTTGCGTCTCCGATTCTATTGATCATTTTTGTGGCTGCACAGAGAGGGAATATTCACTGAAGGCACAAACCCTTGTCAACTTCTTCATGTAATTTTTGTAAATATATAAGGTAATGTTATGCAAAGCAGCCAAATTAGTCGTTGGTTGGCTTGCATCTGTTTATTGACCTTAATTGAAAATTCAATTCATTTTGTTAAGAGTTGAAGAGTCATGCACACACACACACGAAATAAAAAAACAAAGCTTTTCTTTTTAACTGAAAGAACATAAAAGAATATGAGAATCAAACACCAATGAGAGACATATAAAGAAAGATCAAAGCTAAGATTTTTCTTTGGATGAGCCCACTGTTATTTCATCTCTATGTAAAACCAACATGGAAAATACATAATTTATGATGAAGAAATTGATGTCCAGTTAAGAAACTAGAAATCCCCAAGTTGACTCACAAGTCTTATTCGAACCCAAACTTATAATCACAGGTATCACATTTCATTCCATTCAGCAGGAAGTAACGTCTAGTGTAATGTCAAACCCTGAATGGCATAAGGTTTAATCATCCATGGCCTCACGTGGCAAAGCCTGACTACTTCTTGGTCTGGCCTTGACCAGCCGCTGAGCCACCACCTTTACCTCCTCCGGTAGCTCCACCACCAGCTCCACCGGCTGGAGCACCTCCGGCTGGAGCACCTCCGGCTTCAACCGTCGAAACTTTAAACCTTTCATCTCTCAAATCTGGTGGGCCAAGATTGACCCCTCTCACTCTGACACGAGGTGAACCAGCACTGAGGCTCCTCTGCATAGTCATCGACTTTGCAGGAGGACGAGAATCTTGTTTGAATTGAGACATAGCGTCTCCGAGTTTGTTGAAGAAACCAAGAAAATCGTCTTTGGCTCCCCCTGGAAACATCTTCTTGAGCAGCTGTAGTTGTCCCACGTAAAGCTCTCTCATATACTCAAGTACCATCAAGACTCTCATGTCCATCCTCGATCCCTCATCATCATCACCATCATCAGCATAATCAACATCATTATGATGTTCTTCATAAATTCTGTGGTAGCTATCTCCCATATCGCTGTATTGTCTCTTCATACTCCCACTTCTTGACCTTGTGGATTCAGAATCATCGAACAATCCAAAGAAGAGACTGTTCTTGCAGTTGTTGTCTTCTTCGTTTTCTTCGTCCTTCGTGGAATGATAACTCAGAGAGTTAATGCTAAGATGTTTCTTCCCCATAGACAGACACCAATCTTCAGAAATTTTGATTTACCAAGTCTTTTGAGCAGCGTATCTTTGTTTTCTGTTTTGTTTTGTCTTGTTTAGAGTATGTTTCAAGATCTGAAGAAGAAAGCAAAAGGATCTTAGATATAAAAGGATGGAAGCAGGATAGATTTGGAAGCAAAAAATGAGTAGAAAGATGAGATTTGTTGCTTCTTCCCGAATCCCGACTTGTCAACACGACGTTGGCACGACTTCTTCAACGTTGACTAGATGGGTCCAAAGCATTTGAATTTTATTTTTTGTTGGGTTTTCGGCCAATCATTAGGTAGCAGTTGTATGTAATTTGTGGCATATTGTCACCATTCTTGAGTTGTTTCTTGGGAGAAGCTGCAACTTCGGAGATAAGTGCATACATTACACATTTATCATAATTTCAACGACGTGTAGAAGAAGTTAGGATTATATAAAAGAAAAATTTAAGTAAATTCAAACTGGCAAAAGGCCTATCTACTTATGTTTATGTTTGTGTCTGGTACTCTGGTGGCTCAAGTTCGGGAGGATAAAGTTTGCACGATAATACTAACTTGTATAGTTGTATAACTAAGCTATAGGATTATGTAGGTATAACTAAAATATGTGAAATTTAATTAATTTGGGACTAATCTTTTGTATTTTTATATATATATATATGCAACGAAAGTGTAACCAAATTCTGTTGCAATTACTATTTCCAACGAAAGACCATTCAAATTTTGAAAATTCAAGTCCTTACAATGTTGTTGCAAGAAAATTTGTAATGTAATCATAACACTTACAAAATTTGCTATAGAGGATTTCATTTGCAATTGCAACAAATGATTTGCATATTTTTTTTTTTGAAGAGAATGTAAAATTATATTCATCACCAAAAAAACAGCTGTTCTTTTTTACATTAGATGCAAAAAAAGTAAAATTTTGAAAGAAAGGTAGTTTTGAATGTTAAGCCTCCAAAGCTGCAAGCCAGGTGACTAGTGCCTCATTGTAGCGAGGTTGCAGAGTTCGAATCGAGTGTATCCGATTCCTCACTGTACGATCAATCAGCCTGCTCAAGGTCTGCGCTGTGTGATGGGGCTCGCCATGACGTCGCCCATTTCTTTCTTCCAAATCACAGAGATTGCTGTTTGAAAAGCATAGCGATACAGAAAGTTGCCAATAAAATCAGAACTGTTCTGAGTGAGAAGATCAACACAAGTGTTCCATTCCTCACTCCACCTCTGCTGCAAAAGTCCCTTTGTAATGAAATTCCACACCTGCATTGAAAAACTGCAGGAAAAGAAGAGATGATTGCGCGACTCGCCCTGTTGCATGCAGAGCATACACTGGTCCGATGCTCCAAAGTTCCACTGTCTAAGTCGATCCCCTGTGGCTAGTCTGTTGTGAACCGCTAGCCAAGCAATGAATGAGAACTTTGGTATTGCATTCTTAAACCATATGCCTTTGTACCAATCATTTCGAGAATAAGATTGTCGCAACTGCAGCCAAGTCTCTTTAGTTGAGAAGCTCGGTTTGAAATTACCATTAGACTGCCTCCAAATGATTTGCATATTTGGTTTGTAAATAACCGATCTTTTTGATTTTTGGCGGGATTGATCCTTCTTGCTCAGCAAACTCGTAATCCTATGGATTGCCATTTATCCTTCATATCTATTAATCCATAGCATCTTCTCCTGTTTCAAATTGTTTTTAGAGCATTATCTTCAGATTCATTTAAAATAATTCTGTTCATATATAAGACAAGTAGTGTAAACATTCTATTGTGTTCTGTTAATAATCAAAAACTTAAATATTAATACTCTCTATTCTTTTTTTTTTTTTTTTTTAAACTCTCTATTCTTCCTTATTCTAGAAAGCAATATGCGTGAGAAAGTCATATTATAATTCTTGACACACCTTTGTGGACTAAAATACTTGTCGGTTCCCAATAACGAAATATTGTTCGGTGTAGCTTTTGATCACAGTTATACATACCAAATTTTTTATATCATACAAATAATTTTTTTTCAAAAAGAACTATAATTTGAGCCTTCTTCGCTAATTTGTGGGGTAGGAGGAGCCAAAAAAAACTGGGAGAGAAAGACAAAAGAACATTATGCGCATTATCTCGTGTTACACAGAAAAGCAATTATCAATCATCCCTAAAATATGGCTCCAATGATAAAGAGCAATGGACCCACCAAAATAAATCTCTTTTTCAGTGCTTATCAAAATCACAAAGTATTCAAATCTTTAATTTGTTTTAAGTATGAACCAATTCACGTAAAGTTACAAAAGGCACTAAGACAAAACCGCACACGTATCCTTAGCCCACCATTGAACAGAGAGAATCTCCCATTTTCTTTTCTTCTTCTGCTCTAAACAAGCAATAGCTTTGTCTTCAGGCAAAGCAAGTCTTGGAAAGATGGTTCAGAGGAAGACTTGTCAAGCAATCGAATCATACAATCTCCAACCTGAAACCCGGTTTGGGCAAGAACATCTCAAGAGCCTTGGACCGGAGATGATGATGATGAAGAGGACAAAGACTAAGAGGATGCTTATAGACAACACTGTTTCTCAATCAGGTAAGCCACAAGCACCACCTAAGCATGATCTTGTTGTTAAAGTCACAGGCGGGTCACCTAATTACATGAAAGGCACCTCTAGTTCTGAGGCAAGGAAAGAGAACAAGAAAAGATTTAATCTTTCTAGGAATCAGAAGAACCAAACCGGTCTGAAACATGATTCTCGCTATGGAGTTAACAAAGAGAGATGTAGTAACAAGGCAGGTTCGAGGATCGTTAGAGGTTTCACAAAGGCTCCGAGTTTCAAGAGATGCTCACAGAGAGCTACTTGTTCTTCGACTCTGAAAGATTCCAAGTTTCCAGAGTACCTGATGCTTAACCATGGTGAAACTGATGATCAAGTTAATGGAACCTCTGTCTTGAAAGTCTGTCCTTACACGTATTGTTCACTCAACGGCCATCTTCATGCCGCACAGTACCCTCCTCTCAAAAGCTTTATATCCTTGAGGAGACGGAGTTTGAAGTCCCAAAAGAGTGTGAAAAGGGAAGCTTCTATGGAAGATTTTGTGGAGATCTATGGAGAGGAGAAGAAAGAGTGTGAGAATGGTAAAGAAGGAGCTTGTGAGATTGATATTGAGACCCAAATCTCGGAAACTGTCTCTGTAGGAGCACCTCGTTCTGAAACTGATTCTGATGAGTACTCGGATAGTGCAGAGATGGTTCAGAGGCTTTCAGAAGGTGATCATGGAACTGAGTTAGAAGAATCTGTTTTGGAGGAGAATCTAGTACGTGATGACTCTGTCAAAAAGATTCAAGAGACTTGTGAGGTTGATGACTACTCTGATAGTGCAGAGATGGTTATGTTCTCAGAAGGTGATCATGAATTTGAACTAAGAGAATCTGATTTGGAGGAGACTATAGTAGATGATGACTCTGTGAAAGAGATCCAAGAGACATGTGAGGTGGATGGTAACTCTGATTGCGCAGAGATGGTGAGGTTTGTAGAAGGTGATCATGACATCGAGTTAAAAGAATCTGACTTGGAGGAGACTCTTGCAGGTGACTCTGTGAAAGAGATCCAAGAGAAAGCAAACAAAGATGAAGAAGTTATCATTATGATGAAGAACTCAGAGGCAGATGAAGAGACTTTAAAGGATAAAGCTGAAGATTACAAAGACGAGTCTCAGGACCAAAATGATGATGTATTGATGATAGAGGAAACTGCAAAGGTTCTACTTAAGCAAGAAGAGTCAGATGCCACCATTTCATGGACTGTCAGATGCAACAAACCTGTTGCAGAGACGGAGGATTTGAGGGGATTTAACCCAAGAGAACCCAATTACCTTCCAGTTGTCTTGGATGCTGATAACGAAAAGGTTGACCTCAAGCATCAGGATATGGATGAGAGGAAAAACTCAGAGGATTGGATGTTTGATTATGCTCTGCAGCGTGCCGTTACCAGACTTTCCTCAGCGAGGAAGAGGAAAGTTGCATTGCTCGTCGAGGCATTTGAAACCGTGCAACCTATTATTAGAGAACCTGCACCGGTATTGAGTTATGGAAGACACCTTCAAACCTGCAATTAACAGAGGTAATTAACAAAAAGCCCTTATGACTTAGCTAATAAACCAAATCTCTTGCAAGTTCTGCTTCTGCTTATAAAAACCTTTATGCAGGTCAAGGGATGCTTGAAGAAATGCAACTAAAGGAAGGCAGATGACTTTGTTTACTTACTTTCGAGTTAAGAACCCAAGAGTAAAGGACCAAACTTTGATGGTTTATTACCTTAGCTCTTTGTGTGGTAGTTATGATTGATATTATGATATAGTTCTCCTTAATCTGTGAGGACAGTGTGTGCTTGCTTATGGGACAAACCGTATGCATCTTTTTAGTTCTGTGTAACTGGTTGAAATTTCGAATCAATCGAATGCTGTTGTTGTTGATTGTCATAAAACATTGACTGGTGATTTCAGCATCTAGAGCCTACGATTTCTATTGTTCTGTTAACTAGAATATGGCATGCTACAGTGTAGAAAACCAAGAACACAGTAACAATAAAAGGAATAGCAAGATCACAAGAGTATGAGAGTCTAAAACGAGAAACCTAGGAGTTAAAAAAAATTAACCCATACCATATACACTTGAGGATGTCCAGAAGAATAGAGCAGACGAAATCAATAGCTAAACACAAAACACCAAAAGCTGTTATAACTAGCAAAGCACATAGATCTAGACTTAAGGACTTGAAGGACTGAAACTCAATCCTTGGTGATCTTGCTGACAAGAGACTTGTGGATGTGAGGAATCACACCTCCTCCAGCAATTGTTCCTTTGATGAGAGTGTCAAGCTCCTCATCTCCTCTGATTGCAAGCTGCAAGTGCCTCGGAGTGATTCTCTTCACTTTCAAATCTTTGCTCGCATTTCCAGCTAACTCAAGAACTTCTGCAGTTAGGTATTCCAGAATTGATGCCGTGTAGACAGCAGCAGTGGCACCAACTCTTCCATGTGCTGATACTCTTGACTTGAGTTGGCGATGAATACGACCCACAGGAAACTGAAAGAAGACAATATCAGCATATAACTCAAGGCACAAAGTCAAGCTTCTCATTATCAGACAAATCTCTTCTTGTATATGTACACTCAAACTGCAAGTATCTAATAGTGCAAAACAACTAAATGATGTCTCGGTATGAGAATTTCTCTGAAATTGGAATGAAAATCTCACGAAGAGACAGACAAATCAGTTAGTTGCAAAAGCACTACACATTGTATATAGGTTACTTTAAAGATAGTAAGCACAAATTTTTTTTCACACGCAACTACAATAAGTGGATACAGAGAAATCAAGTTTGGGTGTGTTGATCTCCACAGAAAAAAAAGCAAGCTACTTTTCTCATAGAAAGAGAGAAAGCAAATATGCCTCTTTGCATTAAGATTACCAAAGTCCACAATCTCATTACATAAATCAAAAAAAGAAAGAAGCACATAAAACAATCTCGTTTCGATTTATCCTTAGATTCGTTTCTTCAAAACGTTCTTCTAATATCCCCAATTACATAAATAAAAAAGCCTAAAAAAATCACATCAAAATCAGAGCGACATGAATTACAAGACCTAGAAAGAGTTAAGAGGGATACCTGAATGCCGGCACGAGACGAGCGAGAGATTGATTTCTTCTTGACACTGTCTTTGTCTTTGTTAGATGCCGTCGTCTTCGCAGCTATAAGCCCCTTGCCGCCTTTCCCTGCCATTATCTTCAAGACCTAACAAAAGACGAGAGAATTTTAAAAAAGATCAGTATACAAAAGAAACTACCAGATCTGTCGTCGAAATCAAGAAGATTTTTCTATACCGATAGAAAAGATCCGAAGCGTTTAGTGTAGAACCTACCAATACAGAAACTACTTTAAATCGAAACGAGAGAAAGATAAGCGGAGCAAACCCTAACTCGGAGAGAGAGAGAAAGAGAAAGAAATACCTGAAAACGAGAGCGGGAAGAGAGAAATAAAAGTGGGAGGGAGACGAAAACGTGGCTTTGGTTTTGCTCCAAAAATTATGCGGGAGCTTTTAAATATTTTAGATTAGAGTTAGTGGGGCGGTTTCCAATTATCTCTGTTAAATCTGGTGGATTTTATCCGTAATCACCTCTTATTGTTTATGTAAATTTTACATATTTTTCTTTCAAAACTACACTTATTATTTTAAAATTTTTAATTTCATCTCCGTAATTTTGGTGAAAACATCTAAAGTCGTTTTAGTGTAAATTATTGACGCATTTTTATGTTATTAACCTAGTTTTTTTTTTTTTTTTTGCTACAAAGCTTTCTATTGAAATTGCCTGAGAATATAGATAATAATACAAAGGCCCATTAGGCTCAGTTTTTTAGTCAGCCCAAAAAAATAACAACAGAATTACAGAACCATATCTATAGTTTGGCATGTAATGTAAATGTATGCTATTTTCGAGGAGTACAATATTCAAGAAGGAATAAAGCAATGCAATTAGGTTAAGAATTTATATTAAAAAAAAAGATAGATCTTGTTTTTTTTTAAAAAAATTCCACAGCTTGTGTGCTATCGAGTATATCCCAATGTTACGTTAGATTAGATAGATCTTGGATCCTTTACAAAGATCTTGAACTTGTTGTGTTAACTGAAAATGCACCGGAAAATTTGTTACACGAAGATTTATCAATATTCTTGAAACTAACCGTAAATACTGCAATTTATTCAGTACTTTTTTCAAAAAAAAAAAAAAAAAATTCAGGAACCAAGATTTCATCCTATTCTTGCATTGGTACCATCCGACCATATGTAATAGTAATAGAGTATTAATTTGATGTAATATTCTAACGTTTGGCAAATTTTTCATCTACTTTTGCATCAATTATATATACTGTTGAGTGATAACTTGGGTCTAATTAGTGACATGAGTTATACCGTGTGTTAAGATTGAGTTATGAACCTAATTCACACTTAACTCACTAAATATTCATAAAAACAAACATTTTCAGGGAAATTATGCTGTGTCAATATTTCAAAGTTGGTTAATAAGTCGGATCGGCAAAGTTTAAAATTTTTAAATCATGAGACTTGCAAATTGCAACGCTTACAAGTGATAACTACGATGTACGGAGTACTAAAAATAGGCGAATATACGTACGTATATACAAGCAAAAGTACGTACAAGTACAACGAATACGGAGGGGCATTTCCGTCATCTATTTCCGCACTTTCGTTTCAACTTATTCCGGAGCAGTTTGTTAACAGACCCCGGAGTCGCCGACACGTCCTCTATCTGAAAGGGCTTCGAGGGTATTTTCGACCTTTTGAAACCAAGAGCATCGGATCTCAGCCGCTTGTCATGTGAAGAGCCAACACCGTTGATCTCACGACACGTGTCTCTCATCCCATTCAGATTTAGCTATTTTAACACGTAGGAAAACCACGTGTGCATCAATATCCTTTCCTCGTCTTTATAAAACCTCACAAAGCTTATCCTCTTCCTCTTCGTCGTCACAGATCACTAAGGAGTTTTTTGTTTTTTCCGTTTTCGAATTCAGTTTCCTTTCTTCTGGCGTTTTTTTGTTTCCTCTATCTTCTATCTCCGGCAATAATCTCGTCTCGTTGTAATGATTTCAAAGCTCAAAAGCATAAAGCCTGACGTTCTCTCGTCGTCGCGTATCTCGGAAACTTTAATATCCGTATCTAAAGAGTTAAAATAAAGCAATCTTCTTTCTTTTTTTTTTTTCCCGAAGTTGGCCCAAGTTTGAAGTTATTCCATACTTTATCTTGAAACTTAGATCATACTTTTGACAAATATTTGAGATCGGTTTTAGGATTTTCTCGTTTATTTGGGTATAATTCTGCTCAGATTGCGTTTCTTCCTTATCAGTTTCTTTTTTTTTTTTGATCTGGAAGCGAAGAACAATCATAAAAATTAGATCTTGGACTAATATCATGTTTCATTGATCTGAAATTTCTGTATAAAGTGGGATTTTTTTTTTCCTTTTTCGGTGTTCTGGTTTTTGAGTGATATCGCAATGCCGTTTAATACGAGAATCCAACCGATCGACTCCGATTTATCGGAAGAGCTACCTTTCCCGGAGCCGATGAAGCAAATGCCAAAATCGCGGCTGAAGCGTCTCTTTGAGCGTCAGTTCACTATGAAGAACGCATCGGAGAAATTTACCGTCGGCGATTTTCAGGCGCCGCTTTCAAGAGGCAATTCGGGAGATTTCGAGCCGAGCTCGGTCTGTTTGACGAAGATGGTTTTAAACTTCATCGAGGATAACAACGGCGAGAAACAGCGGTGTGGTCGTAGCCGATGCAGCAACTGCTTTACCGGGAGTGGCACGGAGAGCTCCGACGAAGAACCTGAATGGTCCGATGGTCTGAAATGTTCTTCCAGTGAAGCTTGCGAAATTCTCAAGGTATGACTTTTTTTGCCAATTTCTCTCGTCTCTAGGATTGTTCCATAAAGGGTAAAGCAGAAACCTTGATTAATTCAGATTCAACGTGTAGAGTTTGGTCCTTTGTACGAGCGTCTGTGAGAAGAATTTAATGGCCGATGTGACCAAGATTGTGGAAACTAGTAAGAATTGTAAGCGTAAAGACGAATCTTGCTTGAAAACTGTGGCCAATGGGTTGGTGAGCTTAGGATATGATGCGGCTCTGTGCAGATCTCGCTGGGAGAAATCACCTTCTTGTCCTGCTGGTATGATCTATAACTAATAACTCTCTCTTCTGGCAAATTTCTTGGTTCTGTTTTGGTCGCATGTTAATTGAAATATATCAAAATGGAGGATAGAACAGGGGGATCTTGACAGTGGAGTTGCTGTGTTTGTGAAATGAAACAGGGGAATACGAGTATGTGGACGTGATGATCGAAGGTGAAAGACTGTTGATTGACATTGATTTCAAGTCGAAATTCGAGATTGCTCGTGCAACAAAGACCTACAAGTCGATTCTGCAAACTCTGCCTTACATCTTTGTGGGCAAAGCGGATCGGTTGCAGAGGATCATCATGCTTATATCTAAAGCCGGAAAGCAGAGCCTAAAGAAGAAAGGACTTCATGTGCCGCCTTGGAGGAGAGTTGAGTATGTTAAATCAAAGTGGCTCTCTCCTTATGTTCGTGCAGATCAAAAGTCAGATGAAGAAGACAAGCAGGAACCAGTAGATATGTTAGCTAAATCGGTTGGTTCCATAGTCTTCGGTGTTTGAAGTTTGTGTGAAGCTCTATATACATATATTATATATGACATAAGCCTCTAGAGATGTCTGAGATAGAGGAGTAATCGAGTCCCTTATAGTTTTTGATGTAAGGGTATGAATCGATGAAGATCATACACTCATAGTGTGTCTCCCCTTATCTTTCTTTTTTTCTGGTGTAAGGGAGAGTGTGATCCGACTCTGTGACTCTGTCGTTTCTTTGTGAGATTATTATTATTATTATTGTGCTTGAGACATTCATAATCATTTGAGAAGAAAAAAATCTCCTATATATTGATTTGCGTACTTCAAATCTGATGCTCCTGTGAAGAATAGGTTGAAGCTTATAGGAATAAGAATTTAGAGTTAACAGATTTTAGAAAGGAGAAACAAAATTAGTAATTGATCTACTAAAGTGTTTCTACAGTTCTCGATGCTGATGTGAAGAAGAGGTGGTAATAAGCGATGTTAACACACCAACCCATATAGAACAACAAACTTGCTACTATTATAAAAACAGTTGACTATATTAAAAATGAAATCAAATTATAATGTCATGCATTACCTTGCATATTGTATTATCAATTTAAAACCTATGGATCTTCCTTGGCGTGGGGAGCAAGATCCTCGTTAATCAATTTAAAAACTGTTTTGAGTCGAACTCTGAGGTTAGTAACTATATATATTATCAAGTGTCAAACTTTGGGGACAATCCATAAACGACAAACCCAAAAGAGGCTATAGATAGTCCCCAAGGAACCAAGAAAGTCTCCATTTGTGTTGATATTGATAATGACAACAAGTTGAAGAAACATAGCTTGGAAGCCGAGAAGCGACTCAAAAAGGTGGACCAACATTATATCCACACAAGCCACAAGTACACAGAAACAAGAGTAAGTTTTTAAAAGATTGTACATATAACCCTGAAACTTAATCTCACTCAAAAGCCTTATATTATGGTCATTGAATAGCTTTACTTATTGTGGGCAGTCACAATGGGAGAGCTTATATGATGAGAAAAGACGCGCTGTCAATCGCTGTTCCTCGGCTGCAGCTTTCATTGACTGGTGCAACAAGCTGGTAGATAAATTGCAGAAGGCTCTTGAAAAGCTACCTACAACAGAAACAACAACAGAAGAAACCATTGATCATGTAATGCTAATCCAAACAAGCAATATCATTATGATCTTATAGATATGAGAACCAGCTCCAGATGTAACACAAATCTATCATAATCATAACCTTTAAACTTGCTTTGTGTATTTAGAACATGCAATTCTCGATGTTCAAAAGCGGTAAAACCTCAGCACAAGAAAACATGATGATATTTCGGCAGAAAGCAGAATGCCAGAAACTGAACAGTGAAGTAATAGGTGTTTTCAAAGATACCGACGATCAGGTATTGTTAATATTGTTAAGCTTAAACCCCCAAGATTCAAAATCTACTTACTAGTACCATTAGTGTCCTCTTAACTTTTTGTCTTTCCATATAATTAGCTCTACTACGTTCAACGAAAAATGCCAAGGATCGACAGCAGAAAAGCTGTACACGGTCTTCTAAAAAAAGGTTAAAGAGAAGAACAAATATCGAGACAAAGCTCTTTCAAATTGTACACTAGTTTGTAACTCAACTAATCATGAGAGTTTGAGAAAATCTGTGGAGCTGGAAATAAAAGTAAGACAAATCTCTTACTTTATTTGAGCACTAGCCTATCTTACTTTAGACCAACCAATGAGAATATGTTTGCAAATGAACTAGGTTCTGAAGAAGCTGATTAGAGAACTTTAAAAAGACTGGGAAGAAAAACTGCATGTAAAGCAATACGCAACGAATATACATAAAGATTTCACACAAAAGGTGAAGCGTCTAGAGGAGAAACGCGAACACTTATCGGGACAGTGGGACGATGAAAGGAAAGCCATGCTCGGGATGAAGAAAAAGAATGATAGGAGGATAGGTACATATCCAGAAGCGAAATAATGTATATCAAGATGTTGTTGATAAGTAACATGATGGGTTGTAAATGCAATGTATTAATTTGGGGCTTGGAGCCTTTCATTTTTCCTAAACCGTTCACCAAAATTTCAACTGCATAGTTTCACTACAAAGTTATGTTCCTTCGACTATAGAAAGACTTCGCAATCTTCAGCTATATAGTCATCAAGTGATTCTACCAAAGCAAAAGGTTTCTTTTAGAACTTAATTTCCAGAATTTGATCTCTCAAAATTGAAATTCCCAAAACGAAAAGATCAAGGTCAAAAGCAATTAACTTCAAATTAAGGGATTGAGACTAAATTAGCAAAGTTAGACCAAGCCAATGTAGATTAAACTAAACGATACTAATCAGGTGGCTGAATTAGTTCAGTAGCAAACAAATTAATCTAAAAAAAAGAATGGATAAAGACAATTAATTAGCAAGAAGGTAAACTTCCACGAAACAGCACAACAGTCACTATCCCTTGTTCTTTAAGCTTTGACTCAACATATCTAAGTCATTGCATAATACTTATAAAACAATAAAATGAAGAAATTCAACAACCAAGAACGTCATAAATAGCAGAACCAGATTTGGCCTCAAAGTCACTAACCTTTGGAATGGCATCATCATCATCATCTTCTCCAATCAAATTCATAGAAAAGGCACTTCTTGCCACCGGCCAATTTGCTCTGTCCTACACCGATCCAGATCAGAAATGGCTCATCAGAAAGCATCTAATTTCTTTCCTCCAAGATTTTCCAAATTTCGAGCTCTCTACTGATACTTTCAATCACAACAACGGAACCACTGTTCAACTATTTCGTCTTGAGGGCTCTCTACGTACTCGAAGCACCACTGTACAATTGACCATCTGGGTTCACGAGAACTACCCGTTGACGCCTCCAATGGTGTTTGTGAGCTCTAATTCCATGGCTCCGATTCGCACCAACCACCCATTCGTCAATTCTTCCGGTCTCACAAACTCAAATTACATCGAGACTTGGGAATACCCACGATGCAATTTACTCGATTTCATTCGAAACCTCAGGAGAGTCCTCGCGAATGATAACCCATTTGTACACAACGGTTCCGATTCCGATTCAATCCCAACCCAGATTCGATCGGTTTCAAGGCCTGAAGCCTTAGACAGATTAGCCACGAGTCTCCACTACGACGCATTGGCAATCATGGCGAGATCAGAGGAAGAGATTGAAAACCTATGGAAACTGCAATCGGAGGTGAAGAAGAGATCCGAATCGGTTACAAGGATCATCAGTGACCTTGAGGCCGAGAGGGAAAAACTCAAGGAGAGAGTTGCGAAGCTCAAAGACGATACCTTTGTCCTGGCGATCTGGGTGGAGACAAACTATCTCAAAGTGATGAACGCGACGTCAAAAGATATGGGAATCGAAGAAATGTTCCAAACGGAAGAAGATGATACTGAAGACGTGGAGAGCTTAGCTGCAGATGAGGCCATTGAAGACATGTTGAGTGCATTGGAAGAAGCATGGGAGAAGGGAGAGATAGAGATGGGTTCGTATCTGAGGCAAGTCAGAGTCTTGGCGAGAGAACAATTCTTCTGTAGATTTGTTTTATGTAAAAACTCAAACTTTCATATCTGAATTTTTTTTGTTGTTGCTAAATTACAATAGTGCCCTCGGGGTTATAACTTATGCTATGGTCAAATCGAAAAAACAAAAATTTGGATTTCGTCGTTGCCCCTTTGCTACGAAGCCTAGAATCCAGTGTTTTTCCATCTCAAACTAAGATCTCGTGCAACCTTTTTCCTTGGTCTCTGCGGGTGCACGATTCTTAACGTACACCCATCTCCCCAGGTTTCCTCCTTCTCCGAGATCCCTTCTTCTTCTGGGTTTGTCACAAATTGTGTTTAAACTGCAATCGGGGTACAAAACGGATCGTGTTCTATCTGGTCAAAACCATGGAGATTTCTCGCCGGACCTCTGTTTTGTTCTTGTCTCTCTGCCTCTTGTTGTCAACCTCTCTCTCGATCGAGAATTTTCACCAGGCGTAAGTGTGACTTCTTTTTCTTCTTGTTCTTGTTATTTTTCCCCAGGAAGCTCGTCAGATTTGCATTCTTTTAATGGGTATATCTAGTGTATCACAATTCTGTGTTAAAGTTTTAATTTTGTTCGTTTCTGGACTATACGACCGCATCTTGTAGTTGTAGCAATCAGTAAATAAATATACATTGTTGTTGGATCTCATTTAACGTATGGGATTGTTTCTTCACTGCAATCTGATGGAAAGAATTGCTTTTTTTTTCCGTTTTTGTTGTCTATTGCCTTTGGTTGCAAGAAGTGTTATCACTGTAGACCAGTAGCAATTTATTGTCATCAATTCTAGCTTTCCGTATGTGGGTAGGAAAACATATTTTTCAGCTTTTGATGATTGATTAGCCGTGATGGGCAAACACTTAAAGAATTTTTTTTTTTATGGGTCTTCTTAATACCAACTCCTCGTTGTTGCTAATGCAGTTTTCCTATTGTCGAACCTGATCCGAATCATACAAAGCTTCGTCTTAGCAGAGAAGGTTTGGAAGCAATTAGCAGAATCACAACTCCTATTGCTGCTGTTGCGGTATGTGAGAGTGGTGTTTGACTGATTATCTATTATTATCTGAACCTGGTTTTTTCAGACCAAGAAGTTTGTTACTTTTTCTTCTCACGTTTTGCTTGTTATTTCTTATGCTGTTGAAACGTTAGGTGATTGGCCCGTATCGTTCTGGAAAATCTTTTCTACTAAATCAGCTTCTTTCCCTTTCCTGTTATGAAGGTGCTTCTTATCGCAAATATGTGGGTTCTGCATTTTCTAACATTCTGTATAATCTCCTTTTAACTCATTATACTTTCAAATTCATCAGGTTTTGGTGTTGGGCACATGCGTGATACCAAAACAAAAGGTATTTCACCTACATGCTGAGGAAAAAATCACCCTCCAATTGCAAATATTTTCATGCTATTATAAGATTTAAACTTTCTGGTGGGAATCCACTTTATTATTGTAAACAGGTATTTGGGTCTGGGGAACACCACTAGAGCTAGAGATTGACGGAGTAAAAACTTCCATAATTTACCTCGACACTGAAGGATTTGAAAGTGTTGGAAAGTCAAATGTTTATGACGATCGGTACCTATAAAGTTTAATATTTGCACATCAAGACTTTGATTGCGGATTTGAATACTGAAATGATTATTTTTTTGCTGATTTTCAGGATATTTGCTCTAGCAACAGTTATGAGTTCTGTGCTTATCTATAATCTGCCTGAAACCGTAAGTTGTCCTGCCTCTGTTTTTGTTTGGATTGCTTATGTAACTAGGGACGTTGTAGTGTTATACTTATAACCGAAGGGAGTAAAACCTAATAGGGGTTTATTTATATGTCAATTACCATGCCATTAGTAAAACTAGTGACCAAATTGTATGAAAGGCCTAGGTAGTTCATCTTATAGAAGGGTTTGAAGCAAAAGTGAACTATAGGGTATCTAACAACTTATTGTGATGCTTCCGAGGTAGCAATCTTATATACAATTTCTTATGCCTTGGTTATAAAAAAAATCCATACTTTTTCGTTATTAACCTTAGTCATTTTAGCCAGATTCCTCCCTTTTTGTACTTTGTCTTTTGTGAATCACTAGCAATTCGGAATAGTTCCCGATCATGTTTTGTTGAACACTTCAATTCAGTTTGTGACATGCAAGCTCAAGGGAAGTTGAATGCGCTCTTGATGTTTTAGTAGGAAGTGTGTGTAACATAGAGTAATCAGTGTTTGAAAGAACAGTATCTACATTTCTCTCTCTGATATGAGTTCTCATCAGATCCGCGAAGCTGATATTTCTCGGCTCTCCTTTGCTGTTGAGTTGGCAGAAGAATTTTATGGAAGGTTTGTTCAATAGTACTCTGCATTTCTATCTTGTTAATATGCCTCTATGAATACTGACTAGGACCTCTCTTTTCATTGGCTCATGCAACGCGATTGGCAGAGTAAAGGTACTCCCTAATGCCGCTTCTGTTATCCTTGATCAATGAAAATCTTCAAATCTTTGTCTCTGATTTATATGCATATCCTGTAGGGACAAGATGTTGCTTTTGAACCGTCAAAGCTTCTGTGGCTTATTCAGCGCGATTTTCTGCGTAAGTGCAGGGTGCTTTTTTTTACAACAACATTCAGAATAGTCCAATCTAAATAGTGCTTAAATTCTATGTTTTTGTTTGCGGCTGATCCTGGGGTCCATTTCAATGTTCCAATTTTCTTTGAATTTGATGCAAGTGAGCTTGTCATGATTAACACTAATGCAACTTCATGCAGAAGGGAAATCGGTGAAGGAAATGGTGGATGAAGCTCTCAGACATGTCCCTAATGAAGATGGTCAGAGTTCCTTTTCCATTCTTAAACTGATGACCTAGACCATTTCTCAGGCGGCGGCCCTTGTTAATTGATTGTTATTTTTTTCTATTATGTTTTCAGGTAACAAAAATATTGACCAGGTATGTTCTTCTTAATTCTGTATCATACAAGTAATCATCATTAGTATCTCAGAAGTTGTTTTTGTTATCACCTTATTCAGGTTAACCAGATCCGGGATTCCCTGGCTATAATGGGTGACAACAGCACAGCCTTTAGCTTACCACAGGTAAGAAAATTGTATATTTTTGCATATTTGCCAACATGGAAACTTTAATCAAAATGGCTGTCTTTTTGCATGACACAAGGTTGTCTTTAAAGGTCTTTGCAATAGAAACTTTTTTTGTGTCATTATGGTTGTTACTTTTAAGCCATGCTGAACTGTACACAGAATCCTCACTTTTATGTGCTTGTTGAAGCCTTTAAGTTGTTTGGAGGAAATACTCTGCTTCTTTTTTATCTCACGTGGAATATTATGAAAAGATTATCTGATCTGACTCGAACGTGGATAGGTGTTTCTTTTGTGATAACGTTGCTCCTTATTTTTGTCATATAGCCCCATCTCATGCGGACGAAGCTCTGTGATCTGAAGGATGAGGACCTGGACTCCACCTATGTTGCAAGGCGTGATCAGTTGAAAAAGCTCGTTGCTAGTATTCTCCGCCCAAAGATTGTGCAAGGGAAAGCACTAAATGGAAAGGAATTTATTTCGTTCCTGGAACAGGTGAGTGTCCATGTTTCTATATGACTTCTTTCTCTGAATTTTTCAAAACAATGATATGAATGAGTGAAAGTTTTTCGTTGAGAAATCAAAAGGAATAAGTATGTGCTTTCTTTTGTTCTATTACATACGTTATTACGTGAATAGACATGGTTTTCTCTTCTCATGGGTGGATGTGCTTTCTGGCTTCTCTTAGTTATTCGGTAGTCTTGTGCTTGTTCTATTTAAGAAAAATGTTTAAATTTCCTGTACTGTTGCTCTTTGTTACTATATCAATTATCCCACTACATATTACGATTTTCTCATTTTTATACACGAGTGGATGTTTGTATCTATGATGGATTTGTTAGTTGTTACCTGATTTTTGATGAGCATAAGACACTTTCTTGATATGTAGCAGTACATATGGCTTATATATGCCTTCTATGATTACTATTGATATATTGCAATTCTGATTGCTTTAATTTGCAGATATTGGATGCCTTAAATAAAGGAGAGATCCCATCAACAGGGTCACTAGTTGAGGTTTTCAATAAAGGTATTGTTGAGAGATGTGTGAAGCTGTACAATGAGAGGATGGTAAGGTTGCGGCTACCTATGTCGGAAGAATCTCTCCAAACTGCCCATGAAACGGCACATGATGAAGCTATAAAGGCATTTGATGCACAGCATTTTGGCAGACAGCATGCAAAGAAATCTGTCGATCAGTTGGATGAACAAATGCAGGAGGTATGAATTTCTATTATTTGACTTTCCAAAGAGTAGCTTAGTCGATGAAACGGAGGGATATCTGAAATTCGTGCAGGCAGATTTTGGTAGTCTGCTTTATCTAAATTTTCCAAATTTTTACCATCTTACACATTCTTGTAGGTATATAAGAATTTTGTTCTTGCAAATGAATACCAATCGTCAAAACTCTGTGAGGCGCTATATACAAAGTGTGAAGATGACATGGACCACTTACAAGCTCTCCGACTCCCTTCCATGGCTAAATTTAATGCAGGTTTCGTGTACTGCAACCAAAGTTTTGAACACCAATGTGTTGGTCCTTCGAAACAAAATTATGAGCAAAGGTTAACTAAGGTAATATATACACAACGTTGTTCTTGAAGTATTGAATTTTCAATTGGAACAGTTCATACTATGCTAGCTTATTGGATTTCTATGTAGGGCTGCAATACCTTTTATGTTATTTTCAACACTAATAGAATATATCATCTTCTGCATTCCACCAAAATCAGGTTTGTAAGAACAAACTATATTGGAATTTTACATTAAACAGTGACGCTGTTTGTGTGCAGATGATGGGAAAGGCACGGTCTTTGTTCATCAAAGAATACAACAACCGACTGTTCAACTGGCTGGTTGCGTTCTCGCTTGTAATGGTAGTTGTCGGCCGGTTCATTATAAAATTCATTTTATTAGAAATGGCGGCATGGATACTTTTCATATTCTTGGAGACATACACAAGGATGTTTTGGACTGCAGAGTCTCTTTATTACAACCCTGTCTGGCATTTCATCGTTGGGACCTGGGAGACTGTCGTGTACAGTCCAGTTCTCGACTTGGACAGGTAACAACAAGTCCTGAACAAAATCTGACGAAAACTTTCTCTCAATCTCTCTGCTTATCTAATTTGTTTGTGTATTTCTGGTGATCAAGATGGGCAATTCCTATAGTCTGCATTATTGCAATGTTTGTGCTTTACTGGCGGTGTTATGGAAAGAGGAAACATGGGTCTAGTTGGCTTCTTCCGATGTACAACACTCAGAAGAATGGTCGGAACAGGGAACGGTCAGAGTAAACACATTGCTCCTTCCCCTTTATAACTTATAGCATCTTCTCGGGCATGCTCGTTGTTTTTATCACCCGAAGCTCTCTGCCCGTTACTACCAATTTTTTGGACGCGGAAGAATTCAAGTAAAATGTGAAGAAGAACCGAGAGGATGATTGATCCAAGTTGGTTTAGATTGATGCCTGTATTCACTGAACTCTGTACCATTTACACAGAATTACCTTTGTAATGTTTAACTTAATATACATATATGGTTGGGATCTGTTTTATACTCTCTCCGTCACGGCTAAAAAAGCCTAGTCTTTTATTTTCTTTATTCAAAATCTAACTAGCAGTTACATCTCCTGTTTGTACATATAGCCGTCTCCATGTGTGCAGAATCAAACCTTAACTGTACTTTCAACATAAGCTGCTTTTCAATATTCATTGTTGGCAACTTGAAAAGTATGTTTTATTTATCCGAACTCTATTTTTCATGTTTTTGGTTTTTCCCTTTTAGCAAAAATATTAGAACAAGACAGAGACACCAAGAGCAGTAGTTAAGTTAGACAAAAAGGCAGGCAGATCTGAGGCTGATGCAGCCGTCACAAGCTTCCCGTCACTCACACATCCCTTTGACTCAACAGCCTCACCTCCAGCTACCTTCACCATCACCTTCATCCCTTTGCCACTCGCGCATCGCTTCCCCTGGAATATTGCAAAGAGAAGCATCACATGACCAAGAAAAGCTACTGGTTTCCGCTTGTAACACGGGATTTGATAAACAATACGAGAAACAGGGCTTTATATAGCCATTATATTCATCAAACTACATAAAAAGCCAACATCACATTTTCTAATATCAAGGCCAAGAAATTACGGTTCACTACAAGATCACTATCCCATTCAGCACAAGTTTTTGCGCCGTCTAATTTGTATATCAGCTCGATCTAGTTGATGCATAACTATTTCCTCCAACAGCGTTTTCTGTTTTTCTTCCCACAAAACCTAGAAACCAGTGCTAATCTTTACCTCCCCAAAAGGAAAGACTAAAAGATGCAAATGATTTACCTTAAGAACACCGGTGGCTGCAAGTAGCAATTTACCCTGTCCAATGGCTGCAAAAACCTTATCTTTCTCTGCAAACTTCTTGACCAAAGCAACAGCCTTTTCACTCATCACCAGTAGCTCAGGTGATCTCCCTCCCGGAACAACTACACAATCATAATCATCCACACATATATCGTCCCACGATGCAGTCACAGGGAAGTTGTGTCCTCGCTTCTCCGCAGAAAGCTGCCTTCCCTCCTCGAGGTCGTAAACCACTGTTGCACACATCTCTCCCTGCTTCTTGTTCGGTGTCACTGCATCAACTTTACATCCTAAAGCTTGGAGTGCTCTAAATGGTACATTGATCCCATAGTCTTCTACATAGTCCTTAAAAGAATCAACATAAACAAAATATGATTCAAACATAAAACATTTTCCACTCGATTTACATTCTCCTAGCGAATCTGATGATCTAAAACAAGAGATCGTGAATCACCCATTTACTGAGAAATTGGAACTTACTCCAATAAGGAAAAGCACAGAAGCTGGATTCTCCTTCAAGCTCGAGATCTTTGCGCCGAGAGAATCGAGCAAAAGCTTAATCCCGTGACCAAGCGTGGGCCATCCAACCGTGCTCACAAAATTCCCGTCCTTGACGCAATCGGTGATATCAAACATGCTCTGGATCCCTGGCTGTTGCCACCACGCGCCGCCGGAGAGCTCGATCAGAGGCTTCATGCTTTCGAACGCAGTGCACTTCACACCTCCGGCGAGAATTCCGGCAGCCATCAGCATAACCTGGCTGTGGCAGCTGGTGAAGATCAGTTTCTTCGATGCGGCGAATCGAGCCACGAGGTCGACGCATTTCTCGTCGGCGCTGAGAATCTCCGTGAAACGTCCGCCGGGAATGATGACGACGTCGTAATTCTCCGGGATGACGTCATCGAAGTTGGCGTTTAGAGTCAACTGGTCAACGATCAGCTCGGTGTATAGCTTTTTTATACACAAAAATCAAAATTGAGTTATCAGAAGAAATCTCACAAAATTTTCAAAATTGTGTAGCCAAGTGAAAGATGGATACTGGATAGCAAAGTGGGGAAAATGGAACCTCGAGGCCCAAGAAATCGTGGGCCGCCATAACGCAGCGATCACCGGCGATGCGGTTGGGTGAAACGCAGTGAACGCTAACGCCAAACGATTGGAGAACGTAGAGAGGAACCACCGTCTCGTAGGCTTCCATGTAGTCTCCGCATAACAGTAAAGCCGATTTCTGAACCGCCGATCCCATCTTTAAAATGTCTGTACCGAACAAAACTACTCTAATGATCATTCATTTTGTTTATCTAATATATACACACAACTATTTAGTTTTTTTCTTTTTTTTTTAAATCATATATATTGGTAAATGACATGTGGGACTTTTGGATCCTCCTTATCCCCACCAACTCAGTTTCACCTACTTTTTTAGCCGTTTCAAAGTCCAGTTGTTCAAGTTCATATTATTACATATACATTATATATACAAGTATCTGAGTATCATAACTCTTTTAATGGTAATTTAACCTATCTAGTAGCTGGGCGAGTATACTGCTGCATCAACTAGTTACTAGTGGGGATGGATTTTGTATTGTAATGCACACATGCACACTCGTCGAAAGAAGCTAAGCTAGACTCCGAGCCGTGACTATTTGTTGAAAAAATATGTAATTGCCTTAAGCCACAATAAAATGAAAAATTACAGGAGTTTTCAAAGTAAATTTTTTTTTTTCTTTCTAATCGCATTTGCACACGGTTGTGATTGCATGTGGTAGACACCCACAACAATTATATAATATCTATTGAACAAATAAAAAATCTTATTAGATCATATTAATCATATCGACTTAATTTTTTATATAAAATTTGTATATCATAAGGTATCAGCTTTAATTGCTCCTCTCGAGTTAAGGACAAAAAAATTGAAATGGTCTTCAAATGATAAATTGTGTTATCCGTTACTTGTTTGTGTTATCCGTTACTTGATTGTGTTATCCGTTACTTGTTATATGTGATAACATATGAAGCAACTGGCCAGATATTAGATACTAGCTAAATAAATGCTGATCCCTATCTTATAAGTACTAATTCCATTGATTTTATTCACTTGCAATCATAACGTTATACATACATTCTACTTATAACATTGGACATATATATATATATATATATATATAAACCCGAAATTATTCACGCGCGCAAACGATAACTTACATCATGACGAACCAATGAACCAACCATGCAGTAGTACTGTAGATATGTGTAGTTTATTTTATTCATATTATACGACACAAAGTGATCATGTGGTCCATAAGCTAGTCTAGCCGATGGTAGGGACTTTGACGACGATACCGTTTCTATCAACCCTAACCCTGACCCGGTCGCACCTGAAGTCAGCAGTCACCGGAATTCCATCCAAAATCACGACTGCATCGACACTCGTGTTCTCTTTTTCTATTACCGAAGCGGCATATTCTCCATTTGTTCCCACAAGCTCCGGCCATGCGTTCTTCCCTGTGAGCAGTCAAAGACGCAGATCAATCATTTTTTTACATTTGGCCATTTAGAGACCAATAAGTCCATCACTCGATGATTTAAACTATTGCCAATAGTTGTAAGAAGAAAAAAAATTAACATTATCAATCCGAAGCCGCAATAATATCAAATTATTAACAATAAACAAAACTTACCATGACATTCGGACGACATTTTTCTTCCCCTAGTATTTCTTTAGTGTTGTGATGTCTTTGCTATGCTCGTCTTTAGAAATTTGAGTCTAATTTATAGAACCGGATACGTTTGTGTCGGTGTCGGTGTCGTCGGTGAGCTTGAAATTCAAAGTCAACAAATTTGACTAACCAGTTTTAAAATCCACTCCTTTGACATTTATAATTTGATGGATAAGCTTTGAAATTTATATATTTTTGGTATATTTCTTCTTTGTTCTGCTAACGACCTTTTTGGTGAAGCTTTGAAAATTTTAAATTTATAATCGATATTCAAACTTTGACTTAGATAAAAATAGACCATTTTTATAATCATGGTGGATTGGTGTTTATTAACATATTGAATAGACTACTACATTCATGGTTCCTGATGCTTTTTATCAGGAATGATGTTCTTACAAGTCATTTTGCTGAAAAGTTGTCTTCTACGTATATACCGGGAACAAGATACAACTTGAAAAGCAAAAATAATGATAATTTTGAAAGAAAACGAAGGTGAAGGAAATATTCCGAATGCTGACTGTATTCTGGTTGTTAATTTTTTTTATTACGTTAAGTTTTTATCTTTTTGGTTACAATTTTTTCATTAATTAATAAATTATATGAAAATCTACAAGAAATCAAATTAGAACCAAGGACAACCAAAACAAAATATGAACCAAGCCTAATTCTGCCAACATTCTAGTAAAGGGGATCCAAGCCTTGACCCCAATTGTTCCAAAACCAGACATTTGTTAATAATTTTCAGATAGGAGAAGATTCTTGTAACAATTATATCCAGAGGGAGAGTTGTTCCTTGGTGAAACCTTACGTGTATTGCATTTTCGCCAAAACTCATACAGGGATTGGGAGACCAAAATTGGAACTAAATAAGTTTCTTGCAAAAAAAAATAATAATAATTCAATTGGGAAATTGGAGATTTGGAAAAGTTAAATTAAAGTTGAGTTGGAAATAATTCAATGCTCACCCTCAGACTTAGATACTATATAGCACCATTGTTTTTTATTCTTTACTTGCAAACCAGATAAATTGCTTAATACATCTTTGGGACATAATAACATAAGTAATATCCGGCGAACGAACACCGAAATTACTCAAGCAAACGATATTACATCAATTACCACTAACCACACACTGTCTTCATATTACGCATAGCAATCTTCAATTGTCCATATACATGGTCTAACCGGCGGTAGGGACTTTGATGACCATACGGTTTCCATCAACCCAAACCCTAACGCGGTTGCAGTTGAGGTATGGCTGCACCGGAGTTCCATCCAGAAACACAGCAACATCGAGCGTCGGGTTCTCTCTTTTTATCACCGAAGCCGCATAGTCTCCATTTGTTCCCTCGAGCTCCGGCCATGTGGTCTTCCCTGTGTGCGGTCAAAGCAAACCATATTAAACCGGTATCTCTAAATTTTGCATTTTATAGATCAATAAGTCGATTTCCATGGAATCAAACAATGTTATTCATACTAATACTGTGCCTGTCACCAGTTCATCTATATGTATTTGGTTGTATATTTATTATTTGGTTATATATTTTTTTTTATCGAAGAGACACTTTAAAATCTTATTTCCATTTGTAGCCATATCAGAACATTAGCTTAAAGTCAAAAATAATAGATTAGACGTGCACGGAAAGAAGGTGATGTAAGAAAAATCAGTTAAAGGGCTGGAAGAATATCAAATTATGAACAATAAAGAATAAAGATGAAAGAAAAACCAATATAAGGACAATATTGTGGCGCCATTTTTCTTCCCCTTTGATTTGTTTCTATACTTGCGATGATGTTTTCAGCTGCTGTGCTTGTTTTCGAGAATTTTAGTCCAATTTATAGAAATGGATATACGTTACTTACTCGTGAAACCAAAAGTTCATTGTAGTATCTTTGAATTAGCTAGCCAATTAGGTGTAGTATGTTTTCCTTGTTGCGTAGCACGTGCATGGTGAATAAAGGAACGGTTAGTCAACTTAATTAATAGAACATTATCTTAGAAACAGAAAAGATTGAGGCAGAGAGAGATAGTAAACTAATCTTAAGAGTAGAATAATAGTCCTGATGATAATTTCCCCTTCTTTTCTCATACATTGTCACATGTAGATGTAAAATTTTAATGTTTCTACACACTGATTGCAAGAAACAAGTCCATAGCAAATCAATATCTATTTTGATATGTATCACGTCGTTTTAACACGTCCATCAGATAAACCGTATTCCATATGATTAAGACGTCTAATGAACGGGAAATTCTAAACCAAAGTTTAATCTAATTCACGAATCATATGAAAAATCGAATATTTTTTGTAATTTGACGGTAGATCTATCTTCTGCGCAATCAAAAGTCTTGTGTTGCTGGATCTGACGTTAACCATCCAGATTTATTGTATGAATATGGTCGTAAAGTTGACAATAAACAAGGTCTGACTAGCCTTAATTAAAATGGAAGGATATTCAAACTTGGAGGATTTGTCTGATCAGACCTCACTCTCTCTCGGGCCTATTATTAGCGGGCCTATTATTAGCGGGCCTATTATTAGCGGGCCTATTATTAGCGGGCCTATTGGGCCTGTTATATAAAATGAGCCCATTTAGCTTTAACACGTCGCTTGTCAGTTGTGTAGAGCTCATATTCTCTGGGGGGCTAGTTTTAGCCACATTTTTTAAAAGACAAAAAAAAAACGTGAAAAGGAGATATAATTTCCCGCGCATCACACACTCAAAGTGGCGCCAAAATCGAGCGAGTGACTGAAATACCGAGATTAGATCTACGTGGCTGAGAAAATAAACCCTAACACCAACCAGAGACAACATTCCGATGAAGTCACGATCGATAAAACTCCGGGAAGCTCATAAAGTCGCCGGAAGCGCAGCGTCGTTCTGCTCTATCCTTTGGGACCATAAGGCGGAACATTTCGTCACCTCATCTTCTTCGGATCCATCCATCACCGTCCACGATGGACTCTCGCCTTCCTCTTCACCCCCGACCATTCTCCGACATCACCATGACGGCGTCACCGCCTTGGCTCTTAGCCAAGACTCTTCTTTCCTCGCCTCTGGATCTATCGATCATTGCGTTAAGCTCTACAAATTCCCAAGTAACATTCAAATCACACATTTCTCACCTTCGTTGGGTTTTTTTTTTGGGTCAATGTTAATCTCTTGGAATGTTATGCCGATAAAGTGTATTTTCTAAGGACTTTCCTTTGATTTTGCCTCAGGCGGGGAATTTCAGACGAACATAACCAGATTCACACTTCCGATTCGCGTGCTTGCGTTTAATGGATCAGGCAGTCTATTGGCAGCTGCTGGAGACGATGAAGGGATCAAACTTATAAACACGATTGATGGCTCGATTGTTAGAGTTTTAAAAGGGCATAAAGGTCCTGTGACTGGCTTAGATTTCAACCCTAATGGTGAGCTCTTGGCTTCGCTTGACTCAAATGGGACTGTGTTATGCTGGGAGCTTCAAAACGGGATTGTTTCGTTTACTCTTAAGGGTGTTGCGCCAGACACAGGTTTCAGCACTTCCATTGTGAATATCCTTAGATGGAGTCCCGATGGTCGAATCCTCGCCGTGCCTGGTTTGAGAAACGATGTGGTGATGTATGATAGATTCACTGGGGAGAAGCTTTTTGCTCTAAGAGGTGATCATCTCGAGGATATATGTTATCTAACATGGGCTCCTAATGGGAAGTATATAGCTACATCTGGTTTGGATAAACAAGTGCTTCTCTGGGATGTTGATAAGAAACAGGACATAGATAGGCAAAAATTCGAGGAGAGAATATGTTGTATGGCATGGAAACCAAATGCTAATGCTTTATCGGTCATTGATGTCAGGGGAAAATTCGGAATTTGGGAATCTTTGGTTCCATCATCCATGGTATCTCCTACAGAGGGTATCCCAGATATACTACCAAAGAGGAGGAATGAGATTCTTATTTTTGACGAAGAAATGGTAGAAGAAGAACTTGATGATGCATCTGAAAGTTTAAATGATGCTCTGGTAGATAGTGATGATGGAGAATCTCATCAATCTAGCAGGAAAAGATTGAGGAAAAGAGCTGTTATTGATGATGATGGTGATGCAAATGAGGAAGTCTTTGATAGGAGTAGCTTACCTACCGCATCTCGCTACAAGAAAAAAACACATAAAGGAAGTGGGGTTTCAAAAAGCATTGCAGCATCAACCAAGTACAAAATGCAAAAGCCTTTCCAGCCTGGTGCAACACCACCAGAACCAGGAAAAAGAACATTCTTGTGTTACAATATGTTGGGATGCATAACTACAATTGAACACGAGGGAAACTCCCGTATTGAGGTGCTTAATGCTTACATTTTTTATGCTTTTAACTTTTTAATGTCTTCTTTGTAAAGGTTTTGCAGAAAGAAAGTTGTCATATACTTGATTCTTTTATGTAATTATGGACTTTTTATTTGTTCTTGTCGCTCTAAATGCAGACAGATTTTCATGATACTGGAAGAGGTCCACGAGTTTCATCAATGATCGACATCTATGGGTTTACTATGGCATCAATAAATGAAAATGGATGTGTTTTTGCGAATCCCTGCAAAGGAGAAAAGAACATGAGTGTTCTGATGTATCGACCATTTAGAAGCTGGGCCAGTAATAGTGAGGTTAGAGGATTATCTCTTACACAGCATTCATCTGAAGTTACGGACCAATATAGAAAATTAATGACTTGCTTACTTTTTTTTTTTATTGAAACATCAAGTGGACAATGAGGTTTGAAGGAGAAGAGGTGAAGGTTGTTGCTAACGGTTTTGGTTGGGTTGCTGTGGTTACAAGCCTCAATTTGCTTCACATATTCAGCGAGGGTGGTTTACAGGTTTCTTCTTTTGCTTTCTATTCTCTATTCTATGTCATAATTTACGTAAGCTGATAAGTCTACACAGCTGATTGATCATAGTTTACGGTAAAGTGTCGTAATGGTTTTTCTCTGCTGAAGTCGCTGTTGTGTGTCTTGTTCACTGTTTGTCTTCTTTTTGGAGTATTGTCGGATGAAAAGCTATGTTGACAGGTTTAATACAACTGTTTGTTTTGTCGTATAGTTTTTGTGAGAATCCTGAGTTCTTGAAAATTAACGTAAACAGAATGCTACTGAAAGACAGATTTTTACAGAAAAATGGATTGTTTAGTCCGTATTTTGACTTGCACAGATTTTAACTAACTTGAGCAAAACATTTGAGTAACATTTCCAGTCTGAAGGAATTAAAAATGAGGTTAAACTTTGTTCGACAGATCCAGTAGTGTCTAAAGTGTTCTAGTGTCATTTCTTGCAGAAACATATTCTTTCCGTTGATGGCCCCGTTGTCACTGCAGTAGGATGCAGGGATCAACTTGCAGTGGTAACTCATGTTTCAGACTGCCTTCCATCAAATGAACAGGTATGCATCCTTTCCCACCACGTTTCTCTTGTTTTGTTCTCGTCGTGGTTCATTATGACAAGACATCCGGTCAGGTTGTTATGTACCATGCATTCTCGCTTCATCACTATTTCAACAATATGCAGATGATGGAATTTAGAGTCTTGAACATACCCAGAATGACTCAGGAGCTGAAGGGCCGTGTTGCCATAACCCCTGGCTCACGCTTAACATGGATAGGGTTCAGTGAGGAAGGTTGTTTCAGCTCATACGATTCTGAGGTTTGCTTCCTTGCATTCTGGCTTACTCATTTGCTATTGCGTTGGTACTTGTTTAATACAATATGCATTACAACAACAAAAAGTTTCTTACAGGGTGTGTTGAGGGTTTTTACTAGTCAATATGGCGGCTCATGGATCCCAGTTTTCAGGTTTCTTGCCTTAACTATCTACAATCTCTGAAAAGTTTCCTTACTCATGTTTCCTCGAGGTATTTTTTTTTTCTTACAGAATTCATTGTCATTTTCAGTACCAGTAGAGAGAAGAAACAAGAAGAAAACTACTGGGTGGTTGGCTTGAATAAAACCAGTTTATACTGTATAGCTTGTAAACACCCTGAGCTTTTCCCACAGGTAATATATATTATAGTTATCGATACTAAGGTGTTTACTATACCTGCAAAAGGATAGGTTGCCTCACCATTCTTCTTCCTTCCATTTCAGGTGACACCAAAACCAATCCTTACCATTCTAGACTTTTCTCTCCCGCTGGCATCCTCAGATTTAGGAGCAGCATCTCTAGAAAATGAGTTCATTCTAAAGCAGCTGCGTTTATACGAGGTTTTTCACTTTCCTTGTTACGCAATTTTTATTTGCTGTAATTTCTCCCTTCTCTGTTCAAGTTTCGTAAGCTGAGTGATCTGAGCTCTTAGCTAATGGAATTTCTGTGAAACTCTCAAAGTTTGTTTTGGGTAACAACATGGGATGAATATAACAGAAGAGTTCACGGTCTTGCGAAAATTTGTTTCCCCTACTTTACGAAATCTGCTGAAACTAGTATCAAAATATCGATATATTCAATCAATTACAATATTTCTTTTCCTCCTAATCTCAGACTCAAAAAAGAGTGGACGATATGGCTTCGACCGGGGTGGACACAACAGCACTTGAAGATGAGGCTTTTGATCTGGAAGTTTCTCAAGATAAATGCATACTAAGGCTCATCAGCTCGTGTTGCAGTAGTAAGTCAATATATTTACGTGTTTTGAAATCCATGTTAAGTTACTGTCCACATTTTTACAAGAAGATTCTTTACTTCTTTCAGGTGACAAGTTTGTTAGGGCCAGTGAACTTATGAAGCTTTTATCTCTAGAAAAATCAATGAGAGCAGCAATAACACTGGTTACCAAACTCAAGCTTCCATTTTTGGCAGAAAAATTCTGTAGCATACTGGAGGTACTCCTCTGCAAGAACTTTCATCATTCTTAAAGTTTGCACAAAAGAGAAGAAAGATTATATACAGATTCTTTTTTTTTTCTTGATGCTAACTCGTTCTTCGCTAACAGGAAAGGTTGCTTGAAGAAGCCAACGAGGGGACTACAAATCCTCCGCAGGATCCAAGCAGAGAAGTGGTTAAATCCAAGGTCCAGAATCCTCCAGCTCCGATCCAGACAAGTGAAAACACAGAGGCAGTTGTGAAATCATCTGCTACTAAGCTGTCTGCTACTACACTTGTGAGGAAAACAAAAGTTTCAGAAGGTCTTAAGCTGGGAAAAGAACAAACAAAGGGAGACGAAACTGATGATGCGAAGAAAAAAGAGATAAAGAAACTTAATTTGATAAAGAGTCCGGTGAACAATGTTAAGAATGAAGACAAGGGACTTAGAAAAGAAGCGAATCAAGAAGACATACGACGTTCTTCAAACCCGTTTCTGAAATCAACTGTTTAATGATCTTACTTTGTGGTTACATTTAACAAGGGTATGATGAATGCATCTGTTTCATTTATTTAAGATGATGATCCTACAGTGAACTATTATTACACAAGTTGTCATACATGATTAGTTTTATGTCGGAGATAAAAAGATTAGTTTTATTACAATACACAAGCTGTTAAAAGAATCATCAACCTTCAACATCATCAAAGACAGTGAAAGAATCATCATCATCTTCATGTTCATCTTCATGTTCGTCTTCAACCCATCTCTTACATTTTCATATTTACAATGCATGTTTGATGGATTTCAAAACAATATGATAGCAAATGGGCAAAGGGATGACTGATTGTTCAAAGAGGGTTCAGACTGGAGGACTTGAATTTTCTTATTTTATTTAAAATATGGATAGATTACTTTTTCTGCAACAAGATGTTGAGGTACCTTGTGGGTTTGTTTTTTTTGTAGTCAAAGATAAATGGATAAAGATGAATGTCCGTAATACTAAGTTTTGTGATCGTAAGTACATAATTTTTGGCATGCTCTTACAGACATTTGAATTTGGATAATCTTTCTAGCTCATTCATTACACCAAACACTTACACGCCCATCACGGCTATATTTAAGATTGACATTTTTCTTTTTCTGTTTATTCAATATTTAGTATAACTTAGACAAAAAACTGGAAAAAAATCTTTTGAGATTAGGTAAGTGAGATCGATGAATTCCATTTTCTGATTTCCAAAATTTAATAAAGTGGACGAATAATCAAAAAAATTATGTTCAAAATTAGTACAATTTTTTTTTCTTTTTAGTTTCTTAAACTCAGGATCGGCTTTGAATATAAAGCATTTTTAATGCGGCTCTTTAGCTGATTCAACCTCCACGTATTTGACTCTGTTGGATTTCAGGTCGGCCAACATTTCATTATGGAAGCGTCCTCAACAAGCCACTCCTATGTCGAGGCTGATGATTCTCCAAGAAGCTGATCCTTTATGTAAGCTGCTGATACGTTGTGCCAATCTTTCTGAAACTCAAGGAGAGTTTGACGAAACCCCCATCTCCCGAAACGAGCAGTACTTTCGCAGAGCGCTTAGTTCTGATGATTCAAAACACGAGCTCATTAACCACTCATTTACCGAGAATCGGAGCTTATCCCAATGAGGAAAAGAACATAAGTGAAAAGAAAGATTGATGTTTTATGTCAAAGTTGTTAACTTTGTATTCCTTTCAACTCAGCTGTAGAATGAATGAAACAATGCTTTTTAATACAAGAGTACAATAGCAAAACACTATTTCTCGATCCTTCTGCCACAGTGTGAGTAATTTTCTTCACAAGCGTATAGCTGAAGTAGACAGCAGATTCGTCATTCTGTTTTTTTGTCTTGTTGCTTTACCCGCTTCAGCTCTGCAACTCGGCAATTGTGTACTCTGTCTTCCGTACTTCCATCAAGTTCTGCAGACATTAAATTATTTGGGCCTCTGTTTTGTTGTGAGCCCATTACGACTTCTCTTATGTCTGGGCCATTGTCTTCTGCCGAGCCTTTAACTGCTATACATTTTCCAAGTGACTGTAGTCAAAAATATTAAACATAAGCAAACAAATAAAGATTTCTCTCGCCCAATGTTTTGATTATGCTGTGATGGTATTTTACTATTTTACACTTTCGATGATTAACTCTTGTCAACAAAGAACATAAAGACAAATAGAAAAACTCTAAACGAATTTAATTGTTCAGAAGTTTTAGATAAACCAAATTATTCCGTCTATATTTATGTATTTAATGATTTTTATTTTTAACTTTGGAATGTAAACACTATATATAATAAACACTTGTTATTATCATTTTTAATCCGGTTTGTTGCATAAACTCAAGTGAATATATTGCGAAGCTAGCAAAGAAATCGTGTAACCATATCGTCTTGACAAGCAGCCGCCCAAACTCTGCGATAATTTTCGTCGGTAGAAAATTTGGACTTTCTCCTAAGCCCTAAATATCCCAAGTTCCACTATCGGAATCTGTACGTTAATTTTCCAATTTCCTTTCGCTGACGATCGGTGTCGCGTTTTTCGAAACGATGCTTTGAATAATTTATTCTGTCACTCACTGCAGAGTAAAATGGCGGATACGCCTTCGAGCCCGGCCGGAGATGGCGGAGAAAGCGGCGGCTCCGTTAGGGAGCAGGACCGATACCTTCCTATTGCTAATATCAGCAGGATCATGAAGAAGGCGTTGCCTCCCAACGGAAAGATCGGAAAAGATGCTAAAGACACCGTCCAAGAATGCGTCTCTGAGTTCATCAGCTTCATCACCAGCGAGTATGCTTCATAAATTAATAGTATTTTTTTTTTCTTTTTCTGTATTTCCGATTCTCGATGATTTTACTGTTTATTCGTTGTTTGGTGAAAATTTGGTGATTGTGTTGGAGAAATTCGAGAAACCGTTTCTTCTTAAGCAGCTAGCGATTGATTTTAGCTTAGAAAGTCTTACCAAGTTTAGAGCTAAGATAATGATTTCAACCATTGTAGCTATGGTTTACCTGAAGCTTGTTGCTTTCCTATGGACCATTTTGCAGATGCCTCAACTGTATGATTTTATCTCAACTCTATCAAACAAAATTGTTGGATTTTATTCGTCCTTTTAGCCATCTTAGGTATATATGGAGTAGAAGCGCTTCTTGATCCCTTTCGAAGATTCTATTATCTTTCGGATCTGTTTGTTTTTTATCCTTTCGTTCGTTCAAGGCATAAAGTATGTTTTTTTTTTCCTTACAACATGAGATGCGCATCGTTTGTCATGGAGAGATAACTTATCTATGATATATGAAATATATGTATTTTTCGTTGATACGCTTGGCCGTAGCTGCTTCTACCATCTGAAGTTTTAGTTGCAGAAACTGCGCTTGGGGCTCTTATACTGGTCTTATGTTTAATACTGGATTATAATGGTCAATTGATTGTCATCTGATTATCTCTAATGGTGGATTTGAATTCCTTTTTCTGCTATCAGGGCCAGTGATAAGTGCCAGAAAGAGAAAAGGAAAACTGTGAATGGTGAGGATTTGTTGTGGGCGATGGCAACATTAGGATTTGAGGATTACCTGGAACCCTTAAAGATATATCTAGCGAGGTACAGGGAGGTGAGTTTCTCTCACTCCCTAAGCATGTGTTCTTGATCTTAACCCGTTTATTTTCAGGCTGTTGTTTTCCAACACATCCGTTGTTGTGGGTAAACGTCAAAACTCACCATGATAGAAATTTTGACAACAACTCGTATATGTTCTGTGTTGACAACATTTGCCGATACATATACTTTTTACAGCAAGGGTAATGAATCTAGATAAACTCCTAGGATGCATTTCTGGTTGTCGAAACTTTTGAAGAACTGTAGATTTACTCTTTTCGCTTTTAAGCTATTTTGCTGCGCGAGACTGATTCGGTCTTTTCATTCCCTGTGTATGGTTGCTGAAACAATCCTGGTGATGCAGTTGGAGGTAAATAAATCCCATATGCCATTTCTACTTTTTATACCTTTGCAAGGGAAATTCCATTTTAGAGTTACCCATTGGTGTCTTACATTTTGTTGTGAAAATATCGACAGGGGGATAATAAGGGCTCAGGCAAGAGTGGAGATGGATCTAATAGAGATGCAGCTGGGGGTGCGTCTGGTGAAGATATGCCGGTATGATTTTGAAAAGTATATATTAGCCCTTTATGTATGTTTCTTTTTGTTGGTTCTTAGCTCAGACTTTTATCATTATGATTGCACAGGGCTGGTGAAAAAAAAGTCGCAAGTGAACTCTCTAGAGATCAAGAACAACGCCAAATGATCAAGTAATTCCTCTATCTATCACAACGGCTAGTGTATACAAACGAAGAGCATAATCTGTATGCATGTAGGTTCTATATCCAACCTTTCATATATTACAATCAAGTATAAAGTGATGATAGTAGGACACTGGGACATGGCTTTTGTGATTGTGAGGAAAGTAAAAATCAGATAGAATAATGTTGATCTCTAATTGTTATATTCGTTGTATGAAGTAGTTGTGGCTGAAACTCTCTCATCTCGGTTTGTCTAATGTTGAATTCTGTAATTTGGTGCAGGGGAAATTAGAGATCAGTGTGTTGTTTATAGTTGAGCTGATCGGCGACATTTTTCTTTTTTTCTTCTTATAGAGATTCTATTTCGGGTTTATTGTCAATTTCGGTTGTGTTAATTTGAACTTTTGGTTATCTATCATTCTATCTATTTGTGGACTAGTTGGTTGTAGTTTAAGAATTAAAGTTAGATTTGAAAGAAGGAAAGTTTGTCCACGTATATGATATTTGAATCTAATATTTCATCTCTTCTCTTTCCCTCGTGACCGTCTGTTGCACTTTATTACATTTGGATTTTCTTTTACAAATGTTGTGAAGATTCATAATCTATAAGAAGCTTTAAAAATTTGGTCTATGGAGATTTACATTTAAGGCAGTCGATTGTTTTAAAATATAAACACCAAAGAAGAATATAACTGCAATCAATCAATTTTGGCTTTGAATTGAAATGTTACCGAAAGTAAATAAATGCTTTAATCATGAAAATCCATTTTCAAATTTATCTCTCGCTCGCTCTCTCTTTAAATTCCCTTGAAATATATTTTCCCATTTCCAAATTCATTTCTACAAAATCAAGAATCGAAAAGGAGAATATGGATTCGCAAGATTCATCATCGAGTACAATCATCGTCTTCCCTCTCTGCTTCTCTCATATCTAAAATCTCTTTTGCCTATTCAGTAATTGATTATATGTTTTGGAACACTCTCTCACTTTGCATGAGCAGCAAGACAAAAGATTGATCTGGCTCAGCCGTTAAGAGATAAAGAGAGTAAATGGAATCATCGCAAAAGTTTGGCCTGGGACACTGCTTTTTTCACCAACCCTGGTTTCTTCACAAACTTCCTATAATGAATTTTGTGAATTGCTCAAGAAATATAATTATAGTAACTATGATTACAATGATTTTTCCTTCTTTTTTTTTTTCTTGTTACAGGAGTGTTAGATCATGAAGAATTGTTCGGGAGCTTGAAAATTGGCGAGAATGAGTTTGTTGTCGAAGTAAATCATAAGCAGTCGATCAAGACACTTCCATGTGTTTATTCGGAAATCGCTGCTCGTCCAAGTTTCGCTTGGGACAATGCTTTTTTTACCGATCCAGGTCTCACCCTTTTTACTTCAACTCTATGGTTTTAACATTTTCACATTTTCAAAACATCATTCCGATATTTTTTTAATCATTCAACTTAATGATTCCTCATATTTTCTAACATTTTTCATATTTTGAAAATGTGATTCCGCTATCCATTAATGATTACAAAACAAAGAAAAAATGTTGTTAATCTACTTGCAAATATTTTGTAAAACCTCGATTGTATATTCAGCTAAAATGATTCTTGCTATTCGATCATTCAACTATTCCATTACTCTTTAGTTTTTGCATATGATCCGCTTTGATTCTGTATCTTGGAAATTGACATTGAGAAATTACTGGGAAGGTGTTCTTGATGCGGAGGAGTTGTCTCTAGTGAACAATGGTTTCACCAACTACACACAGCTTCATAAGTCTGATGATTCAATGCCGACGACAACTCAAGGCAGCAGATTTTCTGTGGCGAGCATTGAGTTTGATCTGTTTCACGACCTGAGAGCCTCTCTATGTAATTCACCGAATGTGAAACACACTGAAACTCAAAAGATCAAGCGCAAGTTACCAGATGGTAAAAAGGTAAAAAAAATGGAACTTGAGAGTCGACGACTTCTTTTTCTTTTCTCTAAATCAATCAAATTTGCTTTCATCTAAACAAATTCTGATTTTGTTTCTGAAGAGGACTAAAGTGTGTATACAGAAACATCAACCTTTGATCAGTCTCATTCCTCAACCAAAAGTGTCGTCTTCTACTTCATCTTCTTCTATCTCCAAAGTTTTGACTCCTAGACAAGCTAAACCCGAGAAGAAATGTGTTAAGAGTGAACTCGGTGAGAACATGATTCATTTTTTTTTTTTTTGTGGTCTTTCAATATCCTTAAGAATTCCACAACTTTATATATGGTTTTGAAGAGAGGAATAAGGGAATAATACGCAAGAATCATGGGTTTGAAGAACATTCTGGATCCAAATCTATCTTAAGGTCATCGTATTCAGGTTATGCAATGAAGGATTTGACATCATCCTCCTCTGGTCTGAGATTACCACTGCCAAAGATGAGATTTTTCGACTCGGTATGCTTCCAAAGGAATATATTTTATAAAACTTACCGAAGCATCTTGTGATGATGATAAGAAAAGTTAACTTTTGTTACAACAGGAGAACAACGGAGAGAAAGAAAACAGAGAACCAAATGCACCTGAAGCAACTGATGTAAACAGAAGAAGAAGACACAAGTCGAAACTTGAGAATTCTGCTCCACCAAAAAACCACAGCGTTTTGGGGCAACGCAAAACACGAAAGTAAAACGAGCAATGATATATATTGATGTTGGGTGCGTGCTTTACAAGGAATCGTTTGCATGTTGAGTCGGTGTTTCTTGCTGAACAAGTCAGCTGTCATTTCTTTTTAATAAGAAAATAGACGGACATAAAAAAAAAAAAAACTGGACAATACCATGATGAATGATATACGGATTTTCTTTTTCTGATTGATTTTGTCTAGATCGAACTACTTAAAAAAAAAAAAAAAAAATCTGCAACTGCATGTGGGGATAGATGATTATTCAAGATGTTATGGAAAAGCTTCAATGTTAAAATCAAAATAAATAGGGCTTCATTTTTTTTTTTGAAAAAGGTTTCTGGCCGTGTACTCCTGTAGTAAACAAAATTTAAATCCTAATGTTGTGTACATATTAAACATGCAAAAATGTATAAGTAACTATATAAATAAGGCCACAAATGGTGATAAAATTGAATGAAAAATCAAATCATCGAACAATGAAGGGATTATAAAATTAAGATGGCAACAAAGTTTAACTACCGTCCGATGATTAATACACGTGAATCAAATCATCGAACTATGTAAACTGTATTACTCCTACTTATTAGCGTTCCCAAAAACATTTGCAACATATATCCCCTTACAAATACACGCATTTTAGTTGTAAACATTTCTAGGGTTTGTGTTGTACGGGCGGCCACCATGAAACCACAGCAGCAGAGGTATGAAGACAAAGACAAAGGCGTGATCACAACCGTTGGAGACAAGACAGAACCGATTCTTCATCTGGATCTGACGATCGAGATACTCATAAGATTGCCTGCGAAATCTGTTTTCAGATTCAGATGTGTATCCAAGCATTGGTGTGCCATCATACGTAGCCGTTCATTCACTGACTTGTTCATGTCTATATCTCTGCGTCGGCCACGTCTCTCTCTTGGCTACTGTATTTTTCATCATGGTAATAACAAGCCATTGTTCTATTTCTCTTCTCCTCTTCATCATCCACAAGTGCCAAAAAATCCACCATCAATGGTATCAGAAACCCTTCCTCTTACTTACATGGGCCTCTTCAATTCTGTCCGAGGCATTATCTTGATTTCTCTCGACCGTCGTCATTTTGTGATTTGTAACCCAACAACAAGACAAGTCATAAGGTTACCCGATGGATCTAATACGTCTAATATATGTTATATGTTCTTAGGATACAACCCAAGCAACGATCAGTACAAGATATTGCGCAAGATAAGAAGCCGCGAAGACCAATCAGTTCAAGAACATAGTGTGTGTACGTTGGAAACAGGTCAAGAATCTTTGTTTTCGTCGTGGAGGCACGTCGAAAGTAATATCTTGCATTGTGTTCGTGGTTGTACTGCGGTATGCATCAATGGAGTTGTGTATTATGGAGCTGGGACAAAATCATCGAAGCGCTTTGTGGTAATGAGTTTTAATGTTGGGTCTGAGCGGTTACGTCACATCCAAGGACCAAATGAAGAGGAATATTGCACTCTAATAAACTACCGAGGGAAATTAGCCTGCTTTTCTGTCAACATTTATCATAATAGTTTTAGTTTGTGTGTACTTGATGATGTTAAGGAGCAGGTTTGGTCAACCAAGACTATTGTTCCTTCTACTTCTTTTTACGATTTATACTGGAGTCTGAAGCTATATATCAGCGGTACCACTGATGCTGGAGAGATCATTTTTGTCTCGGCATTGATTGCTGATGCTGTTGAGATTTTTTATTACGATTTAAAGAAGAACGATGTGAGAAGAAGAGTACTTGGAGTTGGAGATATCAGAGATTATGATGAGTTTATGTGTTCTCCAGATCATGGTGAGTTTTTCTGTCCTGAAAGTCTTTCTCGTTATATTTATCGGCGTATCTCTATTTCATGTGACCATGTGGAAAATATTATTATTTTTTAGTTCTAAACTTCTAATTGAAAGACTATTCAATCTATATATCAGGAATGTTTTGTACAGTTTTAGTTTAGTTTGTTTTCCCAAGTGAATGTAGTTCCTTTTCTAAGTCTTCTTATTGAATAAAAGTTATATGGTAGATGGCAATGAGGACTATTTTATTTTTAAAAATGCCAAATTCATAAGTTGCATTGAAAAAGTTAAATAACATCTAAAACATTATCTCCTGTTACTTCACTTTTAGTAATGCGAGGCCAAGCTCTAAGGTAAATGTTTTAGTTGTACATTTGAACCTCCTAATCTATTGCTTTTTTCCCCTCTTTTGAGCACATGGTCGGTATTTTTGTCTTTCTAAAGTAACAAAAAGTAGAGCATGCAAATTGGCTATTCTATATATTTTAAAAAAATTTAAAGCTGATAAATCAGTAATATTTTGCCAATGAAAAGTGATCTAAAAAAACATGCAAGAATAGTATTATTTAGCGAGAACAGGTAGTGTGTTTATTACAAGAGTAGTGATGAAAAACAGCAAAGGCTAAAATCAGATGAAAACTGTACAAGAAAGATGATTTGGTCATTCATTATCCGACAAGGACGTAGATAGCGTAGATGATCCCAGGGATGTATCCTAGCACAGTCAACAACAAACATATCCAGAACTCTACCTGCATTCATTAAAGTATTTCATGAATAATTAGAAGACAAGCAAAGTAAGTATACTGATGATGTAATTAAACTAATGCTTACCCCACAACCATATCGGAGAAAAACACCAACGGGAGGCAGAAGAATCGCCAGAATCACTTCGAGGAAAGTCTCTGAACCCATTTTTTTTACTTTTGGAATTTTGGAGAAGATGGAGAAAGAGAGAGAGGTTGATTAAGAAGAACTGAAAGTTGTGAGTGGGTTAAAGAAGTAAAACAAGAGGTGGGTATTTGACACGTGTAGTTCTTGCAGTGTGTTTCGTTACACGTGTGGATGTTTTGGAGATGCATTCATAACAATGTGGCCTATATCTGTTGGGGACCTTTTCCAGTAGAAAGACAGAACACGTCAAATATCCTTTCTTCTTAACTGTTTTCACTAACTTCACGGGATCTTGAAGATATTTTATTTCCTTTCCGTTTCTTTTTTGGCCTATAAGATTGCAATTGCTAATGCTTGACTCGAGTCTTTTAATTATTATCCGGTATGGTTTGTCAAATGGAATCTTTTGGGGGGGAAATTCTAATTTCCATAACCAAAAAAAAAAACTGAAACATAGAATATTGATAGAACAGAGAGAACATTTTACAATTCAAGATTCTCTACAATATAATTTTACATTCACCTACTAAGAATATAACACTGAGAATGAACATGAACTAGCATTTTGGTATACCTTTCACAATGAAACATCTATGATCTTTCTCCTAGCTCTAGTTAACTCGTGGGAGAGTAAGAAATGAGAAAGAAAAAAGAAACTTAAATACAAAAAAGAATTGCGGAATACAGTGGACAAAACCTGCTCTAGAAAACTAATGCTAAGCTGCCCATTTATATATATCCGCTAATATTTATGCTTAAATTAAATTAGAAAAGCAAAACGGTGGAAATTGAGATGCTTGTTTTGTTTCTTCAACTCACCCTTAAACCCATTTTGCCAAATCCAGTGTCTTGCATCATCTCCACGAACTCACTGTAATCTATTCTTCCATCCTGACAAAAACCAATACACACACAATTATATAACCATTACACAACAATGGTACGTGCTTCCAAGTAATTACTGAAAGGAAAAACAGATTTAATTTACATTGTCTTTATCCACTTCGCGTAAAATGTCGTCTAAATGAGCATCCGCTAAGCCGAATTGCTTGCAAGCTTGCTGGAGCTCGTCTCTGGTTATATAACCACTTCCATCTTTATCAAAGTAAGAGAAAGCTGTGAACAAATGGTCTTCTTTCTCTATTTTGTTTAAATGCACCATCGCTGCTATAAACTCTCCATAGTCTATAGTCCCACTGTTATCTATATCCGCCTGAAAATGTTTTTTTATTTATTTATTTCCTAATTATTTGAGAGCTCATATATCATATAGTTTAAAAGGTAAGCATAAAAGTCTACTTACTGCTTGCAATAATCCTAATATTTCTGAATCCTTAACGTTAGCACCAACTCTGTCCAAACCCTTCTTGAGTTCTTCGAGAGTGATGTGTCCGCTATTGTCTGTATCTATCATCTTGAACATTTCTTTCAATCCTGCTATTTCTTCCTCTGACAAGCTTTCTGCTATCACCTGAATGATTGCATATAAAAGCAAGTCACGTCAAGACAAATATGGTAGTTAAAATGGTAAGTTCTTTTTATGTGAGTTTAGTGATGTTTAGTCATTATGTTCACCTAATTTAGTATTAGATGATAGAATTATTAATAAATTGTTCACCTTGATAGCAATTTTCTTGAGCTTGTTCATGGCTGAAAACTGTTTCAAACGACTGAGGACAGCAGAATCAAGAGGTTTATCAAGAGCAACACCATCCACTCGGGCCCAAGGATGACCTGCAACATGAACAACATCACAAGTTTCATATATGCAGCTATATATATGCTTACTCTTAAAAGGAAGGATGCAACTTATTTGGAAAGAAGAACACTAACAGAGAACTTCATGAGCTGTCATTCGCTTCTTAGGGTCTCTGATCAGCATCCGACGCACCAAATCTTTTGCACTTTCTGATACACTAGGCCATGGCTCTGATACAAAGTCAAGGTCACCTTTCAAAACCTGCTCAAAGATGCCTTGTTCCGTTTCTGACACATATCATAACAATCAATCAGTCTCTCTATACCATCTGGTAGGAAACAAGCATGATGAAACAAACTGTCACTTACCATCCCAAAATGGTGGGACGCCACTAAGTAAGATGTATATAATAACTCCAGCACTCCAAACATCACACTCATGACTATAATGCTTCCTTAAAACTTCTGGTGCCACATAGTAAGGGCTCCCAACTACATCAGTGAATGTTTCTCCTGATGAAAAGGCAATATATATCAGAACATGAAGCTACAAAAGAACATTACATCTTCTAAATGTAAGATCAACCAATACCTGGTTTAAAGAAAACAGAGAGACCAAAATCAATAGTCTTGAGTGCAGCTTCTTCATCTCCATTAACAAACAAGAAATTCTCAGGCTTAAGATCACGGTGCATCACACCAAGAGAATGACAAGCCTCTATAACACCAACAATGATCCTCGCGAGCTCAGCAGCTTTTCTCTCCGTGTAATGTCCTCTCTGTATAATCCTATCGAAAAGCTCTCCACCTGCACAGATCTCCATCACAACATGAACAGCTACTGCATCTTCATAAGCACCAACGATCTGAATCACGTTCGGGTGACCAGACAAATGATGCATTATCTGAATCTCTCTCCTAACATCTTCAACATCCTCAGGTGTGGTGAGCTTCCTCTTGGCTATGGTTTTGCAAGCCAACTCTTTCCCTGTCTTCTTCTCCACGCAAAGAAACGTCGTCCCGAATTGCCCTTGACCTAGTTTCCTCCCAACGCTGTATATATCCTTGAGATTCTCTGTTTTCCTCCCGAGCACGGATTCGATCTGTAGGCCCGCGCTAGCCATCCTTTTCATGTGCGCCTCTTTGGTCTTCGGCTTCGATTTGCTACCTTCCTCGGCGGTTTTGATCTCCGGGATGGTTTTTGGTGGTTCTTCGTTAGCCATTTTCACCGGAGGAGGCGGCGTGCTCGGAGTTGGCACCGCCGCGGGTGGTGGAGGTGGATCCGAGGCGGCGGAGGAGCAAGGATTTCGATTACTTTGGTCGCCGTTTTGGCTCTTGTTTCGGCTGCTCTCGTCTTTGTTGCTCTTAAGGCTCTCGTCTGGTTTCTGGTTCCTCCAGACGGCGGCACTAACGGATTGGAGGAATCCATTAGGGTTCAGATTCGGACCCACGCATGTGTTTCCCATTAAAAAAATCTCGACCTAAAAATTCACAAAAACCTAATTGTTTTGTTTGTTTTGCGGTGTCTTGTCTCTGTTTCTATATCTCTCTTTCAGCTTCTGGCGATCGTCGAAAACGGAAACGCAAACCACTCAACAGCGACATTGACGTAAAGGAATGCATCGAATGTTGCTGTGTCTTCAAATTCGACACAGCGTAAAGAAACGTGAGATGAACACAACCTAGTTGATCCTCTGTTTTGCCTTTTGCAGCTTTTCCTTGCGCACGACGGAAGCGAAATTCTCGAGAGAAACTCTTTGTGGGATTTTCTTGAATTTGGTTCGAATGATTGAGAAAATCTGATTAGCTGATCAGAGGAGGAGGAGGAGAGGCAAATGAGTGAATAAGGATTATGGCAAAATCGTTGTAGCATGACCGTCTATTTTTTGTTTTGTTTTTTTATTTATTTTACAACACACTCCGAAATTAAATTACTTACATAGGAAAAATAACTAGATGCATGCTCTTACAAAACAGTCGACGGCATGATCGTCTATTTACTTTCTGAAACATTTTTGGCTGTTTAGGCCATGTTTCTATTCTGATTTCCATCAAAATGTAAGAGGAAAATATTTATTTGATTCAGTTTTTGATTGCATTTTAACGTGCTAGTTGCTTCAAGATGAGTTTCTTTAGATATACGTATATTTATTTGGTTATATCTACAAAAATACTCTTGCTTCTACAAAAATATAGCTTATATATATATGAAAAATGATCCATACCTCATGTTAGTGACTTAATTTTGAGGCATATTTGGTTAATCTATTAGAAATAAAATAACGTATACAAGAAACACCATAAAAGTTCAAACACAACTTGATATGTCTCAACCAAAGAAAAAAAAAAACTTCTCCTAATGCTAGATTTTTCTTATTGTCAGTTCTGTAATGTCTCGGACATGGCAGAAACATACAAGCTTAGATGTTTTTTCTCTCTTTGTTTTTTTTTTTTTTTTTTGGGTCACCTTTTTTAATTATTTAAAAGAAGTTACGATAATTGAAGAAGTAACAACTAGTAACCGATCATATGCATAGTCTGTTCGCTCCAAAACATCTTCGACTGCTTAACCATCTCAGACCGTTCCCCCATCACCCTCTCCTTCCAATACTCTTTGCTTCTGCAAAGATATTAACGATTGAGAAAACGCAAATTTTATCAATACTTCTTGAAACATTATAAATTCCATGGATAGAAGAAGTGTGAGTTCGTATGATATATCGACTTTGAATAATCTATACCACAATACTACCCCAAGAAAAAAACAGAAATTTAAGCTTTTAGAAACTTGAAGTGCAAGCAAATCGTTTAAAACTGTATCTTTAAACTGTAACTAAACAAAGGAAAACATATTATTTTTGTAGTATATATGTAAGATAATCATCAGTTCAAGAATTTATGGACTCATTAGTGCATCTAAATTAGAGATTTGCCTCACCTTATCTTTAATAGAAGGTGCAGCTCGATCATGTGAACCGCTTCCGCATAAACTCCAACCTGCATACCGCATGTAAACAATCAACACCTCGGTATAGATAATGGAAAAAAACCTGAGAGAAGAGACTATTGTTTGATGTTGCAAGAATCTAAACAAATTAACCTCTCTGCATATGGGACATTTGGAACATTGTGGCGCTGCTTTAACGCCTTGGAAAATCATTACCGAAGCAGCCGAGCATGCACACGCTTTACAAAATATGTGACCGCACCTCAAAGCATATGGATTGAATACCGTTTCCTGCCCAATTAATCAACAAAAATTAGAGAGAAAATTGTTTTTCCAAAAAAAAAAAATTAGAGAAAATGATTCGAATATGTGAGCTACGTGTTTTTTATGAAAAAGACAGATCTTTTTTTGTTACCAGGCAGACTGCGCAAGTTAGATCAAACTCGAGCTCAATTGAGTTAGGCAGCGTGAGTTTCATCACTGGTTGATCTTCGTTGAGATTATCACATGAGACACGGCCAAACGAGTTCTTGAAGTTTCCAACTTTGTCAAGCCCTGAGTTGAGATAAAAGGCTCCAAGTTCTATGAGCCAAGGTGAGTTCAAGAGCTCTATGCGCTCTGCTCGCATTTTCAACTTGAAGTTCTTCCCATTCACTGAGCTATGCACCTGAAAACATTTTAAACCAGCTTAAAGAGCTTTTACTTTTTGTTTTCAAATACATTTTGTTTATCTTTGCAAATCAGTCTAACCTTGTCATATTTCTTGAGGATTTTACGGATGGCAATCGCGTTCATTGTTATGTATTGAATCAATATTTGGCCCTCATGGATTAAAGCTTGTTTTTCGTCCGTAAAGCATCTGCGTAGACGCATCATGTATCTCTGCATACCAGTGGCTACATGAAGATGGAGAAGATGCCTGACTCTTGACTTGAAGCATCCGGCTATGTCAGAAGCTTCCTTCATCAACTCCTCAAAGAACATCTGATCACACCCTACATTGTAACATATCACCTATTACATCCAAAAAAAAAAAATGCACACACACACACACACACTCCACACTAAACTATATGAAATCTTTCACATCAACAAACATTTTGAATATCCGTAACTAGGATGTCTTTTTGAGAGTGCAATAGGTTCAAAACGTATTTGCTTCTAAAAAAATCTTGAAAAAATATATAAGTTAGGGACTTTAAGTTTTTTAGAAACAGTAAAGTTATTCGTAATTTAATATGTACACAGAAACTATATGGGACGCCTCCATAGAGAGGAATTACTAGAAGCTTGATGTAAATTAAAACGATATGCTTAAAAAAATTTAGGAATCATGGACTTCTAACTAAAAAATAATAGATGATGAATTGATTATCACATATCTTTTACATACTATATAAGATGGATTCATCTCTACTTTCATGGTGGGATATTCTAACGTACGTATCCGTTTGAGATGAGAGTGATCATTTTGGAAGTAACACGATAAGGCGAGCCACTGGGGATAATCTATCCGGTTAACAAGTCCACTGCAGTCTCATACTATTTACTATTTAGTTATCACGATTTTCAACTCAAAATGGATCATGTTCTTTATTTACAATGTTAGATCTATATGCTCATGTAAATGATCATAAGGAGTAGAGCCTAGCAATAGGCATGATGAGTACTGCTATAATTTAGATCGTTCCCATTCTCTATTGATGTTGGATTCGACTATTGCACTAAGATTATAAAGATAATAAAGTGAAGAAGATAGGAGAAAAGAGTGAGAAGTTATACATACATGGACAAGATTGGCATTGGCATGAATCAGACAAGGAATTATTAGCCGATGATATGATATCAATGCGTTCGTCATCCGATCTTGTGGAGCTACATGTCTTGCATTTCTTCAACACTTTCTTGAGTTTCTTATATTCAACGTGACGACATTTTTCTAGGAACCCCTCCTCCTCTCCATGTAGATATTCCGAGAACGTCTCTCCAAACTTCATCTTCTCACATAGCACACAAATCTCAATCTCAGGCTGCAATATGTATATATGCCAATATGAGATACTTTCCAATCGGATACAAACACAACTTATTTTCTAGTAAATTCCTCATTGAACAAGGTGGGAAATTTTACCCTGTGGTAACATATTCATTATCGGAAAACATTGGAATTTTTTTAATATAGTTTATAGAAACTAATCGACTATTATTGCCTATTGAGAGAAATATCGTCAAGAGAAAAGGAGATCGAGATATTAATCACCTTTTGTCACGTCAAAGAAAAGGGGTTAATAATCTGGAAAATTGAATAGGAGAGCTGGTGAAGGAAGACGAAAGCTCTTCCGGTTAAAGTCGCTTTTAACTTTATTGGTTATTGGACTTCCTATTTTTAGGGTTTTGTTTCGCTTTTTTGTCAAAGGTATTTTTAGGGTTTTGTTATTCAAACAAATCTCAGCAAAGTTACTTTGGTAATTGGTACCTCAATAGTTTCGTTTTAAACGGCATGCCACTTACGTGTTTGAGTATTAGATCACCAAGAAAACGCGTCATTATCTGATCCCATGAATGCTCCAACGAATTTTGCCCATTATCCATTAGTTATTTACCATCGAGTTGTGTAAATTTTTTGATGGCTATATTGGCGGATCTAAGCAATAATTTTAGCGACATAAAACATCAATTATTTTTCCTAAGATTATCGAGTCTCGTAATTTTCGTGGAGTATATATAAATTTTATTGTTTACAAATTACAAATATTAAAATAGATATCAAGCCTAGTCATATGGGCAGATCCAATTTCCATTTGGTCCAACCGTTTCTATCATATTTAAAGATAACTTTTATATTTGGTTTTGGATGGTGACATCAAAATAAACGGTGCAGAACATGTATATTAGACAGAATAAGCGAAACAAATGTGCTTATATTATAGAATAGTTAGAGACTTAGAGGAACGGGCAATCTCTAACTCCATAATTTCTAGGAACCATCTTCTCCGTGGGAAACTCGAACTTGAGTGCAAATATTTCATCGTACCCCAAAAGAATCCTTGCTAACAAGTAAGGTAGCTTTGTGTTTTATTTTCTGTTTGAATAATTCAGGCTTCCTTTTAGGGTTAGTGAAGCAAAGAGTTTGTAACTAATACAAAATATTTTATCTCTTATAGAATTACCCAGTTAATACAAGATATATTTCTATTTCATATATTTTAAGCGTGTCGTAACACAATGATATATACACTAACACAAATCACGACCCCCATCTCTTTTATTGGTCACATCAATTACGATCTACATTGAGTCTGAATGATGTTTAACTTATTTTCCAGTTCAATTTTCACATAATTTACGCAAACTTTTTACTTCTCAAATGGAGATAAGTAACTCCATAGGTTAGGCTCTTGCATGCTTGATTATCATTCGACTTTTAAATATTCTTATCCCACTTAATACTGTTCCAAATATGACAATGTAAACTCATATATCTCAATAGTCTTTTTCTTCTTTTTTTCATTAAAATCC